AGTCATAAATCGACAGCTTTGAAGCTGCGTTGGTTCATAATGGCGTTATTAGCACGGTTCACTGCTTTGCATGACTGATGCGAGCGGATTGTTCCAAGCAGTAGCCACATTGTTGAACTGTTACTCTCGTGCATGACGACGATTTCACTTGTACGGTTCTCTTCGAAGTCCTACAAGTCAAACTGGCAAACATGTAGCAAAGAAAATCAATACTTCGAAAGAAATCAATACTTTGTTTATTGATATCGAAACAGACCAGATAAAGATCAGAGAAAGGAATTTAATTTTTATACATCAAAATAAAATTCTTGAAATCAAATATTTGGATAATATTTAATCGTGTTGATTAATATATTAATAGATTGTAAAAGAATACAACCTATTTTTCTATATTTTATTTTCGATGTCATGTGTCACGAATTTTAATTTTTTAATAAAATTATTGCCAAGTATAATTATAACCATGTGTGTATAAACTAAGGTCTCTATCGATTCTACGAATCGATGGCTATAAATAGACCTTAATTTGTACTTTACTTGCTTGGTATCTAATAACACGAATATCAGTAACGCTCGATGTTTTTTTCAAACATTGTATTTTTTGTCTTATCGATATCACAATGATAAATTAAAGAAAACAATATAGATAATTGAGAAATACGTGTACTTTGAAAATGTATTTTTAAAGCAAGCGAATATGTATATGTATTTGTAGGAAATATTACATCGATATATATATATCGCATGTAAAATATATCGTATGATTTAAAATGTAAAATATTGGATTATATCTTTTCAAAAAGCTCACTGATATATGTTTCCTTGTACACATAAGATACCTTCTCCGCAGTTATCGACTCTCACCAAAAATATCGATGCTCCAGTTTCAATCTATCGTAAGCGCTTTTAACCGGTTTATCTATACGTATCTCGCAAAGAAACACGAGCGCAAGTTTGTTTTTTTTATTTCCATGTTTTGTACTTGCGATGATAATGAATACATTGACACTCGATAATCCCAAGATAGAATGTGCTTAAATTTTCCCTAAAGATACTCATGAAGAATCTTGTGTGGAACAAAATTAATATTTTAAAATCCAATTTCTTGCGCGTAGTTTTCAAATGCGTGTAAAAGTACTCTCGTAGTTTCCAATCGGAAAATATAAAAGAAACTTGAATAAATTCGAGAGGTTAATTCTCTGTCTGCGGAAACATCAAAAGATGCAGCTGACCAACGTCAGTGGCCGCGCTTAATTTTATTCGGCGACACGTGCCTTCGTCGGCGCCTATAAACAGGCACTCGCGACACTTCCGGATGCCTTCTAACCCATCTAGAGCTCTTTCTCCGTCTCTCTTTCTGGCACCTCGTGACCTCTTCGCGAGCAGCATGACAACGAGTCATCGTGACTACACGCCATGTCAACGTGACTCACGATGATATGTATGCTCGGAAATATACGAAAATTATTTCGAAAAAGCAATCGATCGTCTGCCTTGGAAATCTCTAGGATTTGTTTTAATTTGATCCAATTCTCTAAAAGCAATAACAGATATAAATATAATGTGGCTAAGCTACATTATATTTAACATAAGCAAGTTTAAAGTAATTAACGTAGAGAAATTTTCATAAAAATTTTTATTCAAATATTATAACGTATAATATTTAGATTAGATTTATCACAGAAATTTACTCTAATAATTCAGAGAGCTATTAGAGCGAATATACTGTATATGTTGATTTGTCGCAAAATTCGAAGAAACGATTTCACATGCATTATTATCATAAATCACGGAATATTACGAGAAATGTTTTTTAATATGTGATCACATCTTTGAAAACCTAAGAATTCCCGGTGCATATCGCGTAATTATCACTATGTAAGTGTGTATATCGTCGCTGTGTTCATAAAAAAATGGTACTTGTTTACGTCGCCACATCAAAAAATACTTATTTATGTCACGTCATGTGATAACCGACATAATCATTCTATGCGACTCTTATACGCATAATTATCGAAATCGAAAATATTTGAGAATATTTTAAAATATTTACCGTAATATTAAACTCTAAATTTTTTGAAATAACATAATTATGATGAAAGAAAAATTAATGATAAAATTTATGAATATAATTTAAACAATAATATTATTTTATGATTAATAATTATATGAATTTAAATGATCAAACATCATGAAACATGATCAAACATCAATAACATTTATTAAATAGATAAATGCTAAAATATTATATAAGATTGATTAAGATCTATTGCGCATCTATGTGAAGAGTAAATATTATATTTTTCTTTATACTTTTAACGCAGTTTCTTTCCTCATCTTTTTCAAAAATCGCTACGTAATAACGCTCATATTCAACAATTAAGATGTTACTGATTGCTATGCTAATGAAAACAATTCAGCACAAATATTGAATGCTCGTTAATTTATTACAAATAATAAATGCAAAAAAAATATGTATATATAAAATTGCATATATTTCAATGAATATATTATATATTTTATAATATATAACCATATATATATATATATATATACTTTGCGTCTACCATTATACGCATAAATATAATGATAATCAAAAAATCTATTATTATAGGTAGACAATTTTAGACATTTTAACATTTCTTAAATAATTATCACTTATATTTATCCATTTATGTATGTGGATGAGTAACTAAAAATAACTTTGAAAGAATTTATAAGTAAAAATTTGATAATAGATAATAAATAAATACGAATGCTATTCTAAAAATATCATTATCTCAAAATAGCACTATCTTTTATATATATATATATATATCAAAGATAATGCTATTTTAAGAATAAATTAGCATTCGTATCTAATTTTTACTTGGACAATTCTTTTAAAATTATCTTTAGTTACACATCCACATACATAAATGGATAAATATTTTATGCATATAAATAAAATAAAATATCTAAATATAACACAATAATAGTGTGTTTATGATAGTGTGAGCGATAGTGTATGTGTAAATAATAAAAAATAGTAGAACAATATCTCTATGATATTGAAGTAGTCTTCATTGAATTGAATTAAAAATAAATCTTTGATAAAACGTGATTTAATTTCCTTAAAAAGAAAGATTTCTTAATCTGAAAGAAGAAACGCTTATCGCACTTTTTTTCTTTTTTTACCGAATGCCTTACATAACGAGTTTCGTGGAAACGTTTATCTAAGTAGAAAAATATGCATCGGTCAATGCCGAAGCAGCCGTTATTCGTACATCAGTCTAATAATTCTGTTTGTTCCAGCGGACGAGGCGAACAGCAACTGACTCACTCGCGACTCACCGCGCAACCTAGATCCGATTTTATCTCCGCATCGTGTCGTTACGTGGCTCGAGAAAAACAACGCGCCGCCGTGTACGCCGTACGTATATCCTTGCATTATCGTTTGCAGAAAATTATTCTCTTCCTCTCGCTCTTTTATGAATGAACTATCCGTCTTCGTAAAAGACGAAGGAGAAAGCGCGCGAAACTATTCATTGCCGAATCGATGATCGCGATTTCATCAGCATCCGGAGAGTCACGAGAACAGGCTCGGCTTTAGATGTATAAAGACCCCGATTGACGGTTTTCGATTCCTTCAATATTCCCACTTGGCCATGTGTATTGAAAAAAATTTGATTAATTTCATATGGAAATTGAACGAGTTGGAAATGTGAAGGACAATGAGAGAGAGAAAAATAACGGCTCACAAGTATTTACATCAGCGTAGACTGTGTATTATCTTTTTTATATATTATATCTTTTCGATAGCGCACGTTTCGATCAGCCTCGAAGTCCGAGGAAAGCGTATTAGCAAACGCCTCGTGATGTCAATGGGGTCGCCATTTGCGTGCGAATCGTACACGCGTGCATTCGTTGCGCATATATCCGAGCTCTTTCCTCCCGTGTATAATTAATGCCGCGAAAAGGTAACGTCACGAATCGAAAACTTGGTCGAGAACTCGACGTGCCCGGCGAGCTCCGGATTGTGTCGCAGTTAGATCGCGAGAGAGGAGTGAAGCAACGCAGAAGTGTAGCAATCACGGAGATATATGAGATAAATGAAAGTCTTAACGACGTAATTGGTAGTGTAAACTGCGCAAAAGCAATTCGAAAGCTGTTTGTTCTCGCGAAAGGAGAAATGCAAATCTGACGTAAATCGAAATTCTAGTCGCGTAATCGAGACGCCGCAAATATATATGTGGGCGAGATGACAAAATTAGAATAATTCCCACGCGCGAGCTTTAAATTGCATACGTTACTCGCGCGAAACCTATTTGCTTGAGGCTAGGTATTGTCTCAGGAAATTAACTCACGAGTTAATAAGTATATTATCTAAACTCGCATTGTGCGCAGCGTCGTAAACGACCTCGAAATGAATGAATCGATTAATTCTAACAAAGGCGGTGAATTACGATATGTTTTCCCAAGTGGATCGGATATTCGTTCGATACTAGATCTCCGATCGACTAGAATCGTGACAGTGACTATCACGGGCAAGGTCGCGCGATCGAGGAGCGATCGAGGAGCGATCGGAGGCGGATCTCGGAGGAGAGAGCGAGCGGTTGTTGATAAAAGTGAAGGCACGAGCTATTTTCGAATAAAATAGCGAGTCCGCATTCCTTCGGGTTTGCTTCACGTGTGTGTACGTTATTTCGTATTTTCGCAATTTCTCGCCGTATAATCGTACACAATTATCGCGTCGGCCATAACTTCGGAAATCGATTCTCACGTTATCGTTCGAGCGCCTCGCGCAATCTCCTCGATAAGCTATGTGAAAATAAAAATAAAGTATTAAAGGCTATTAAAAGGTTATTGAAATTATTTCAAACCGAAAAGAATCTTTTAAAGAAATCGTGACAAAAAGAATCGACCTCTTTTCGAGTAGAAAAAGAGCGTCGACTGTTTTAAAAAAATTATTATATAAAAAAAAACTTTCTAAAATATAATACATATTTTATCGTGCGTAACATAAAAGTATTGGATGCAAGATCGTTCGCAAAATTTTGTGCGCGAGAAAAAAAAAGCGATAATCTTTCAGTTAACCCTGGAAGTAGGCGCGTGTAGATGGATAACACTCCGCTCTCGCGAGCACATTTTTAATCGCCGCGCTTTTATAGCGCGCGTGTGACCGCACGGTGGATAATAAATGCGACGTACAATGATAAATGGCGCATAACACACCACGATTTGTCTAGATATACCCATACATCGGAGAGTTCGTAAAATCGCTTATTCGCTTTATCCCAGTGACGTGAAAACGATAATTCATGGTACGATTTGCTCATCGAAATTCGACACGAACATTTTTCATTCACATCATTTCGACACGTTAGATATTTTATAATTACCACGGACTCGAAATTACCTTGAATGAAAATTGAAACATGTTATACGCAAGTTTCGGCGAGACGATAATCGTGTTTGCTCACGCCGAATTTTATCACACAATATTAGCAAGTTGATTCAAGTTGATACAAGTTGATTCAATCCGTCTCCGACATTTTTTAATGCATTTTGCCGTTGTGCCACACCAGCTTTGCATGATGATAAAGAACGAGTCGAGCAATAAGTGTGAATCAAATAATGATTGACGTCGCTGATGATGTGATGTTTATTTGTCGGGAACAGAACTATAGCGCAGGAGAGACAAACGAATATATCCTGTAAAATAATGAAAAAATCCATAAGACAATAGTCAAAGTTTTTAGTTTTGGTTTTTTCCGCTGCCATCTTTTTCGAAGCCGATGACAAACAACATTGATTAGAATTCGATAAGCCATCAACAACGCAATATGTACATAGATGAGGAAATGTTGATTTAGAGCAACAATCTAATAGATTAAAAAATTATCGAATAAAAAATTAGATAGTAAGTTTCAGAAATAGTTTGAAATAGAAGAGCGCAATGCGCTCTCTTTCTCTCTCTCTCTCTTTAGGAGTCTGGTATGAGAACCATTCGCCGCATACTGTCGACAACTAGACGACTCATTGTCGCGTTCATAAATTCTCGTTAGTCTCTGTTAACACCGTGTAATAACTCAAAGACGCTATTGCGTGGTCGAGCACGTCTAACGGAAACGTCATGTCTATCACGTCGCGTACATTCTACAAAAAGTTCACTGACTTCCGCCGTGAATTCTCGCCTGCAAAACTTGCACTAACCCTAACGACTCGAATCTACATTAACCACATTTTTAATTCTTTTAAATGTAAAATTTTTAATTAACAATTAAATCTTTTCGCAGATTTATCTAAATTATTTTTAAACATAAACCGATTTAAAAATGAATTCTTGTTTACAATCATGATTACTTAAAGATTTCACGACAAGAGTTTCGAAAGTTGATTCTTTTAGCTGCTATCTTTTTTGAAATCGATTACAACATTGATTGGAACTCGATAATCAACAATGAAAGTAATATGTATCATAGATAAAACGAGTAAATCTAATAGATTAAACGAGTAAATCTAATAGATAAAACGAGTAAATCTAATAGATTAAAAAAATTATCGACTATCGAAAGAATTAGATAGTGAGTCTCTAGTGAGTCTCTTTTGAAAGCGACATGTTCAATTTAATGTTGATTTTTTTTCAATATTTTTTCGAATAAACAATCATTATTACTTTTATATGAATTAGATGAGTCACACGCTCTTATAACGAGAGACAGTGCCCTAACAATTCCGCAAAGTGCGCCAAATGCTTCATCCACAGCTCTTGGCAGCTCCGTTGTCTCAGCAGGATTGACGATACAAGTCGCGCCGACACAAATATAGCACGAATCCAATCTTCTCTGTTTTATTATCCGTGCTATTTTCTTAATGATAATTTTTAACAAAGCCTTTACGATATCAGTTTGCAAGTATAATCATATATCGCTCCGCAAATTTTGTAAAAAATTCAAGACGAATGGATACGAATTTGTTTAAGATATCGGACAAAAATGTGTTTATGTATGTGTGCAATAAGCGGCGTCTTTGAGGTCTTTAACTTAATATGCTGGTTGAAATAGTCAATTTTCGAACAGATAAACATTATATCGAGACAATACTAGTAAGTTTTAAAACCGCTCGGCAATTAACTTCCCGTGCGATAAGCAGCTTTAATTACGGTTTGTTGCGTACAACTGAAAATTCTTTAACAATCGTATGACGAAATTTAACCAAACGAGATAGCGCTCGACTTCTCGTTATCGATTAGGGGCAAAATTAATTGTAAGCCGTAGTAATAGCCACCTTCCCGATTGCAATACACGTCGTGGGAAATACCGCGCAATTAATAAGAGACATACATATACCGCTAACTTACTCTTCTCGTTGGGAGACGGGAAATGAGTCTCAAGAAGCGCCTTTGCGCCTCTTTAAGCACAGCTGCAACGTAGATCGACGGCGCTCTCTCATGCGCGAATTAAAGTCGCTGCGTCCCACTCGCGCCGATGGCTCGCCGATTACGTGTCTGGTTGTTTATATCCCAAAGAGACTCGGTCTCGCTACCGTGAATGCGAATACGAGAGAAGCCTGTGGAAACGCGACGATGGCGCGGCATTAAAAATCCGCGGGCAAGGCCGCGTTTTTGCATCGGTATGAGATCGCACGCCGCCCCTTTTGTGTCCTACTCCAAATGCCGACCTATTTCAGTTCGATTCAGGTACGATTTCTCTCACTGTAATGCACGCGAAGATCACACAATTGTTCTGTATTATCTTTCGCGTTATTCTTCTTCAACACGAGACGCTTTTTTTCCTCGTCTTTTTTTTTTACGTCTCCGTTTCGTCGCGCTCGAAGCACCTCAATTTTTCATCACTCGCCTCTCGAGACTTCTTTAACGCGAGATACACGAGTTTTTTTTTACGTCTTCCTTTCGCCACGCTCAATATTTCATCGCTCGCTTCAAGGAACACGACCTCACTCGGTTGAGCAAGATTTGTTATTCGTCGGGAAGATTCCGACGCGCGAGGAAACACTCGCGATGGACGGACGTACAAGAATAACAACCCCCAACGTTTACTCGGCGCAGCGGTCGGCGCGGCACTGACAATTGCGTCAAAGAGAGGCGCCGCGGCGCGCGATGAGACGCGATCGCGCAATCGCGTGATCTACGCGCGCACTGCGCGTTCCCTCCCCTTCCCCTCCCCTCCCCACGCCTCGCCTCGCCTCGCCTCGCCTCGCCTCGCCTCGCCTCGCCTCGCCTCGCCGCGCCTCCTCTGTCGCCGTCGCTGCCGCCGCCAGAATTAGCCAAAACAACGGAACTTCGGTTCTCTAAAAGGATCGTATATACACGTTAATATTAAGATGTTTTGTGCCTATTTTCAAAATATTTATGAGAATTTAATGAAAATTGTACAGAATGTCCTTACATATGTTTCGAATCTTCAGTACAATTTTGAGATCGATTCAATTTTGAAAGCGTTCACAAGTTATAAGGATTTTACTTTGCATCGAATTAACATATGTATATTCTTATAGGAAACGTACACAGAGAAAAATATCATTCTACTGCCAAAAAAAGCGATTACTCAGTTTATTTTTCTTCTTTTAAGTAATAGTTCTTCAACAAAGAATATATTCTTGATAATAATCTTAAAATATACTCGTCACAAGTGTTAGAAAATCTCATTATCATGTACTCAAAAGAAGAATTTTTCTCTTTAAGAATATTGTAAAGTTGTATCAAAGACAAATCAAACTTACTTTACGTCAACTCTTGTAGTAAGCAAATTTTTGTTTTAATTTAATATTCTTGACTAAAATACTGCACTTACTAAAATTCAGAATATATTCAATTAAATTTAATGCTTGTGGTAAACTTATGATACATTTGCGGAAATACAAACTTATGATATACTTAAAATAAATAATATTTACTTGAATACAGTATACATATTTCTCTGTGTATAACCACGTCGATTCAAATGACAAAAAAAACATTCAGAAATAATATTCAGAATTTGTTTAAAATTTGCAAGTTTAGATACAGAGGAAATATTTGGTCAAATAATATTATACAAGCACTAACTGGTTAAAAAGATATTAAATATAATTCAATGAAGTTAGCCATGTATCTGTCACAAGAAATTCTCTGCCAAAAGTTAATCATTTCGATTAACAAAATTCGGAATATTTCAGTAAAAACGCAATAAATATTAAAAAATGCATCTCTGCACTGTAGCTAAGATCAAATTATAAAATTCCACACAATTTCTCATATTCAAAATACACCAAAAGTGGATATATTCGTCAATATTGATTTTCAGCTACTTTTTGCTGGGATTGTATATACAAAACATCCTTAATGTAATATGCGTGAGATTGTATCGTTGCCCCGCAGGCGATTGATAGGGGTACAGTTTGCGATTTGTACCCCTGTGTTGTAAATACAACGCAAACACGGTGATAGTTTCGCAAAAGACCCTCGATTGCATACGCAACACAGTGTTCTAGATCGAATAAAGCATCTGTCGTTTATGAATTTTGTTGGGGGAATTTGAAATCGATTTTTCTTCCGTGAGAAAAGTCAATATTTGTCGCGAGTACGCATCGATCAAATTTTTCTCTCAGCGTTGAAGCTTTGAAAAAAAATTGCCTGCGTCATCTCGCCTTGATAATATAATGTTATTCCGTCTCAAAAGTGTTCGTTATCAATGGCATAAGTAATTGATATAAAATTATAATCAGTTATCTTAACAAAAGGAAAGTTGTTCATTCAGAGTCCGCTTATCATTGTATTATGTAACGCAATACATATTTTTAACTCCTTTCGGATCGATCATTTCGTTTTCTGACTTTGATCCGTTGACATTTTAGTTTTTGTACATCGTTTTTTTTTTCAATTTGCGACGAAAACCATGCATATTTTTACCTGCGCGCTGATGGCGCAATCGCAATCAATTCAGATTGCTGGAATATATTCGTCTGGACCGGTGTCTAGATTAAACAACATCGCGACTTACTTGAAATAATTTATTCAACCGATATTTGCGCGTATGTCGAGATTTATCTCGCTGCTTTATAAAGTATCCGTGCCGCTCACACATACGGTAAACATCTGTTGTCTATTTGCCACGATTCTCGCGTCGCGACATTAAAGTAAGATTGGAATCATTAACGCATTTAGCCTTTTAATCTAAATTAACCTTTGCGACTATGTTAGGATATTATCGCGCAGTAGAACGTTAACCTTGACGACAATAGATCGCGATCCGGCTACACCCTGCATGCCTCCGCACTGAATGAAAGCGTCAGCTCTTCGAGGTCGCCGCCATCACTATTAAATAATACAAACCGTTGTAGACGTAATATACCTATTATTATTTCACATCTGTAATACCGGTTCCTTATAAGTTGCTCTTTATTTATTTCATATGCGTGTTTCCATGAACTCATTTTATTATCTACTTTATTCAATCGTTGACATGATACCGAAGACGGCATCTTCATTTCTTTTTATAAATACGAGATAACGAATTGTTGAATAGCTTCGACCAAATGATAAGTCTTTATTGCTTCAAAATGCAAAATACGTGCTTATTATAGAAGTTTCAGGGATATGAGGCGACTTTGCGATCGGGACAAAACGATAGGGTCAAAAGTTGCCGTAAGTTATTCTCTAGTGATAAGAATTCTGTGGTGATAATGAAATTTTTCAAAATTACATCGCAACAGTTGCAGAGAGAGAGAAAGAGAGAGAGAGAGCAGCGCAATCCATTCCATGGAGAAAATATTGAGATATAATTGTAAACTTCCAAGATTGCATTTATCGCTGAATTTCTATTAGTATATTGCCATCAATGCATGACGTCAATGAAGAAAATTTTAAACACATAAATTTATTTTTTTATTCATATCTGCATTATTAAGAGTTACATTGATAATCATTGCAACATAATGTATAATAGTGTTATCTGATGGAATTTAGAATATTAAATATATATATTTTTGCATATCTTAAAAATGAGTATTCAAATTGTATTGGTTTATTAATATTTGCATCAATTTACTTTAATCTTATTTTATCGCAAGAACAGTTAAATTTATGTGGCGTATATTTAATGAATTATAAAACATAATATTCTGTATAAATGTACTTATTGCGGTGCATTTCAGAAAATGAAATATTAAAAAATAAATATTTACTTGCAGCTGATTGTTGACACACATATGGAGAAAAGGGTACAAGGTTTTCAAGGTTGTCTCTTTACATAATTTATATGAACACGTGTCTCTATACAAATATAATACATTGAATAATAAAATATTCTATTCGTCACAATATGTATGGAAAAAGAGTATTTCCAACATACTTAAAAAAACATTTCTTTTTTTTTAATTATGTGCTTTCTTTTAATTAAATTATTTGTGTAATATTTGAAGCTTTCTCACTGCAAGTATGCGTTGTGTATAAGAATTGTATTAAGATTAACAAGTACGTGGTGATGCTACCCACTATCTACAAGCAAAATTACAAAATAAACGTGATATTTTTTAGTTAATAACATCAAATGATCGATTACTCACCGCAGTGAGAAGCGACGCGTCCACGTTGAGACCTTTCGCAGAGAATGCATTCTCTCGATGCAGTATTTGCAAAGAAAACAGCTGTAACTGCAATATCAGATCGCGTAATAAGTTGACATAAAAAATTTAAAAACATTATTATAAATGCATAAATTTAAATATAATAAAATTATATCAGTGCACTCATTTCCGTGAGAATTAAATTATATAAATTAAATTATATATATATATATATATATATATATATATATTACAAATTATATTACATATATTATATTGCATTTGTGTTACCTCGTCTTTGATCTGTTTATCACTAGTGTTGATGAGCACTTCGTGGACAGTTGTGCCAATCTCCAGAGCCTGGTCCTTGGCGGTCTCGCAAGCCCACACTATCAACGCTATTTTTATAGAAAAATACAAGATGGATGTAATGTAATATTGAAACCAGATCTGTTTGTCCAAATTGACGAGAGCTACGCCGTTTTGTTGTTGCACTATATAAAAATATAGGCTGAAAGTGATCTCGGCGAAGGTTATGACTATGGTAGCAAGGAGCTGTAGACTAAAAATCACGTTCAGCAGTTGTACCGCGTCACTGACCATCAGATGCCGTTTCTTCAGAGCCTTAAGCTCCATCAGCAAGAACGGATTCCTTTGCTCATGGTAGATCCGTCTAAGGAGATGCGGCTCGTCATTTACCACGAGTTCTCGCAGATTCGCCAGATTATCATTGATCTTTTTAAAACAAGCCTTCAGTACACAAACGCAATTCATGTATAGCATATCCATCTGAAAGACTACCAAAACGATGTACAGCGCAAAGATCTTGACTAAGCTATTGAGATAATTTTCGGAGTAACAGTTGGGTGCTTGCGCCATTAGAAGAATAAATCCGAGGATGTCCTTGGCATGGATTAGTCTAGATAGCTTCTCGTATGTTTCAGGAGGTAGCCTTGAAGAGATATCCAATATAATCTGGAGCAAGCGCATTCGCGGAGCGCTCAAGATGTACGTGACAATCGTTATGAAAGTGCCTAATAAGAAGAAGCAGTTAGCCTGAAGAGCCGCAGGTACGCCGGCAAATTCGATCCTTGCGGAAATATCCATCTCATAAAATATCGCCAGTCCAGTAATGCAGAAGATGCACAGGACAATGGTCGACGTGATGTAACGCGGTCTCGAGATCTCGAAGGTCGAAGCGCTAATCTTGTACGGAAATATTCCAATAATCCGGCAAAAAATGAAACAGGGATACATCAAAGATTGAAAGTCCGTCGCGTGGAACAGCCGCCATCTTTTTCGTACTTTACCTTTGGCTCGTCCTTGAAACTTCGATGACGGACGGAGCATGATCAACGAAGTGTCATGGAGAGTAATGATCTAAATCGTAGATTGAGATAATTATTAATTATTATCACATTATTAATGCACTTTCAGCATTAATGAGAGCTTAATTGCGAGTGCTTCTTCTCTAAGAGTGTAGCTTCTAAATTTATCTTTCTTGACATAAACTCTTCGTGATGTCTGTCTATATCCGGCGAGTTGAAGTACGAAACTGCGAAGAGTTCCTGCGTCGAATAGCAAGACAGAAGCCGCAGGGATTATTTGTTAGCCATGAAGTAACCATGGCACTCTTCGATCGGTATTTGTCACCCTTGGGATGCAGCGCTTAAAGTAATGATGTGTAATTGCTATGACATACGACCCATCATCTTGTGCATCTAGATCGCACATAAGGCGAATCATCTGTACACACGAAACAGGAAGCATCGGCTGTGCAGTATCCACGTGACTCAGTAGCTCTCAAAGATCCGTTAATAACGGCCATCTAGTTTTTACATTCTTATACATGTATTATGCGTGCAGGATGTTGGATCCACACATTTCTCCGAGAATTATATATTTAATATTTCCTTTATTATAACATTAAATATAAAAATTTTTTACTTCGATCCAAAAAATATACTGCCATCTCGATATTTATTCTACGAGCATAATTTGCACGTATGATTATAAGTTACAAATTATTCTCACGAATCTATTAAAACAAATATAATTTGTATATAATATTATATACTAAAGCGTTGTTGAATTATACGTGTTTTGAGAAACACTGATATAGATCGCCGCGAAAGGCGTATGCGTAATGAATGTAATGTTGATAAACCGAGTTATGATGCAAGGACAAATGCTATTATCTAGATTAAAATTAATCGACATATTCCCTCGACTGATGAAAATTGTTAACAAGTATGTTATGGTTTATAGACAACAAATTATTCAAAACTGACTGGTTTTTTTTGTATTCAAAGCGACAAGAAAAGGGATGAAATGGCACAAATATTATCATTATGGTAATGCGTCTTTACGAAACTTCATCAAATTATCATTGATAAGTGAAACTTGAAGGACAAACATACTTTTAACAAGTTGTTCGAGTTGCTTTTGAAAATTAAACATTAAACATTAAGTATGATTACGTTCCTACTTTCAATGAAAAACATGAGAATAATTGAAATAAAAAATTCATTAATAGCAAAATGAAATTGAAGTTTCAAATTTATAAAAATGTCTCCAATAAATTCTAAATAATCATATATGTAATATAATTATGTAATGATCATATATTCCAAATTTACGGTATCTTCTTTAACTTATGGATTCTTTGATCAAAGAGTTGATTTTTCTTTCACAAGATTGTCGAGATATTCAAATTGATTAAAGAATTTATAGAAGAAGGAAAAGACATTCCTTTTATATATCAAAGATAATTATAGGATTGCCACACAGATTTACTTATTTTATATTTTAGTCTACCTTGTAATTGATCGTCTATAGTTGGTCATAGATTACTTGTATCGCATACATATGTTTTATTTCTTATCATGTTCTTTATATTATTTTTATGTTTCATTTTTGTTTAAAGCTTAAAAATTATAAAAATGCATTTGTAAAATAGACAAAATAATTGTTAGTATATTAGAGTTTATTATAAATGATACACATTCACACACACACACACACACACACACACACACACACATACACACTCACATTTATATAATGACGCAATTATATAATGACTTATTTATGAATACATCTCATCTGATGTTTATCTAATATAAAAATATATGTTTAACTAATATATAAATGTAAAAGAAGGCGATTGCTTTTAAAGTCTCTCTTGTGCATATCTTCTTGTGATGAGCGCAATAATAACTCTGAAATATAAAGGCATATTAAACACATATAAAGCGCTATTAAAATTTAAAAGAGCTGTTTAACATAAATGAATATTTATTATATATTGTTGCTTATTTGAATATTCTCCATACAATGTATATATTGTTTGAATGCGCAAAATTTTAACTCATGCACGAGCATTTTACATAATTTTGTTTGATTCGGCGCACTCGCATTTTTGTTTTACATAAATATTTCCGTTTTCAATATTTCTAGTATTTAACGTATATTTGATTCATGACGTTTCACATAAAGTAGAGTAAAGACGTTTATTATCTATCTTTATAATGCAATGATAATCATATTAATAATATAACAAAAACTTAAGTAAAAATGTGATATATGATAGCTGAAGTATCTTTGAATCCATAGCTGAAGTATCTTTGAATATCTAGAAAAAAAATATTTTGATATATAATTATACGTTATTGCATATTATATTAAGAACGAAAAATTCATTTTAAAATATCCTATATTATGTTAAACAAAAAATCAATATAAAATTCATTGTAAAAAAACCTATATATTGTATTATGCTATTAAATTCTTCTCATCTCATAACATTTTCCAGTTTGTCAAAGCTATTTATCAATACAAATCGATACAAAAACAATTTTTATAGACAGTTTAAACGAAGTGTTTCTAAGATTCTCAAAAACTTCATCCGTTATAAATTATCTGCAATAATTATAACAATTTCTGTGTAAAAAAACTAACAATAAGAAGTTTTTAAAAGAATCTATCTATTTCATTTATTGGAAATGCTCGAGCATAATTAATACAAACTATAATAAATGCAAACTATTTTGTATAATATTTTTGTTACAATATATGTGTATATACTATATATATATATATATATATATATATATATATATATGTATAAGTAAAAAAGATGATAAAAAATGTGTTATATTAATACATAATGTCAGAAAAAATAAATTTTATTATGAGCTTAAAAAATAGATTTTTTACAGTCAATATATTGTTTACCAACTCGAAAATAATTAAAACATTTTACTAGATTTTTACAATATCCCTTTTATATTTTATCAATTTGATATATTTTACTTTTGTGAAATAAAAAAATTAATATATTTATCAGTTTTATATATAAATCTTAAAAGCTAAATTCTACTTTTTATGAATTTATAAATTTATAAATATTTTATTATTATTAGTATTTATAATATTTTATTAAATTTTATATATTTTTTTAAAATGTTATCACGTGATTAGTACGTCTAGAAACTTTTATAATTATATTGGCCGTATTCAGCGAATTCAATTGCAATTTCATTGACGTTAGAAACCAGTGGCAAATTCAAGTGTAGTAATTTGTAATTGTGGGTCTGTTCTTTTTAGCTGCACTGTTACACTAGTACAATTAGAGTGAAAGAAAGTATGTTTGTCTCGCATGTTTTGCCGCTACTTCTCCCTCCATTAAGACAAGCGGCAAATTTAGTCATTAGATCCCCATTTGCCGCTGGTTTCTAGCGTCAATGAAAAGGCCGCTTCAGATTCAACCAATCAGCGTCAAATTACATTGGAAAATCTCATAATATTGTCCAACTGTTGAATCCGCTGAATCTTCTTTCCTTTTTTCGAACTGATTATTGCAACTCGTCACTAGATGTCTCTAATTTCGTTTGGCGGTACATAATGGTGATTTCATATAAACCTGTATGTATGTACAATCTTATAGAACGGCGTCATTTGATACACGCGGCGGTTTGCAAGTATAAATTAAATAAAAAAAAAAGTCAATCATCTCACTTTTATCGTTGGAAACTCTTCAATTGTTATTAGCGAGCTTCATTTATCTACTTATTTGTTCCGTAATCATCTTTTATAAATATTGAGATCTAACTCTCTTAATTTAACCTAATAAAATGGGCGACAATATCGAGAAAGGAATTATCACCCGCATTATCCTGGAAAATTTTGTGTAAGAATGAAAGAAACTATAATTTTTTTTATATTAATATATTATTTATTGAATATTATGTATTGTATTATATTATATTGTCTTGTATTATACATTATCTATTGTATTATCTATTGTATGATTTATAATTTAATGTACTCTTTCAATATTTTTCAACAGGACTTATGATAGCGCTATAGTGAATCCTACCAGATATCTCAATGTTATTGTTGGACCTAATGGATCTGGCAAGTCCACTATTGTTGCCGCTATAGTTCTTGGCTTAGGTGGCAGACCTAATATCATTGGACGAGCGCTTCATATAGGAGAATATGTTAAGTATGGATGTCAATCCGCAAAGATAGAAATTCATTTGAAGAATGGCAATAAAAGGGATCATGTGATAGTCAGGATTTTTACCAAAGAAGGAACATCTAAATGGATGATTAACGGTGCTCAATCATCTGCAAAAGCTGTACAAGAATTCACATCCAGTCTTAATATTCAGGTATATTGCTTTATTATATAGTCTTTCACAAAATATATTTTTTGAAGACACTTTGCTTTTATTGCTTTTTATAGGTTGATAATCTTTGTCAATTTCTACCACAAGATAAAGTGCAAGATTTTTCAAAAATGGATCCCCAAGGTTTGTTAGAAAATACTGAAAGATCTGTCGGAGATCCAAAACTGTTAGAATATCATCTACAATTGAAGAAACAAAGAATCCATTTCAAGGAATTAGAGTCTGACATAGCAAATAAAAAACGACTATTGGAATCTAAAGTTCAAAGACGTGATGGGTTGCAACAAACTGTCAGTACAATAAAAGAAAGAAAATTGATAAAGAAAAAAATTACAACACTGAAACAAAAAAAGACATGGATGCTGTATGAGGAAATGCGCAGAAAATTAGTGCAGGTATACAAAAATTAATTTTATTTGCTATATGATATATGTGATATTATCAAATAATATTTTGTACTATATTATATTTTTATTGAAATCTTATTACAGTCTAAGAAAATCAGAGATATAGCAGCAAAAGAAATGCAGTCAATAGATGCTCAATTGATACCAATAAATAAAAAACTTGAGAAAATGAAGTTTAATATGATGACATTAAAAAATTCATTAAATGATCATGTAAGTAATACAAAATAAGATCGTTATATTAAAAAAATTATTTGATTTATATTAATAGTATAATTCTATATCAATAATTTTAAATACACATTTTCAGAACAACAAAGTTAATGCTAAAAGTACAAAATTAAAGAGCGTAATAAATGAGATTCTTAGTTGTGAAAACAGGATTAAAGAATCTGAGAATACATGTTCATGTAGAATTCAAGCAGAACAGAATCGGGATCAAGATATTAAACTTGCACAACAGCAGAAAAGCAAATTGGAAAATGATTTTTCTCTTATGATTAATGAGATTGGAACAGGTTTGTAATTGGTGATTTAATTTAGAATAATAATAAATTGATGAGAAAAAAAGAAAATGTATATGTACTATAATATTATATACAATTCAATATATGTATTATATGTTTTAGAGGAAAGTTTAGTAAAGCAATTGCAGAATGTAGCAAGCAATATGGAGGGACATAGAAGAATAATGGATAATTTCACCAATAAAAAGAATTTATTAAAACACGAAGAAGAAAAAATTGGTTATGAAATAAGAGGTAGAAATAAACTTGCATATTATATTATTTTTAGTTTACATTCATTGTATTTATTTGCTGGTAAATTTATCAATTGGAATTATGATTATAGCTACACAAGCAGAATGTCAGTCTCTGAATATTGATGTGAAGCGTTTAGAACTCTTGAAACGAACTAGTCCTGACGCATATAAAGGTGTGCTTTGGTTGAGAGAGAATCGTGATAAATTTTCGGCTACAGTGTATGAGCCCATGTTGCTCAGTATCAATGTAAAAGAGGCTTCATATGCCAAGTATTTAGAAAACATAATATCCTTTCGAGATTTAGTCGCATTCACATGTGAGAACAAACAGGATATGAATTTGCTACTGAAGTACTTGAGAGATCAACAAAAATTGCAAGTTAATGCAATTTATTCTGATACCACCAAAAAAATTATGCCACCAAATATACCATTACAAGACATTAAAAAATTTGGCTTCAAGCATTATTTAGCATCACTTATTGAAGCACCACCTGTCATAATGACATATCTGGTTTCAATGTATCAATTAAATAATATTCCTGTCGGGACCAATGAAGTCGAAAATAATACAGATCGTATACCCCGCAACTTAAGCTGTTACTTTAGTGGTGAGTAAATTTTCATACACATTGAACCTTATGAATACAAATTTCTAAATTAATTATTCTAACAATTATTATTTTAAATAATTCAATAAAATTTTCTTTGTAGAGAACAACATTTATTCTGTGAATATATCTAGATACACACGCACAACATCGACCAGAATATCACAAGTCAATGGAAATGGCTTGCTATCGATTATTCTAGATAAATTAAAAGTACAAGGACTTCAAGAACGGTATATTAAAAAATGCAACACTATATTATAACAATATATATCTGCTTTAGACATAATATATAACAATATATATTTGCTTTAGATTAAAGAACTTGCAAGAAAGGAAAAATCAAATCTTAATTGATATTAAAGAGGAAGAAGATAAAATATGTGAGGAAACCAAGGAATTAGAAAAATATCGATCTGACAGAAATAAATATCAACAAAATATTCAAAGTATTCAAGCCTTGAAGAGCAGAATATGCATAGCTACTAAGAAAATTGAACAGTTGGAAATGGAGCGAACAAGTATTGATAATATAAAAGCCACATGCACTAAAGAGATTAAGGTTTGCTTTAAAATAATATATATTATTGTATAAATATTCTTGTCTAACTTACAAAATCTGTATTTATAATTTTATATTCTGTATTTATAATGCACAGGCTATTATAAAGAAACAATTACAAATGTATAAAGAATATAACACAATTCTAAAGGAATGTTTCAATTGTGTTACAAATAATGACGAAGTCAAATTTGCAATAGCTTTACTGCAACAAACTTTAGTTATTAAAGAGAATGAGGCTGCAGAATTGAAGGATACGTTTATAAATGCAGAGAGGACATTTAAGCAACACGACGAAGAATTTCAACCTTTAAAGAGGGAAGCTGAAAGACTGTATAATGAAGCATTGGCAAGCACAAATAATATTAATCCACAAGATAACGCATTTAAACTACTGAATAAAGCTTTTGAAAAATTACCAGCTACTATAGACGAAATAAATAAAGAATTAAATATTGCTCAAGCGAAAGTCTTCTGTATGGCGAAAAACGTAGATGCCGAGAACGTAAGTGTAACAAATAGTATAATGAAAACTAAAATTCTTTTAACATATTACAAAATATAATTATTTATGTAATAATTATTTATATAATATAATTATTTATGTAATAAAAGTAATAATTGAGTATTTTCTTTTACTATGTTTAGGTGCTTCATGAATATGAGGAAATACAAAGTAATATTCAAAAATTGACTGAATTTGTCAAACAGAAGACTATTAAACTAGAAGAAATGACAAAAGAGATTAATACATTAAAAGAAAAATGGTTACCACTATTGGAGCAGCTGATTGAAAGGATAAATACTAATTTTAGTTCTTATTTTTCTGCGATGGATTGCGCTGGCGAAGTTACACTTGCACATGGTGAAAATGTCGTAAGTTTATCTACATATGTAATATATTAAATTAAAATTCTTTTATTAACTAAATATATTTCCAGCTGGATTTTGATCAATATGGTTTAAAAATCAGAGTAAAGTTCCGAGATACGGATGAACTGCAAGAATTAACAAGACATTTTCAAAGCGGTGGTGAAAGAACTGTAACTACTGCCATTTATATGATCGCTTTACAAGAATTGTCGCGCGTACCGTTTCGCTGTGTAGATGAAATTAATCAGGTTCATTATTATACATTGCATATGATATATCTACATAATTTATATTCATATATTTTATACTTTTATTATAATTTAAATATTTCGCGATTTAATTTTTAGGGCATGGATGCAATTAACGAAAATCGCGTTTTTAATTTACTTGTTAAAATGACAGGACGGCCAGGCAGCTCTCAATATTTTCTGCTCACACCAAAAGTAAGCATAGTACTATTATTCAATTTCATTATATGATATGACTTTTATTAATCATATTGTTTTAATAGCTTTTATTAGACTTATCATATGCGGAAACAGTGACACTACATTGCGTTTTAAATGGACCAATTATTAATACAAGTGATAAAGAGTTTGAATTTGATACAGAAGCTTATGTCAATAGTTTTGCATCAATAACTGATATATAGAAGAGAAACATAAAAGTAAAATATTTTATTTCTTATATACAAAGAAATAAAGTTTTTTACTAGGTTGCAAAAAAGTTATTTTTTGTTTTTTTATGTATATATTAAAGTTTGAAACTATTTTATGTGTTAAAAATATGGAATATAAAAGTTAACATGATAAGATATAATAAAGATATAATAAATTATATTTTTAATAGTATTGGCAATCTCAAATTAATGTTCAGAAAAAAAATCGTGTCAAGATTATTGTAATACAACTACAATAATATATTAATTACATGAAAAATTATTTATATGTGTTTTATATGTATATGAATATATACATATATTTTTTTTTATTTATTTATATTATCATATTGAAACTGTTTTCCACATAGAAGCACATATTTCCAAGTTCAATTATTTATTTCTTTCTTTTTCCTTTTTTCTTTTTCTGTGCTTCTGGCCATGGGAAACCTCGGCATTTAAGCACGTCCATGATGTTATGACATGTATAATATGCATTTTCCATCACTTCTTCGTTAAAAATATCCATACCAAATCGTGCTTTCCCACCACTTCTTCTCGATTTCTTCGATCCTTTATTTTTATTACCATTGCCTCCTTTAGTACTTTTTCCATTATTCTTTCCGTTAGTTTTTCCGCCGCCTTTTTTCTTACTTTTTCCACGTATTGCCATTGTTGAAACCTAATCGATTAATACCTTGATATCCAAATTATCAAGGTTGAATATTATTTATTAATAATAAATATTCACTTTTTTTTATAAATATGATTATTATTAATTACCTTTAAAATAACGTGAAAATACTCTTGATCACTGTTTCTTCAGTACATTTGTGTCGCATTCTCGATTCTCATGTATGTAGAAAGTCGGACTCGAATAGGAATAAACTCGCGTTGCCATGTCAACTTGTAACAATTACATCAATAAAGGTAAGTTCATCGATCACTTACGCTAAACTAGCCAATTTTTCAGAAATAATCCATACAAGGATATTGATTACACTTCATATTAACGGAAAATTTATATTTATATATCAGTTTTCGTGTCCTATGCAAAATGGAACGATATTTTAATTTTTGCTTAATTCTTCAAACTTTATTTTAAACGAGATATTTTAGATTAATATTTTACCGAATTTTGACAGAAATTCTGACACTTAATATATCAAAAATGTAAATATGTTTTAACCATCGACATTTACAATATTTTTAACTAAATATGTATTCGCGACACGTAGATAATTTTGAGTCGCTGACCTTCGAATCTTTGTACATGCTCTGAACAACCTTGATCTTATGTTAGATCGTTAATGTATTTAATATCTATTGTGGATCTCGAGGTAAAAATTTGGAGGTCAATACAAATATATACTATTGTGAGACCTTTTTTTTTCAAAATATTTTCTATCAAGATAATTCAAACAATTACATCATTTCGGGTTTAAATATTACAATGTAACTAAAACATCAAATATTCGCTTTATTTAAATTTTTTCAAATTTAATTACATTTATATATAAATGCATTCATTCATTTTAACAAATAAAATTCAAATTTAAAATTAAGTACAAGATGAAAAAAATTGATTCGTGAATTATTTACGCCGGAAATTAAAAAAAAAAATGAAAAATTACGATAACGCTTTTTGAATAGATATAAGTGCGAATAAAATTCGGCGAATAAATTTCATTTATAATATGTAAATTACATTTGGTACAAAAGAATATAAAATAGGAAAAAAATATGAAATAAGTAATAAAGAATAAATAATATAGTGTGAATAAATAAAATGTGTGCAGTATTTCTTCGCTTCTTTTATATCGCGAGGGAGCAGTGCGAAACAGTGCGTTCCATTTGGCGTGTTTGTCGCTGACGCGTACAGATGTCAGTCGTCAGTCGTCCGGCGAATCTCGACGGGAGCGGATGTGATTCGCGTGTCGAGTTTGCAAAACGGGACGCCGGCGAGCCGGCCGCTACAATCATTCGTATCAACTTGCATTGACAAATAGACGAAGTTGTCGCACCTCGCCCTCGAGATTCACTGGTTGCAGCATCATTTGGTAAGCAGAAATTATCCGAAAGCGAGTGGCACGATCATTAATTTCTCTGCCTCTCGTCGAGCACTTTCGTCGATAGTCCGAGCACGAAGAGATGGGTGTGAATAGGACGAGATCTCCGGTGGCTTTTTGTCCCTACACCTTTAATTTACTTTCGATTTGAACGATCATCGATGAACTCGATGGAACAATTATTTGTTTGTTTAAATCTTTTATCGATTGGAGAAAAATTGTATTTATTTCTTGATTGTTATTTATAGATTATTCATTAATGTTGATGCTAAAGTTATAGAAATAAAGTTAAAAAAGAGGATCAATAATCAATTAATTAATTCGCTGCCAGGGATTCGTACTTAGGCATTATATTGATTTAGAAAGATGGATTAATTGATTATGACTATTATTAATAATCATTTATTTTGATTTCCAATATTTTACTTTTCAACATCGAATTTGGAGAATAAGAGATTGCTTATTAAATAATGTTTATTAAATAAAAACAAATTTTATAATTACATCGCAATGTGAGGAATAAAAATTCGAAAAAAAGAAAAAAACATTTAAATACAAATTTTTGCCTCAAATCAATTTTCATATTAAATAACAAATCGTATTTTGCATATTCGTCATTTTTTATTCAATACAAAATGTTAAAAACATTCTTGATTCTAAAAAAGTGATCGATATTTATAAACGAATTTGGACATTTTCTATAAATTGATTGGCTAAAGAAACACGTTAAACTATCAAATTAATGTGATATTTATTATCGATCTTTTGTTGTATCATCGATAATGATTATCGTTATTCTACTCGTTATTGTATCATCGATAATGATTATCGTTATTCTACTCGTACCTTATTAAATACATATAACAGTTAAATTGGGAATGCAAAATGATGTAAAACATAATCGCAATTTTTTTGCAATTACAATTGTATCTTTCATTATGCAAAGCAAATAAATATTTTTCCGGCTGCTCCATACAACTTGTCATCCGGCGTTTATGTCATTCTGCATTTCCAGTACCTGTCACGTGTCTATCATCTGATATCAGAATTGTGTTTCGTATTTTAATTAGAGTTACTTCTGCTCGCAGATCACGCTTCAACCGTATGAATCAGTATTCGTTCACTGCCATTGCAGCCTTACTCATAACCTGTTATCGTTCCGCGTAAACTGTTAAAGAAGATAACGAAACTCCAAGAGGAGCATTTAAAGAGGTGAGGAAAAGATACCACGTAGATACAAAAACTTAACAAATAACAGTAATTAATAACATTGAGTAATGCCGCTGAGAGTAAAAAAACTTCGAAAAACTTAATGACACATAGTGATAAAAGGATGCTTGAATAATGATCTTTAAAAGATTAAAGTCGCGCGATGTTTTGAGAAGTCTGGAGGAAATGTAGAGAGCGAGTGAAGAAAAGGAGGGATTTCTATTTCTTTCAGGCCAACGACCTAAGGAAAAATGTCTACTGCTTTATTAGCCGTGTTCGCCGTGATCCTGTGTATTCTGTTCAGGATATTAAACGTGAATAGCGCACCGCAGAAGCCTCTCCTCGTCTGCAAAGACCAATCTTTCCTGTCGGCGATGTTGAAGATCGCGCCGGTCATTGCCGAACCGTAAGTCTGAAAAAAAATCCATTTTTTATCTTTCAAATACTCCGTGAATTGATTGTTTCGAATTTTGCGACTCGAGAGGATTATTCGAGAGATTAGAATCCCGGATAGAGATTTCGAGAGCTACGAGTTTCATAAAAGTAAGGTTAGGGTTGATACTAGACGCCGGGTCCAGCTGATGCTCCAGCTGATATGTTAGTATAGATAAAATTTCTATTATTATCTTGTACGCATAAATATTTCAATTGCACGTCATATGTCATAGAAGAAAAGAATGAATAAAAACATATGTGAGAAATGTTTTTAAAAATATAAGAACGGAGTTTTTATATTTTTAAAAATATTTCTCACTTTATGTAAGCAAAAAAAATATGTTATATAATAGAAAAAATATGTGCTATATTTTATGTAAATTTTATGTATATTTTATGTATGTTTTCTTTTATGTAAATTTTATTTAATGCGTGTAGAAAAAATTATAACAATGTAGACGAAATTACAAGAGATGTTGATGCACGAATTTATAAAATTATAATTTTTTATGAAGAAATTCAATCAATTTTTAGCATAATTTATACATGTATATGTGTGTGTGAAAAAATAATTAAATTACCATTATTGAATCATTATCATTACTATATTATACACTGCATGATTATTTGCACAATATAAGAATTGTCTAGAGCTTATATAATTATTATTAGTGATATATCTTTCTCTCTCTTTCTCTGTCTCTCTGTCTTAATAAAACACTGTTTTTTTATTTGATTGCTTACACAACATATGCATGAAGAGTCCAACAAATACTCTCTTACTGGTATTATATGAGTGCTCCTGAATGAATATAATGGATGTTTTTTGCAAAATTAGGAATATTTGCGATAATGGATTGTTATAGGCTTTTGTCAAACAACAAATAACAAACTAGTCAAGGCGGTTGTTATAGGGAATGATACGTAGTTACGGTAGTTAAAGTACAGCAAAGTATAATTTTGTGAATAATGACAGCAAATACTTTCATTATTACGATCTTTGTTCTTAACCCTTTAATTATGGCGTCAATAGACGACAAAACATAAATTTTATGAAACACGGCTGTCATCAATAAGCGATTTTAAGATATGCTGTGATGCGGGGATTGCTCATTGATAATTTCGTTGGTTCTTACGTTGTGTTACCTCTATACAATTATTTATTAAGTAATTAATAAAATAAATAACTAGATAGACTCGTTAATAGACTCGTAGGATAGACTAGTTAAGTTGTTACAGAGAGATATCATTTATTATATAAATAAACATAAAAAAATATTACAAATTTTTCTCATTTCCGCAAATCATGGATTATTACTAAGTTCAAGTATATTTACGTAACGAAGGTTAATAATTATCTAAATGCCATGCTTTATCTACTCGGAATTGATAAAAAAGAAAATAAATGTGCAGAAAATATGTAGAGAACGAAAACGAGTAAAGTCTTGCAATTTATAAAAAAATAATTAAGAATAACTGTACGCCAAAATATTTTTCTCTTCTCTTCATTAAGAAAAAATGAAGAGAACAAAGTTGGCCTGTTAAATAATTTTTTCAACTTGTTTTATCTATTTTAGCGCACAAAGTGACGTATAAAAATAATTTCTATCAATTATATAAACATTTAAATTGCTCACAACTGTATTCGCGGAAACATTTGATAAAATTTTGTAAAATAGTAATCACTCGAAATTGAAGAATAAAAGGATAAATAAAAATGATAAAATTTTTTTAATTGGGAACATCGAATAAATATTCCAATTTTGTTGTAGAGAAAAATTGATGCTCTTGTTCTGAATTCCATAGTGTTGCACCCGTTTACAAGATCAGCATTTAAATTAGCACTTCCTATTTCCGTGTCGAAAGAATGGCGCGTGACTGCTAATACTTTTATCACAATGTATTTGCACGTGTGAGAAAAAAGTGCGTGAATTAAGATACGAACTGTCATTCGCAGTGCGCGTGTCATATAAAGTTTTTTTTATTATTCTGCTAGAATATATTATTATTATTATTATTATTTATTTGACATAATCCGTGCCTTCTGCTAGATTACATTTCCAATCACGAATGCTGTAAGCGAAATAATAATAGAATCATGTCCAGTTTATAATACATATGCTATAATACAGTCACTTTAATTGATCTCATCGTTATCTCGTATAAAGAATGATTCACGTTAGTTGTTTTTGCGAATATTATCAGCAGCAAGCACGCGGAAAATTTGCGTTCGTGTATATTTACATGTTTTAATATAATTTTTAACACACTTTGACAAAATATATTTCCACGGAGTTTCACTTTGTGGAGAAAAGTCTCGACGACGAATAAAAAATGCATCGCGAAGCTATACTTCCATTAATGCAATGCAAATTAAATTGTTAGCTAAGTCGTTGAGATAAACGATATTGAATATTCGTCAAAACGATATTTTTATTGATATTAATAATTTTAGTCAAGCTATTTATTTCACCATTAGACACTACAATGTCTACTACTGCAAATTAACAATCATGTGAAAGCGAAGTGAAGCAATTCCATGCTGCATGACGCTGATGTCATGCAAAAGTCTTGATTCGATAATACATAATTAAAAATAACATTCTATCGATCAAACAACTCATTGTTAATTTTTTTCTTCTTTCATTCGCGTTGCATGAAAGCGCTTAAGAAAGCGGAAACGCGTAACGATTTTTAACTTTATATTGCATACAGACGAAATAGTGACATCATATGTGTTCGTCTTTTTAACCGATTCGAGAATTTAATTATAAATATAAATCTCGTAATCCCTATTGATTGAAATCAAATTGAGTTTGATGTCCAATCCTTAGATCAACGTAAATGTCATCGTAAATGTCAACGTAAATATCAGGCTTCGATTGGGAAAATGAATTATTGGACAAATGAATTATTTTTTGCAAAATGTCTAAGCATACATGATTTAATATGAAAACTTTTTAATTCCATTAGTTTCAATTTTTCGCGCGATCGCGATAGATGATTATTATTCGATCTCACAGTGAAGAACTTCTCTCGCGCAATTTATTGAGAAATTGTGAAATTCCTTAGCAATCAGCTGTCGAGTGTTGCTTTTACTTCTCGTCGCTTTTTCTAACGTTCGAATGTGTGGCGGCGAAAATCTTAAATTATAGATTTCGATCGTCCGATTGTCATGCCATCCTCGTAGCCATACATTTGATCGTTGCTTTGCTTCTCTTGCGAAGATCGAGTTGTTCGCGGTACGCAATTCGCTCAAATCGGTTCCGTCTTGTTCGAGTGAATGAATTGCACGAGAACTGAGCCACTTCCCTTCACGAGTCTGTCGCTTTCTTCTTTCTAATGACTATACGTTGCAACTATTGCAGCACACCGTTCTTGAGTCATTACCATCTAGCTGAACTTCTCACGAACGTTTTTTTTGCATTTCCGCATTCACCATCACGTAAAAAAAATAACGGTTCTTTCGTGCACATCATTCATTCGTTCTCATATATCACACCCGTCTTTAACTCGCGATTCTACGTACACGATAATAAATTTAATCACAGACCAATTGAAACCATGCAACCCATATACTATGTATTATAACGCATTAAGCATTATTTGAGATCGAAGAAATTAGATATAATCATACATTAGAGTGCTAAATAAATATTCAATAAATATCTGATATATAATATGAATTAGTAGCGCACTCTAATTTTTCACTATCATTGATAAATTGTAGAAAATGTAATTTCGTCTATGGAATCTTTTCTTGCGATATTGGAATATGATATTAAAACGATAAAAGCGAAAAAATTGCGAATTACTCGTGTATAATTAATTTTATTTTTTCACTCTCTAATGAAGTCAAATGGCTATACACATTATAAAATTAATTATTCACAGTAATTCCTTTGTAATTCTTTTGCTTTAATAATACAAGTGAACTACTTGCTCTTTTTATCGCATGTAATATGTATGTAATTAAATAGATTATCTTATTATTGACAGAGTCATTAACGACATACTCTTTCGACATTTTCCTTTTCCCGTTTAAATAGTAAAGTTGACATTATTAACGTAATACAATGTCCTTAAAATTATGAAATTAGCAAATTAATAATTATCTCATTTGTGATGTCTTAGTATAATAAATGATTAATATTTTCATTAAAGATAATAAATTTACTCTCTTTTTCCTTTTCTTTCTCAAAATTATAATATTAACAAATCGATAGTTTTCATCTTGATAGTTTTCATGTTCGACCAATTCTTGTCGAATCTGATTTAATATAATGATGAGACAATTTGTTTATTGAAACAAGATGACAGAGAAAGAGAGAGAGAAAAAATAAAATTGTTTATTTATACATTAGCATATATTAAAAAATAATTTAAATATTCGTCGATCGTGTTAAATTGACATTTTATCAAATAATTTTTAATCATATTATAAGAAATTGATGTGAAGAGAAGAAGTGAAAAATATAGTCTACAATATTATATATTATTAAAATAATAATTTGTAAATAATTAATTAATATTGTCAATTATGCATAGGTAGTTTTTCGAAAATCGAAATGCCTGGACGAAAGACGAATGACGAACAACGTAATATAGTTCAGTAAATATGAATAGCTTTCCGACTTTTTGATCGATTGTACTAGTTATGACCGTGAACTCCGAACAAGAGAATCATATATTGTAAATCATATTTATATAAGATTTGAGATTTATATTATAGATATTTATATAGATATTTATATAGATATTTATATAGATTAAATTTTATAATTTAATATATATGACTTATATAATCTAATGACTATGCAAATTTAATTTTTCAGCTAATTATATATAAAATGATAACAAAAAATATACTTTTTTAATATCTAAAGTAAATCATCTTCGTATAATTTATGTTGCTTAAATTTGAGTTTCGTCGAAACTTGGTATTTATACTAATATTGATCATAGGTGCGATATATTATAAGTAATTTATTATTTTTAAAGTGCAAAAAATTGAAATACATTAATTTTATCGATTGCGTTTTTTTGAAAAAAAATTCAAGGATAGATTCAATGATAAATATCGTCTAAAAATATTACGTCAGTACAAAAGTTCTTACGTACATATGCATAAGTTATTAACTATTTTTAAGGAATTTTGAAATAATATGATCCAAACTTTCCATTATGCATTCTCACGTGTAAAATTTAAATTAATATAGTGTATGGAATATAATTTGAGATCGATTAAACATGATCTTAGAACAAACTTTGCGCGCATATTATTCGTGCATGTGTCGAAAATCAGAATGACTATAGGAAACTATCACAAAAACGTAGGATTTTTTCTTCTTTGGCAATTGAGGGCCCGACATATAGTTTACCCTACTTTTCCTTATCACGTCATAATTTGCGCGATGATTTCGCAATTGTGGCGTGAACAGTATTGACACAATATTTTCACCTAACGTTTACAATGGCAAATTGCTACATGTATTAACTACGTTCAACTTTACGCTAACTCATTGCTGGAGAAAAGAATTTTATGTTGATTTGTAAATCACAAAATTTCAGGACAAATCTTTTCTCTTCTCATGCTGTAATTTAAGTCACATAGAGAAACGAATTAAATAGAAAGTATGATAGAACAAAAACAAACGTCAAAATTTGTCTCATTGAACGATTGACCATTTTATGCTGATTGTGCCAGCAGAGAAAACATGATATTAAGAATTGAAAATAGAGATTGGAAAGTAATTATCATCAAGATGATCTATTGAGTTTCCGGAGAAGCTTTTAGAGAATTGAATCTAATGAAACAAGTGTATTAATTAAATAAATTTCTACTAATATAATATATAAAATAATGTATAAAAATATTTTATATCATTAGTATTCGCAGGAAATTTTATGATATACTTTTGAATCTTTGTTCTAATTTTTTGATAAATTATTTTGATGAAAAATCGCATTTTTTCTGTATTTAAAAAATAAACTTTCGACATAAATGTATGATAAATATTTCTTCTGTGAAGTAAAAATCAAGTTGTGTATTCTTCGCGGGTCTGTTTTACTATGGACAATCGATATTAGTATAGTGTTACTATACTTTATTGATCCGTTGTCGTGTGACTTTATACATTTCTGCCATATAAATGCAATATTTATTATATGATCGATGCAGTTTCATGCATAGTTTTAATAATCGTCCAATGCCGTATATTCTTTGACAGCTGTAACCGCATACCATTATGATAATAATTATATACTACATATTTTGGTTTTCTTGATAGACAGCAATTTATGGACAGCAAAAAGAGAAAGGTTTGAACCTTTCGAAACAAATTGTACAGGCTTTTAGAAGTTGTCGTGAATCCGGCTTTGAATAAATATATGTAATTATGTCGATAAGTACTTTATCTAGCGATTTCGTGAAATATATTTTACTGCCAACGATGAGTTTTATGATTCATATGCAGACACTTCGAAGTAAATAAAACGTAATAAATTTAATGTATAACAATAAACATTTTTATGTAAATTTTTTATAGATTTATTTTATGCAATATTTTCTCCCGTGTTCTACTGATCCACTACGACTTCTTGTCTACTCTCTATAAAAGAGTTTAACGACTTATTGTTTGACTCCGCTTTTCACCGATTTGCGTTTTGTCAAGTGAAATGCATCATGTATTACAAGTTTATTTATAGTTTTCTCTTTAAAAAAAATAAAATACGTATTTTTCCTTTGTGATTCTCTATACTAAAAATAAATGATAGCAAAAATACCGATATCAGTTTGATGATAACATGTTTTTTACAAGAGTGAAAATTATATCAAGATTTGAAATCAATAATTTATCGATTATCTGTGTTTCACAATTTGTTTCAATATGTGAAACACGTGTGTGTATTATCAAAATAAAAAAATATTAAAATATTTGATTGCTTAAGCGTGCTATAACATATCTTGATTTTACCACGGTGTAATAAATTTTTTAAACACATGTTCTCTCGAGTATCTTTATTGGCATGTCTAAGTACCGTTACAACGTCGTAATTGAATATCTCTATTCGGGTAAAAATTATACTTCAGAGTTTGTCTAGAGTTTTAAAATACCACGAGGAAAATGTACAAATACTGATTGAATTTAATTTGTTTTCATTGATCATCGTTCTTATGAACAAAATAGGGCATATACTTTCAAAGAAAATTTTAATTGCTGGTACATCTAATCATTTTCTTTTATTTTTAACAATTCTGATTTGTCTCTCATTAATTTCTCTGTCGTCCTTCAAATTTAAGTATTTTTAGTGCTAGTTAAAGAAAGAAAAGAATAACAGGAAATGAAATGATAGATTGATAAAGCTAAATTAGCTGTGTTTTCTCAATAATTGCAAATAATAATTCTCAATGTATTTGGATGTACATAAAAATGACTATGATCCTTGGCCTATTTTACAGATACAAACCAACGAGGTTGTGGGGTTTCAGTGGACACGTACAAACCATTATTCACAGCGTCATAGGGCGCGTTCGATGTCCTTGGCCCATTGGCGAACGTGTGTACATCGGTCTTCCGGATGATACCACTCTTACATATGATCTCTATCAGCCACTGACCAATGGACATGAAGGTATATTGTTCATAAATTAATTTCAAAGATTTCTCAAAGAGTAATATGCATTTCCAGGCCATTTATTTATATTTATTATCTTACGAAAGAAGACTTAATAATGAAAAATTTAAAGAATAAAAAAGCGCACTAACATTTGATATTATTAATAATTGCTGTTCTTCAGATGACATAACGATAGCTATTTGTCCTGGTATCGGCAACAGTTCGGAAAGTGTTTACATCAGGACGTTCGTGCACTTTGTGCAGTGTCATGGCTATCGATGTGCGGTACTTAATCACGTAGGGGCCCTTTCCAGTGTCAAGATCACAGCACCAAGAATATTTTCTTATGGTACGTGTGGCGATCGATAAAACTCTCTTGTCCCATCACGATAAGACGGTCGATCGAGAATAATTTGCAACTAATAACGAGTTCTTATATCATGTATGTATGTGCGCATATACCGGGAATTGTAATAGCTACGGAAAAAAACCAATGTCGAAGAAGTATCATAAACTTCTTCGTTTGTTGTTACAGATATACATTACACACGCACACGCGCGCGCGCACACAACACACGCACGCGCACACAAAACACACACACACACACACACACACATGTATATATATTCTCAAATCGTATTTCTTTAAATTATTATTGATAATTCTAATTGGCAAAGAAATGTTTCAACAAAGAAATTATACTTGATATATGCTTATTATCAAATATAAACATTTTTTATAAGAATCAGAATTGAATTTCATAAAAAAAATTATCGCTTTGGTAATTAGAACTTAAAGATTGCATAATCATAATTGTACCAAATATATAATTACTTATTTGAATTTAATGTTCATAATTATTGTAAACTTATTCTCTCTTTTTAGATATATTAAATAAATATATTATTCATATATTGAATATAATTTCACACATTGTATAAATTCATATTATATAATCTTATATTATATTAAATTTGTTTCTCTCTTCTATTTAATTGAGATAAATCTTATAATGTGCGTCAATAGGTCACACGGACGATTACAATACAATGTTACAAAATCTCATAGAAAAGCATCCTAACACCAAAATAGTTTGCATCGGTTATAGTTTGGGCGGTAATATAGTAACAAAATATCTTGGAGAACGAGGTCCCCATAAATTGCCCAATATTATAGGAGGAATATCGATTTGCCAAGGATACAATGCTCTCGAGTAAGTAAGCAAATCTTTATTTTATTAACAATTAAAATGTTAATAAGGAGAAATATTAACGTGTTAATTGTATAATAAACAATTGTACATTGTTTTACTAGTTTATTGAATTTATATATTCGGTTTTCAGAGGAACGAAAATTTTATTAAACTGGCAGAACTTCAGACGCTTCTATCTCTATGTAATGACAGAGTCAATGAAAAATCTTATACTAAAGCATAAAAACATGCTTTTGTGCGATGATGTAAAACAGAAATGTAATTTGAATGAGCGCGATATCATTTCTGCAGCGACATTACCGGAATTGGATGAAGCATACACGAGAAGAGTAAATGCAATTCTTTCAAATACATTATTTATCAGATAATTTAAACGAATCTCTAATCTTTATAAATTGTTTTGTTGTTTAGGTACACAATTTTAGGTCTGTGCAAGAGTTGTATAAATGGAGTAGTTGTATCTTTTATCTGGACAATATCACAACGCCGATGGTATTCATCAACGCAGTAGACGATCCTATCGTACCAGAAGTGTTATTAAATCCAATTAAAGAGCACGCAGGTAAATATATATGTTATTTGCATATATATATATATATATATATATATATATATATATATATAATGAGTATTATAAGTAAGAATGTATTATTATTATATTTCTTAATTTTAGCAACTCATTTAAACACATTATATGTCGAATTGGCTCATGGAGGTCATCTAGGTTTCTACGAAGGTGGTCTTCTGTATCCAAATCCTATAACATGGTTAGATCGAACCCTGGTATCTCTCGTTGGATCTTTAACTCTAGCACATGCGGACAAGGCTCTTAAAACTTCTTAATTTAAATGAGCTCGGTTAATATTATTGGGCATAGATTATTTATATTATTGGACATAGAGCATCACTATCATTGAACATCAACAACATGTATTTTAATCTTGTTGTGAGGTGTGTAGCAAAGCATTGTACTTTCCCAATGTTTTGCGAAAATAATGCATGGAGAATAGAGACGACAAATTTAAATTAGTAAAAATATTTATGGTACCTTGAGTCTTTTCATGAAATGAAATAGACAAGGTTGTATCTTTTTATACAGTTAATACAGGGAAATAAGTGATCGTAAAATAACAAAACGTTTGCTCACTGATATTTTCGAAATTGGAATTTTAGAATTCGAGCTAAATTCCACATATTGCGCGACTCTTTATATAAACAGTTACATACAAACAGTAAATAGAATTTTTATTATTGTATAATTTAAAATCAAACGGCTTAAATTTTCGAAAAGCAAAACATAGAATAAAGAAATTTTACATATTTTACTAAATACTAACGCTTCTTTCTCAGGGATCTTCTATAGAACGACAAGTTCAATGACAAGATCTTTAATGATCATTAACACATTGTTAGAGCTATTCACTGTATAAGCGATTAACAATGATACATACTGTCAGTCCAATGCAATACAGAATGTCTTGTGTACTTTTCACTGAGAAGAATTTATTTATGTACAAGTATATATATATATATATATATATATATATATATATAAAATTTAGGATAAATATTGACTTAAAATATACTTATAATTTATGTAAATTGCATTTTAATTACATTCTAAAATTACTAGCTTTATCGATATGAGAAATTCGCCATAGATTGCATATGTGCGATAGATTATATATATTGCTGCTTATTAATCCATAATTGAGTGATAATGTTAGATTTATGAAGAAATCTATTTAATCAAATTTAATTTGTTATATAAATCTAAAATTTCGTAATGTGTGTGTGTATTCGAGTGTATATACTAAACTTTTGTAAATAACTTTTTTAAGCTAGAATTATATGTAGCAAATGATGAAACAAATTAAAAAGACTTACAAATCCAACTTTATTACCAGTGGATTAAAGCAGATAGTAAGTTTATATATTACAAATTTGTATATAAATTGTGTGTTTATACAACGGATAAGAAATAATCATGAATATTGCGTACCAAATTGACAATGTATGTAATACTAAAATCTACAATTATCTAATTCGATATATTCTTATTATTATACGAATATTGATATTCTTATTATTATACGAATATTGATAAATATACAATTCATTATATTCTATATGATGCATCTAAAATGTTTTATTCATTCAAATGTTTTATTCCACAAAATGTAATAAGTTTCAGTTTTATATGAAATATAAATAGAGTAAAATATGCTACATTAGATTGTATACTTGTTTTATATTTGTGACACAGAGATAGAAAATATGAAATATTTCTTAAATCATCGATGTAAGTCCATATCGATAAAGTTAATGCAATAATTTCTCATGTTAATATATTTTGATTGATACATTTATAAATTGCTACAAATTTATATATGATCGCGTGATTGGTTGATCATATTATACTTAAGTGAAACTTATTTTCTATTGAAATTGATAATGGTTTCTCAAACGGTATTATATTAATAATGGCTATATATCTACAATCTTATCTAATCATGTGATGTAATTGACTACATTTTTACTTAAATTATTTATAACACGAAAGATATATGATTTAGACGTGAATCATAATTTCACGTATTTAGAATAAGAACTTATTTTATTGATTTAATTCATCAAAATTCCAGTCCACTATCATAGATTTATATCCAAAATTAAATATTCAAATAGATTCGCTTTCTAATCACATGAAAGCAATCGTCGCAAATAAATTAAATTATAATTTATCGATTATTATATCATTTGTGAATTTTACTTATACAATTTGCATAAAAAAATAAGAGAAAGACAATAAGACAAAATATACACAAATAAAATTTATGAATAATGCTTTTTGTTAAAATATTTTGTAGCATAAATTATTAGGTATATGTGATAAAGTGTCTCTTTAGATATAAGATGTGTATTAATTTTTCACTGTTCTCATAAATAATTTTTTTAATGTGACTAATTTCTCTTATTATTTTCCTCTGCATTTTCTTATTATATTAATATTATCACAAATACGGAGTAAGTAACATTAGAAACTACCATTTCTAATATTTTATAAGGATACATTTAGATAAAAAAAGAGATAAACGACAGATAAGAAAGTTATAATTTCGAAGAACATTTTATGATAAATACATGTTTTAAATAAATGCATTTCCGAAATTTCAAAGGCATCTGTATTTTAAATAAAATTGTGTTTTTTTCTAGAAAAATCCATTTTCTTAATTTCATATACGGTATATATAAAAGTATTAAAATAGAATTTTTAAAAAATTTCTAGTTTACGAGATATTTATCATAATTCATTTTCGCATGTTTATTTTTTTTGTGACAGCTTGTGAAATATTTAAAAAATTTTATTTATTTGTAAAATGCAACGGCATATCTTCTTAGATACAATTATGCATTTCGTTATATCAATCACAAATTAAGTAATTTGTAGAAAATTAAAATAAATATAAAAATATAAATATAAATAAATATAAAAGTTAAATTAAAATAAAATTATTGGAAAATGAATATTTAATAAAATATACAGTTTATAATAACATAATGTCAAAATAAATTATAAAATATTTCGTAAACTATTATATATGGATATGTATTGAACTATAGTATATAGTGAACTACTATATATATGTATATATATATATATATATATATATATATATATATACATACATATATATATATATATATATATATATATATATCCATATATTCTTTATCTTTATCTTAATATTTTATAATATAGAATGACAAAAAGTATTGATTTATATATCGAAAAACAAGTTTTTGTTTAAAAAAACGAACGTTATGTATGTGTTTTCAAATCTCAAATTTTTTAAATCTAGAAAAAAATATTGTATTATCCCAAAAACTTTTCTTTAAAAGCAAGCAACTTTTATCTGAGAAAGAGAGATATTTTTCTATAAAATATATTTCTTAGCATTTATTGAAGATGATATTAAGAGATTTATTCTGTGTTAACATCAATACACCACAACCACAATATTCAAAATGCAACATTAACGAAATTTAATATATTAAATATATTATGATACTATGAATGATAAATTTTAGATTCTAAAAGATCATGAAAATACAGATTTAATGTTTCTTTAACAGAAATTAGAGAAAAATAATACTATAAAATATTCAAAAAATACAATACATAAAAAAATACTTATCAATACGTGCAGTTAAATTAAGAGTTACTCTCTAAGCCACAAGCAACGATGATTCCATATAACATTATCATTATATTTTGCAGTTGAATTGATAATTTAACATAATTACATTGACATGTTATGAAGTTGAACAATTCCTTGCTTTGATTAATTTTTCTCTGTGTTGAGATATGAACATGCATGAATTGCATTTACAAACAGATATTGACCAAAAATAACACGCGCAAAAATAGCACATCGCAAATGTAATTTTCAATAATGAAAGAAAAAAAAAAGACGCTTTGATATAACAGAATGTATGTTCTATTTTCAATTTTGTGTAACTAAATATGAGATTCTTTATATAATACATACAAACGCACACACACATTTATGCATGCATGAAACTTAAAAAAAGAATGTAACAATATTTGAATTAGAATGGAATGTGCTCTTGAATTTTACGAGGAAGAAAATTTCTTATCTCCTATTTCAATTTATGTGATTAAATACAAACCTCTTATGAGATCATGATTATCAGAGCGAAGTGAGATATAACTTAATGGATTTACTGTCCATGATTGAAATATATTGTTAGTATGGAATAAGTGAGAGGGAAGTGTGCTTATACGTGCTCGAGTGTAAAACTATTTTTTTCCCGAATCAGTAATTAGCACATTTGCTATCCGGAAATATAAATGTATTAATCGTTTATATTTATTTAAAATTGCATCGATTTGAATCAACGATAATACACATAATATTGTAAAATTTACTTAATTTACTTGTGTATTATTTAGTTCGTTAAGCTGTAATACTATTTGCTTTCATATTCTTGTCTTACGCAATGCTACACATTGCGAGATAAGTGAATCAAATAATAGAATGTCATAGCTTCTTATCAAAAATTTTATAATCAATAATTTTTGTGAGATAATGTGATAATGTGAAAGAAATAACATTACTTTTTATTTACTTCGAAAAGTGTCTACATATCAATCATAAAACTCATCGTTGGCAGTAAAATATATTTCACAAAATCGCTAGATAAAGTATCTATCGACATAATTGCATATATTTATTCAAAGCTGGATTCACGATGACTTCTAAAAGCCTGTACAATTTATTTAGAAAGGTTCAAATCTTTCTCCTTTTGCTGTCCATAAATTACTGCCTATCAAGAAAACCACAATATGTAGTATACACAAGCAACGATGATTCCATATAACATAATTTTTGTGATTTGTGAGATTATGTGATAATGTGAAAGAAATAACATTATTTTTAAATAAAATGAGTTTATTTACAAAAATATGAACGCCTGAGGAAAGGGTCGGAACTGTCCTCCGATTTTGATAAGCTTCGCATATGTTGTAGTCTAAATCAAAATAAGACCTGTAATGCTATTTGCCTTCACATTCTTGTTTTACGCAATGCTACACATTGCAGATATTTAAATCAAATAATATAGAATGTCATAGCTTCTTATCAAAAATTTTATAATCAATTTTTGTGATTTGTGAGATTATGTGATAATGTGAAAGAAATAACATTATTTCTAAATAAAATGAGTTTATTTACGAAAATATAAACGCTTGAGAAAAGGATCGGAACTGTCCTCCGAGTTTGATAAACTTTGCATATATTGTAGTCTAGATCAAAATAAGAGACACGTATTTTTTTATATAAGCCATTAAGGGAATGAAACATTCTTTTAAAAAAAGTCGGTTTTTATATTTCTGAGCGAAACGGTAAAAGATACAAAAAAAGTTTCGAATACAAGTTTTATCGTTTTGAATGTACTATTATAATAGTATAATCAGATTTTTCGAAAGTGTTATATTTTTCGAAATTTTTCTCTTCCCTCTCAATTTTGAAAATTTTGAAATTTTTCTTATAGCAAGATTTAAAACATATTTATAGTGTCAAACCATATATGATAAAGTGCCATCCGTGTCCATTTCATGGTGCTTGCTATTTATGGCGACACTTTTCTCCGGAATTTCACAGAGAACCATGAATTGTCAATAAATAATTTATATATTAAAATTTTCATATTACATATGTATTTACATCTCATTAAAGAGATTTTACTTTGTTCGTTTCCATATTACATATATATTTATATCTCATTTACATATATATTTATATCTCAGAGATTTTATTGTCCATCTGGATATAGTTTCAGTGGATAAAAATATCTTATTTCTCTCATACGAAAGATTTAAATTATTTATTGCCATAATATATAATAACATAATTGTTATAATTAGTCTTTAATGAGAATAATGTTAATATATGATAATTTATTACCAGTGCAACACAAATAGATGTGCTTATGCAACAAAGGTGTGGCATTAATATAAGATAATTTTAGAATTGCGTCCATTTGCGGAATATGTACGCATTATTATATAAGTATCTATCGTGAATCGAACTAGCAGTTTAGTATAATTTGTAGCAACTTAGTGAAACATTTGTAGTATAATTTGTAGCAACTTAGTGAAAAAGATATTTAAATATTTCAAGAAAGTATAAATACGGATGGTGCGCACATAAAGCGATATAGAGGTATTTCTAGCTTATTTCTGAAAAATGCGTTTTCTGAATATACTTTAGTAAAAACTTTATCGACAAATATCATGAATAATTGGTTTTGGTTTTAATTTTTAAATATTAACAATATTCGAGAAAGTTGATTAATTCTTTCGAGAAAGTTGATTAATTCTTTCTTTTAACGGATTTTCCTTAACGATATTTTCCTAGCGACAATTTGTATTTTATGAATGTATTTTATTTTTGAACTATTTGTATTTGGATATTGTAAATAACTTAATACTATTTATCTTCATAAAAACATATTTTATAAATCACATGTGTAAGAAATTACACTGACATTTTAAAATATTATGTTGAAAAAGATAGATTTTGATTTTAGATGATCAATTTTTTGAAATTTTATACAAGAATATCTTTTTAAATCACTCGTAATTTATATGTGATATTAAATGAAGAATAATCAGAATGTGTGACGATTTTTGTACATGATTCGGAAGTTTCCTGTTTGAGATGTTACGCAAAGATAAATCTCGTTAGGTCACATATAAGAATGTAGATTATTTTATACCTTTCAATGTTCGTGTTGAGTGATGATTTTTTTATCATCATTTACTCCCAATCCATTTGTTATATGTTTATTTATATTTATTATATGTTTATTCATTTGTTATATATTTATTCTTTATATTTTTTTAACTAAAGTACTTCTAATTAATAATTTATATTATAGATTCACAAATTGATAAATATGAGAAATCTAAAAGAATATTATGCGCACACGCAGACACACGCACGCATGCATAGATGCACATATTATACATATATGTATATATAATCAATTTTAATATATTTTAATATATATTAAATCTATATTAAAACTTGTTCATTATAATACAAAACTATCAATAATCTAATGACAACGAAAATATAAACAGATGATTAAAATAAGTGATAAATAAAAATTTACTTGCTAAAAAATACTTTATATATGTAATATATATTACAAAAATATATATTTCTATAAGATATAAAATAATAACATAGAAGTAAATATATGAGAGATATAATTAAAATCATATTACAATAAAATATAATCCTATAATTAGTTTCATTTGGTAATTTAAAATTTAACTAATTTATATAACTAATTTTGTGTTATTTTACATTGAAAGTAATTGATTTTCTTTTTCTTTTAAGCATTTCAATCTTCAATTACTAACATATATATTTTATTACTGATATATGCTTATATACATTGATATATGTTTATCTACGTTGAGCGATAATTGTGATGATTCATCATTAAAACATTATATTCTTTCTCTCTTATCAATCCATAAAAATTTACTTTCATCAGTACAAGATGAAAATACAGCTATTTTAAGAAAAACCGTTGTTTTATTGTAATGCATTCAATGATCAGAATACATTTACTTTATAAAATTTTATCTTATACAATTTACATAACAATGTACAAATGTATTATTTATGTAATTAATTTAATTAAATTATACGAATTATATGTATATATTTGCGTTTGCATAACTTTATTAAGTGTATAAGGAATTCTATAAAAAATAAAGAGTAGGGGATAATTTATAATTGCTTTTTGATCAAGTCTTTTAACGAATTCGATTGAATGCACTAGTATACACTTAAAGGTTGTTGTATATATACAATAGCATTAATAATTAAAATAGTAAGATAATTAATATTAATTATTATTATATTATTGTTTAGTACGAATAACGACATAATAATAATGTAAAATTAATTATCTTATTGTTTTATATATATTTAATTGTAAATTGTAAATATGCAACAGCGTTTAATATGCACAGGGAGCATTAGTATATCCGAATTCACTATTTGACTAATATAAAATACATGTTACTTTAAATCGCGGGAATGTTTGATGCAAGATCCTTATTTTTTTGTATTTCTTGAAATTTAAATAGTTATCTAATTGATTTAAACTGTGTATATTTTTTATTTTCCGAATCTTAGTTGAAGGAGGAAAGATCAATTAAATTTTTCATCAAAATATATCTGGAAAACAAAAATGATCTTTCTTCTTTATATCTTATTGTATCGTGCACAATATCGTTGCAACAAATACATTAATAAAACGCCAAATTTTATTAATTGTAACCTGTATATATAAATTTACACGTATATTTTCAAGATTTTTATTATAACGCTTGATTTATACAGGTAAAAAAATACATATCATTAATCATTGACAATACACATTAACAAACGAATCTATTAATGAGTGCCCCTCAATGAATCACTACTAGTACTCTAATGATAGCCTCAGTGGTAGAAGTTATTCAGTAGAGATCAGAGAACCGTAACGTTCACATAGTTCTATTTATGTAGGAACAAGTAAAATCATGATTTAATTTTTCGACGCAAATATTTTATCAAGGTGAAATTGTATAACGACGACATTTCTGTCTAGTTAACAAAGTAAAGTTTTCCACGATGGCCTGGTTGATCTCATTTACCTTGATCTTCCTGATCTGTGGGAACGTAATCAACGCATACCCGATGCCCAAACAAGTGTTCACACGACAACGCTTTTACTGGAAGTTGCGACGACAATTGATGATGGATGAAAAGCGACATTCCTTGGGTGGCGAATTGAAACTCAACCCCGCCGAATTTATTGCGAATCGGGTTCTGATGTCATTCAAAAATCGAGAAATATATGATGGTTTGATCATTTTACTATCTTAATAACAATTAGTTTGCGTGTAAATCAAATCTACAATTATTTTAAATAAAAAGATTGCAATTTTTTTGGATTATTAATTAATCTTTGGCGCAATTTTTTTCATAGAATGAGTTTTGTGCATTGTTCAAAAGTAAATTTTGTAATAAAAAAATTCAAAAAATGTCTTTTACATTCAACGTAATTCATTTCAAATAATTTTCACATAACATTAAATTTATTTGCTAAATAAATCTTAGCTTTTTAGCTTCTTTTTCTGTTTTTCTGTTTAGAATCATTATGTTATAGTGTATTGTCTATTGTTTTAATCGAGTCTGTTGTTTTAATTGAGAGAATATTTCAATGTCAAGTATATAATTACGACAGGTTAACGTAAAAAAATAAGCAAATTAGCTTAATATATATAATATATTGAAATGATAAGATTATAAGAGACCAAGTGAGAAGTATAGAAACAGTTGATGTTGATTTAAATTGATTTAATCTGAGAAACTAATTTAAACTGATTTAATCTGAGAAACTAATTTAAATTGATTTAATCTTTGAAACTAATTCTATCATTTGGTCATTTTCTAAGTGATCTTTTCATAATTAATGTTTTCGAAACTATGTTATCAATAATGCATGAAATCAAGAATTTATAATGATATGATATGATGATTTATAAAGATATCGATGAATATTTGTTTTTATGATAAGTATCACTATCTATCAAATATACGTACATTTGATTTTAAAACATAAATTGAGATTAAAGTACTTCTCGAAGAAACAAATATAAATTGAGATTAAAGTACTTCTCGAAATACGATTTTACAACAGAAGCATATAATTCACATTTCTATCTTTCATATTCACAATTGTTTTCAGAATCTTTCAGTGCTATATTTAAATAACATTGGAAGATATAACTTTCACAGTCTGCTTTCCATACAATTTTTTTCTGACATTAAATAATGAAATGAGTTAACAATAAATTAATTATGAAATTCTTTATAAACAAAAGCAAGAAAGAAAAATGTGTCAAATATATATATATATATATATATATATATAATAAAAAAAAATATATATATATATAAAATAAAAAAGAAAGAGTTGGCTGAAAACGATACATTGTTAATTATTACAGTTGATAATAATAGGTATCTAATGTTTAGTTCATAATAAATATTTTTATAATAGAAATTCTGTTATCCGTAGGGTTTAAAAATAACACCTTTTTACCATCGCGCAACTTCCTGGAAGTGATATCAAAAATTGAAAAATCCGAGGTATTCAAGATCCTACGTGAAATGCCCAAAGGCGCCGTTCTCCATGTTCACGAATCCTCCATCGGTTCGCCCGATTATAAGCTCAATAACGTGAGCTATCGTGAAAATTTGTACGTATGTGATCAAAACGACAATTTGCAACTTAAGTTTTTCGATAATCCTGATAAAACATGCGACTGGCGATTGCTGAGCGAGATACGACAGGATACAGAACAAGCCGACGCGATCAACAAAAGAATTAGGCGATCGTTGACCATGATCGTGGAAAATCCAAAAAACGTTTATGACACCGTCGACAAAGCATGGGAAAAGTTCAATAGTATTTTCACATTTATGCATTCCTGGCTATCCTATCGACCTGTCTTCGAAGACGTTTATTACCATGCACTAGAGGAGTTGTATGAAGATAATGTGATGTACTCGGAGATACGGTCAACACTATCGTCAATATACGATTTTGATAGAGTCTACGGAACGCTAGAAATGACAGGAATTCTCAAGAATGTTACCGATAGGTAAGAAACTTTTCATTTAAATTATTTTATTTTCATAACTCCAGATAGATTTTTATGATAAAAGTACATAGCTTATCTAGTGCTTAATGGCATTATTTTAGCGTTTTCAATTGATATTAATTTCGTACTAATTTCGATACTAATTTCGTACTTTTAAATATGAAATCTGACATAAAAAAAGATATTTTGGTTTTTAATTTATTTCAATAATTTATTTTATGACTAATGAAAAGTTGTGAGCAAGGGGAGATGTGTAATAAAATAGATATATGATAGATTTCTACGGGACCATCCTGATTTCCTTGGCGTTAAGATTATATATGCGCCGAAGCGATCCATCAATGAAACGGAAGTAAATGAATATCTGAGAACGCTGGTGCAACTGATAGAACTCTATCCGAACTTTGTAATAGGTTTTGACTTGGTCGGCCAGGAAGATAAAGGAGAACCTCTCATAAAGTTTGCTAATCAATTAAACAGCGTTAATCTAAATATTAAATTCTTCTTCCATGCCGGAGAGACCAATTGGAACGGAATATCTACTGATTCCAATCTTTTCGATGCTTTGTTACTCAACACTAAACGTATCGGTCATGGGTGAGTAGTGTAAATAAAATTAAAAGAAAATTAATTTAGAAAATAGAAACATTAATTAATTTAAAATTAAAGGAGCAAATTGCATTTTTATGACGTTTTTTTATTTATTATTTAAGATTATTTAGTTTATTTTATTTAAATTTCTATTTTAATGATAAAGTAAATTGGGATATATCGAAAGTTACTTAAAATATCGTTCGCAGTCTATGATTGATATAATGTACAGACATAAATCAATATTCAGAACATTTTTTCAGATATGCATTGACAAAACATCCACTTTTATGGAAACTTGTGCAGCAATTGAATGTTGCGGTAGAAATTTGCCCCATCTCGAATCAAGTTCTCAGTCTTGTGCAAGATATGCGGAATCATCCTGCAACCGCTTTATTCGCATCGGGTTCGCCCATAGTGATTTCCAGCGATGATCCCGGACTTTGGGATGTTAAAGGACTCAGTTACGATTTTTATGAAGCTTTTATGGGTCTCATGAGCGCCAACTCGGATCTCAGAAGTCTCAAACAATTGGCAATTAACTCGCTGATCTATAGTGGCATGAATGACCAAGAAAAGAATTATGCATTGGCCCAATGGCAGGCCAAGTGGGACGCTTTCGTGAACAAGCTGGCTTGTTCGAAACACAAATCTTCATGACAATAGATGGAAAAGATTATTTGGGCCTCTTCTTCCCAATATATATAATCAGTAAGATAAAAAGATATATTTTTGATAAAATAAGGGAATAAATACTATAATGTTTAATGTAATTCAAAAATATTAATTAATAGAATATTCGTAGATCTATCTTCGAATAATTATTTATGTTTTTTAATTTTCTCAGTATAATAATTAAAACTGTATTTTGATTTAAAAAGCAAATGCGTTAAATTTAAAAATTGTTTAGAACTTTCTCATTTTTATATATATGTATTATATTTAATTTGAATTTTTGTTATTTCATCATGTTCATTAATGACACATTACTGCGTATGAAAATATTTCTAATGTGCGTCCTTTCTGAATTATGCTCATTAAAGAAACTTCTTAATGTAAAGAAAAATTCTTCGAAAGAATCGCGCTGTGTTTTACAATTTTGTGGACAACAAGATATAAAAATTACATAAAATAAATTTTATTTTTTTCACTACAAACGAGGCAACAATTCATTAATTTGATGCCTGTTGTAAGAGATTGTATGCTGAGTAAGAGGTCCTGCAGATCTGCGAAAGTAAAATCACTATTATTATGCTTATTACTTCATTATAAGGATTACAAAGATACTTATTGATATATGTTGATATTTATCTGTACAATTAATTTCTGCAATATCATTACATAAATAATTGCTATACTAATGATAAAGATGAATTTCGCAATTCATACAATTTAATATATGTAAATTTAAATAAATAAATGTTTACTTACCCAAGTGAAGGTGTTAAGTGATAATGCAAATATTCCATGATAAGAGAACATTATCCCTTTCTGACTGTTTATCATGATGAAGATGAGAGATTTGCGATCTTGTGGCGTCACTTTTGTCCAATCACTGGAATAAATAGCAGTTGCGATGCCTTTGCTCTAAGAATGAAATTTGTCAATCTGTACTAGTTAATCGTACTATTTCTTTGTATTTCTTTTAAGATATTAATGCCATAAATCCATACACGTGTTTTTTGAATAATTATTACAATACAATTTTTTAAATTCTCTGTTTTTTAATTTATTATATATATATATATATATATATATATATATGTATTATATATGTATATGTATGTATGTATATATAAGCTGTAATTAAAATATGGCAAAACTTTGGAGAAATATTTCTCATACATAGAGGATGAAAACATATTATATGAACATACGTTCGGAAATATTTTAATTGTTTAAACGCTTGTTAAAGCTCTTTTTTTAATCTTTTTATTAAATAAAGATAAAAAGACTTTTGTATCTAAATTTGCACACGTGTATCGTATACATATTTGCGCGCGTGTTTCTAAATCTTGCGTTATAACTTAATTATTTGATAAATAACAATATTGTCTATTCGAAAAATGATATATTATTTCAAAGGAGCGAATGTGACTAGTAGCTGCAGTTTGATATATACGCATTTAATATGTCAAAGTAAGATTAAAAGATAGATGATAAGAAATAGATTCATTAATTAAAAAATAATATTTAGTTAATTCTATCAGTTAATATTAATATTAATAAATTTAATATTGATTAATATTAATATTCATAGGATTTTAATTAATATTAATAATATTAATAATATTAATTAATAATTTTAACTCTTTATGATATATATTTAATATATTATATTTTTATAAAATTATTATATTTATATAAATGTTGTATTTTTTGTTGTTTTATATATTATATTTTATATTATATTATTTTTAATATTATTTATATTATTATATATTATATTAATTAAAATAACCAACACACATAGTCATAATGTATAAATATTTAGAGATGAAATACGCGTGTATTTTTGCTTTTGTCTATAATTTACCTTCAATTCAAGCTCGTTTCCATACCAACAATAGTAAAACAATTGAAGCAACATACCACTCAAATATAGAAGCATAGAAAGAAACTCAAAGCTGAGCAGTCTCGTCTGTAAAAAATAAATGTATGTCACATCAGCAATACTACAAATAAAAATTTCATTTTCATAATGTACCTTTGATATTAGAAAAATACTGGTGCACACAATGACTAGACTGAAAAAGAAAAATACCATAACCGACCATATGAATAATTCTTGCATTTTTTTTACCAAAATCTTAACGAGTAAATGATGTCTAACGCATTCCTCGATCGAGACATTCGTCTGTGACTTTCTTTCGGAAGAGATACAATTCAAATTTTCCGTCAATCGATGACACATCAGCTCGATCTGTGCGCAAGTATGAATTATGAAGCCGTAAATAAGACTGTCGAAGGAAACGTTGAGCATTATCCCATAGAACAGCGTTATAAACTGCTGCAGGTATGTTGCTAAATATATAAATAGATTCGACACGGAATATGGAATGTATGACTTCAACGGCAGCACATGCTCGTTTTTTGTAAGTAGGCCTAGAGCTGGAGTAATCATAAAACCCAGCCCAGTTGCGAAAGATATCATCATGAATGATACAGTGCTCCATTTAGCTATCATGGATAGTTGAATTAATATTTGAGAATCGTTTTTTACACAATATTTAATGCTCATTTTCTGACAATATATAAGTTATTGTTTATACGAGAATCATTTCATCAAAATCTATCGTGTAAACAATCGGCAAATTAATTATAAATTTAATTATATTCTCGAATATTAAAAAATATCTATACATATCTTTAATTTTAATTTTTAAATATATTTACTTATATTAAATGAGGTATAAAAGCATCTCTCATAATTATGAAATAAATTATAAATTATGTTTAAAAAAATAATATAATAAAATCTCCTAATGAGTACATTTTGATGGGAGGACTTAGTACCTAAAAGATTTTTTGTGAAGGAAAAGTTAAATACTTTGCTGTAAAAGCATTGTCACAAAGTGCAAATAAAAATCATATATAATAGTTAATATTTAAATGCACATATATTTAAATGCACATTAATATGTTAGTTTTTAATGTTTCACGAATGATGAGTGATTTCTTCGCATTATATTTCGCTCCGATAAGCAATGCGATTTAAATTTATTAAAATTTAATCAATTGCCCGATAAGAGCAACATAAGATCGTCTTCATTTAGTTTTGTTTATTTAGTTGTGTTGGTTTTTTGTCTGCACCATATAATGTCGTTCTATCGTATTTACATATTATTATATAAATTTATCACAATTTTTTTCATTACATTTTGAAGATATATATGTGCTCTGAGACAAAAGAATCGGGATGAAGATGATTCATGTTGATCTTATCGATTTCGAATTTTTCACATTGATTTTCAGCATGTCGAATAATTAATCGCGTCTTTGCATAATATATAATTTTAATTTCGCTCCGATAAGCGGCCAAGCTTGAAATTGAATCAGTTGTTCGATAAAGATAATAGATTCCATAGTGTAAAATGATGGATATTTATCAAAATAAATTTTCATCTTTTGAGAAGAATAAAATTACTTGACAATTAGATGACAATTGCTTACAGCAAAAAAGCTAATAGATATCATAGAACAAAGCAATAATAAATCGAATATTTAATTGTTAATTCTAAATCGTCTAAAGAGATCTTAATATAATCATAATACATCTCACCATACGTTAAACGTCATATAACATATCAAAACGCAAATTATTCGAATACCTTTACGATTATGTTCTTCCATTATTAGTTGTTCCGTAGAATTTTTTGGTTGACACATTTTTATACGCAGATAATCCAGCAATTCCGACACTTTATTCTCCCGTAGTAGAAAATTTGCATATTTTACACTCAACGTCAAGAAGGTCAATCCCAAAAAGAGCCCTTCTGTTAATTCGTGAATGTGATCACGCGTACGAATTACTTCTACCGCATCAAGTATTGTAAATTCATATATCAAGAAAACAACCGCGTATCTGCAAATATTATTGTTTTAAATAATCGCTGAGTGAATTAATAAGAGAAAAAGAATCCGAAGCAATTGTAAAATTTATACTAGTGAGAATGCATTTGTGATATTTTATTGTCGTATAATATATCTTAATGTATTACACATATATCTTCATATATACCTATAACAAAAACGCAAAAATGCAACACACATATTGTCGTCTTCTCGTTCCTTCCATGCTCCGCAAAACTGCAGAGCTTTAAAATTTACCGGTAGAATGTCCATATTTTCATATTATTGTAGAATGTCCATAGTTTCATATTATTGTAGCGTAATTGTAAGAGCTTAAATATTACCTTATTTTAGTCATCATGGAATATCTTTTGTCTGTTAATAATGCATTAGTTCATTTCGAGATAAATGAAAACTTTCTTTCAAAGATATTTCGTCATTATGAGATACATTAGTAATAAGATATGTACAACATTATAGAGTGGACGTTAAAATTTAATACGGTCGAGTCTTCATCAGGAGGATTCTTTTCCCAATATTGTATTTGTTTGCATCCACCAAAGAAAAAAGAATTCGTTTTCATATATAAAAAAGAATTCGCTTTCATATAACATGTCTTTTAAAATAATGACCATACAGTATTTCACGGGAAATATTTGTTAAAACAAATTTCTACATTTCACAATGTGATATTAAATTTCCACAGGAAAATATATATCTACATTGAATTTAATATTGAATGGAAAATGTGTGCTTATAAACTTATATGACATGAATAGCAAACTGTATAAGTTGGATGTGAAGAGGTAAGAACTTATCAAAAATAAGAATATAAGAATTGATTAAAGATATGTAATTTTTTCAAGGTAATTTTATTCTATTAACGATAAAAAATAAAAAATTTAATTCTAAATTATTAGCAAATTTGGTATAAACAAAATATTGTTATGAAATCAAATTTTAATTAATAAATATTGAAAGTTTTATTAATAAACAATTTATTATTTGCAAATATTTAATAAAAATAATAATTGATCTAAGAGTGAATTTACTCAGAAAATATATATCGTCTACTTTACATCCTACACTCAAAAAAATATTTTATTGATATAGATAGATTTTTAGGTGTAACAATAAAGATTTATCGTTATTTTTATGTCTACTGGAACATTGTTGATAACATGTAGAATTTATAGCATTCTTTAGTAATATCTTCTAGCAAATTTAGGTTTCACATTGATAAATATTAATTGAGTGGGATAAATATATAAGTTTAAATTAATTTGTGAGGAACCTTAACATGAATAGGCGCCAAAGATTTTTTTTCCAAGTTTCACTAGTAGTTCAAACATAAATTCTATCTCTGTCATTTAGATTGAATAAGTATAGAATATATGCGACATTACAATATTTACTAATTATTTAATAACTTTAGTTAATTTCTCATATCCAGAAAATTGTTGCTGTAATTGCAAGACTATTCTTTTGAGTGTACATAAATATAGAACTACAATGTAATGGGAATAAATTTTATTATAATTAACGATATATCTGTTAATTAATTTGACACTTGCTGCAGGATATTAAAAGCTGAGTAAGACGTCTTAAAAATCTAAACAAACAAAATTAAAGTGTTAGAAATTAAAATATTAATATTAAAAATGGTAATATTAAAAATTGTCTACAAATTACTCTTTTATGCATATCAAATTGAACATTTAAAAAAATGTCATAACAGTGATAAGTTTAAAATGCTTTTTAATTAAAACTAAAATCTGAAAAAATTTCTGTAAATTTTACAAAATGCATGCATATATATATATATATATATATATATATATATATATATTTTTTTTCTGAGTTTTCTTACCCAAGTAAAAGTGTCTAGAGATAATGCAAATATTTTGTTATTCGAAAATGTTAATCCTTTCTGACTATTTATCATAATAAGTATCAGGGACTTGCGCTCATGCAACGTGGTTAATGTCCAATTACTCAAATAAATACTATTAGCGATACTTTTGCTCTGAGAAAAAGATTATTCGTTGCCACTTATACAATCAGAACTAATATTTACTAATAGAATAATAATATAATACTAATATTTTACATTTTATGATTTTAAAATGTTATTAAAATAAAATTGTTTACCTTCAATTCGAGCTCGTTTCCATACCAACAGTAAAAAAATATTTGCAGCATCATACTACTAAAATATAGTGTTAAAGAAAGAAACTGAATGCTGAAGAGTTTTGTCTGAAATTTTTGGCAAGATTAATTTAATTTACAAATTACGAATAGCGCAAAAAAGATACATAAAAATGAATTTCTTTCATGTCTAAAGTTTTTACAAGTATAAAATTACTATTATTGTTATATAAATTAGTAATATTAATAATATTAATATTTCTTATATTATTGAAATATTAATGCTAGAAATATTAATGCTAGAAATATTAATGCTTGAAATATTAATGTTATGTATATTTTATTCTTTACGCTCTATCAGTAAGATATTATAATTATATTTTAATTTAAAAAATTGTGACCTACGCAAACTAAAATTATTTGTTTAGTTATTTAACTATTGAATTAATTAAAAGCAATAATCAATGAAAAGATATATAATCCAACATATAGTCCTAACCTTTGATATCAAGAAAATGCTGGTGCAAAGAATAATTAAACTGAAAAAGAAAAGGACCATGACTGTCCAGATAAATAGCGCTCCTACTTTCTTCACTAAAGTGTGTACAAGTATATGATGTCTGATGCATTCCTCAATCGATATAGTTGCATCCGATTTTTTTTGAAAATTTATCGAGGCCTTATTATTATCTGTCAATCGGCTACAAATTAACTCTATCTGTCCGCAGGCGTGAATTGTGAAACCATAAACGAGAGAATCGAATGAAACATTGAGCATGATTGCATAAAACAGCGCTGCAGCTTGTTGTAGGTATGTCGCCACATAAGGGAATATTTCCGAAATGGAATAGGGAACGTACGATTTCGTGGGCAGAAACCATTCGCCCTTGCCAAGTCCCAGAATCGGTGCCATAACGAGGCCCACAGCAGTAGCTTGCGACATGATTAAAAAGGAAAGTGTGCTCCACTTAGCTGTCATGAATATTTCGATTTATTTCACTAAAAAAATCGTTCGCCAGAATTCGAATCGATCGTGAAAAACGGTCAGTGTATTGAAGTGAATTTTTATCGAGTTTTATCGAATTTTATTGATAATTAAATTATATAACATTTAATTATATTAAAGCAATTTTTGAATTATATAGATTATCTTTAATAATAAATTCAATACCTTTTCGATTATGCGTCTCTATTATTATCTTTTCTGTCGAATTTCTCGGTTGACACAATTTCACGCGCAGACAATCCAACACCTCTGACACATCGTTCTTTCGTAGCAAAAAATTCGCATATTTGAGACACAATGTTATATAAGTTGATGCCAAAAAGAGTCCTTCCGTTAACTCATTGATTCGATCACGCATGCGAATCAGTTCTATCACCTCGAATATCGTAAATTCATATATTAGGAAGAAGATTGCATACCTGTCAGTATAAAATGTGTAATTAATATAGTTTTAAATAATGAACCAAAAATAATCTCTTTAATTTGATAACTTGTGAACATAAGTTAATATAAAATTAAAAGTAATTATCATTATTTTAATTTTTAATATAGTCATATTATTTTATATTTTATGAGCTTAAATACTTGTAACAGAAATGTAAACAACTAAGAATGATGTTATCGTCCTCTTGTTCTTTCCATGCGCCACAAAACCATAAAACTTTAAAGTTCACCGGTAAAATGTCCATAGCTGTGCGTTATCTCTGTGTCATTTGACATGTTTCTATCTCAATTGAAATTCTTTGTTCCTCAATGTATAATAAATTGAAGTTTGATAACTATAAGAAAACATTTCCGGTAACATTTCATTATTGTAAACTATGCATTAATAATAGGCATATGTACTATATCATCAAACATACTTAAATTTTAAAAACGGTCGATTGAGCTAACTATACAATCTTCTTCTAATACTATGTATGTATAATGCTATATATATTGCTCTAGTATAGAAAAATATAATATGAATATTGTGGTTTGGTCCTATATTGTCATCGCGGAAGAATTTATCCAAATAACAATTTTTGCTGATAAAATATTTAGTAGTTTTGCATCTGTTTCGTGAAAAATGTAGTCGTCGTAAATAAAATATAATCGTACATACATAGAATTTGTTGAAAGCCCATTGTGTCGAAAGCCCACGGATATTGATGACATGGATCTAATATCTTTAAATCTATTTATTTCTATGTATCTCAGATTTTTGTAACGTTAACTTTTTAACGTTCTACAATATTATTCTACAATATTATAGAGAAAATAAATAAATACTTTAATAAATAGAAAGTGATCATATATGAAATATTGTTTGGTGTATTAAAGTGCATAAAAATATAAATAATGTAGATATAAGATTCTATTTCAAAATTTTTATATGTATGCCTGAAATGAACATCAAAAGAATAAGATGTTTCTATAATCTGCATAAAAAGGAACATATATTAACAATTATTGTTTATGTATGAGATAGAATAAGACACATATACATAACGAAACATCATACGTTGTCAACATTCGTTTTCATGAATTAGTAATAAAATCGCTAAAATGTTCTTCATAAATGATTTTTTAACATTTCATGTCGTCGAATAGAGAGAGATTTCCTTGATTGGTTCTTCTTTCTGCTACATTTTTTTTCTCGTCTCTACATTTATTTTCAATCGGTATATCAAATATCTGCGACAATGTGTATTATTTTTATAAATTATGAATTTACACAATTTATTGCACATTATTATATAATAAAAATATAAAAGTAAAAAGCATATTATTGAAATATTACATATTACTTTATTGATTGTGAAAAATGTAGCTGCAAACTTCGGTAGCTCGTTTGAAAAACTGACAATTAGATGAAAAATTTGCAAAGCAAATGATAATAGATTATAAGTTTATAACAGCATAAAAGTATAAAATAAACTGCAGGTATGCTCTTATTTGAAAATATTTACTGCATACAATTTTATTTCACTTTATATCTTATTTCGCTAATAAACAAATGCAATGTATTCATTTCGAGAAGTAATCTATAGAAAATAAATTTCTAAAAATATCTATAAATCAATCTTTCTACTGATAAATATAGTATGAAAATACATTTAATATCTACTAAAGCAGCAATATTACATTTGTTAAAGAATAAGTAGAAAGTACTAATTCGAAGATTGTTGCAACAAATTGAAAGCAGAGTAAGACGTTTTTATAATCTGCATAAATGAAGAATATATATGTAATTTACAGAATATATATTTTTTAGATTGATTTTGCATTATGTTTTATGTATTTTTTAAAATTTTATTTGTTACGTATGTTAGATGTACTCACCCATGTGAAACTGCTAAGAATTAGCGCACAAATTCCATAGAAAGAAAGTATCCTTCCTTTCTGGCTCATCATCATCATGAGCAACAAATTTTTACGTTGTTTTGTTGATATTGTCATCCAGTTGCTTGCATAAATAGCATATGCAATATTTTTATTCTAAATAAAAAATATATTTAGTACATATATTTATTTGATCCATATACATATACAAAAAATTTAAAATATCAAAATATAAAAGTATAAAATATCAAATAAAAAAAAATTAGTATTAGTAACACCTTCAAGTCAAGCTCATTGCCATACCAGCAATATGTAAATATTTGGAACATCATTGATCCTAAATACAGGATAAAACTGAAAAATTCCGGGCCAAAGAGCTCTTTCTGCAATAAAGATGTGATTTGCAATATTATATTTACATTTTAGATTTCACCTTTACCTAATCAAATTAATTTTACAAATGTTAATATTATTGATTTATGTTTTATATATTAATCTTTATATTTATGAAAAATATGTAAGAGAGAATTTCTTACTTTTGACATCTGATAAATGTTGGTACAAAGAGTGATGAGACTGAAGAAGAATAAAGCAGCAACATTCCACATAAATAATGATTCTATTCTGTATATGATGTCATAAACTAAAATATGATGTTTCGCGCATTCTGCGATAGCGAAGCTTTCAATGGCGTATGCATTTTTTTTATTATTTTCTTGAAGGAATTGAAATATTTCTGTCAATCGATAGCACAACAATTCAATTTGTCCGCAGGTATGAATAATGAAACCATACGCGAGGGAGTCCAAAGAGACATTTAATAATATTCCATAAATTAAAGTTGCGCTTTGCTGAAGATAAGTTAACACATAAGGAAGTAACGTTGTGATGGAGTATGGTATGTACGTTTTGAACGGTAAAGATTTTTCGTCCGGAATTAATAGAGGCATTATCATAAACATTAAACCCGTTGTTTGACACATGAGCATGTAGAAACAGACGATTCCTTTAGCTTTGTTCACAATACGTCATATAGCAAAATAAAGTTTGTTAAATAATTAATTATATGCAAAGATGTGGAAATTATAATTATTTAAATTATAATTATTTATTATTAAGTTAATTTTTACTATTAGATATTACTATTTTATAAAATACTATTTTATAAATACTATTTTATAAAATACTATTTTATAAATACTATTTTATAAAATCAACTTTTTGCGCTAGAGAGAGAAAAAGAGAGAGAGAGGTTTTTTTTAAATAATTAGATTTTCGTGCAAAAGCTTTGCATTTAGCTAAACATATATTTATATATTATTTCTTCTTATTAAAAAATGTAACATTTAAGATTTTAGGAAGAATTTTATTACTAATACTTTCTAAAAAATTATTTGATTTAAGTATATACTTAATTGAATATTCTAGAGAACTACAATATAATATAAAAATACCTTTGCGATCGTATTGCTTCAGTATCAATTTCTCGGCAAAATCTCTTGGCTGACAGATCTTGACACGAAAGCAACTTAACAAGGCATGCAATTCGCACTGTCGCATCGAAAAATTTAAATATTTTAGGCACAATGACACGAAAGTGAAAACAATAAATAAAACCTCCATTACAGCTTCCATACTATTTCTTATACGTATAAGCTCAATTATTTCGAATATCGTCAAATGATATATTAAAACAGCAATCATATACCTATCAAAATATATATACATATATATATATATATATATATATATATATAATGTATATGAGAAAGAAGATATATATATATATATATATATATATATATATATATCTCATGTGTTTATTGGATGTATGTGCATATATATATTAAATAAGATTAAATAAGATTAAATAAGATTAGATATATTTTGATATATAATATATCAAAATTTTTTTATCACAATTTATTGATGAGTAATATTCCTTTAAAGACAATTTTGATTTTAATATATCAATAAAATATTTTTAACAAAATTTTAAAAATCACTTTTGTTTAACATATATCTTATAATTACCTGTGGCAGAAGATGGCAAAACGTATTATCAAGTTGCTATTTTCATGTTCTTTCCATATGCCGCAGAAACGAAAAACAAAAAAGTTTATCGGCAATAAATCCATATTTTTATCATCACATTTAACGTAACAAATCTTCCCCCAACAATGATAAAATGTAGCGTGCCATCAATTTAGAATTCTGAGTCCCTGACTACAAAGTTCTTGCATTAATAACGATGATGTATAGCTATAGCATTATTAGGGTGCATTATCTTTTAATATCGTTCGTAAGGATGAAGCATCAGCGCTTTTTCCATTGCTGTTTCTATTTTAATATATTCGATTTTATATTCTTGTTAGAGAGATAATACATCTTATTGTCAACGGCAATATCATACAAGTCTTCAATATATCAGTAAATGTTTTCACTTATATTTAAAAACTTTCCTCTTACAATATTTTATAAATATGAAAACCGTCAATACAAGATAAAGATATAAAATAAGGATTTGTAAAAATTTATTATGAGACATATTTTTCTATGAGATATATTTTTCTAATTTATTATGAGACATATTAACAAAATATTCTATATGATTGAATTATCATATTAGAAAATAGATATATTGATTAAAATTGACATTTTTATAGACAGAAAATTTAATAGACGACATGAAGAGTGAAGTCATAGATGAAAAATCGAATGAAATGTTGAATAAAAGCCCGTAAAATATCCCGGCACCTTATGCTGAAGATACATAACCAAATATGGGCTACAAGTAAACCAGTTATAAGTACGTTCGTCTTGAATGGTAAATAAGTATCTTTATTCCCATAATAAAAGTAAGTGTTATTCAAATAGCTTGGATTATCTCGTAAAGATCAAACGCACCACTTGGCTATGATACACATATGAGGATTATTTTTACATTTTTTAAAATTTATTATAATATTTATTAATTTAATATTAAAAAAAAATATATTACATATTTAAATAAAATTTTATGTATAGATAGAATTTTATGTAAAATATTGAAAAATATCAATTTCGCATGTAATTTTGATATATTTGAAGTATAATTTATTGTTTTCTCCCACAAAAATCTCAATATACTATCGCTTCATAATATTGTATAAAAATATTATATTCAAACATTTTATATTCGTCTCATCTACCGAAAAAAAAAAATTCGCTTTGATATATGTCTTTGATAAGAGGTATGTCGGGAAATGATTTGTTAAGAAGAGAGTTTTTATTAAATTCAATATCAAATTTCCAAAAATATATAAAAATTGAATTTAATATTGAATGAATTATATATCTATAGACTGTGCAATGACTAGTAAACTGGGAAGATATAAATTCTATAAAACTGACTAAAGATATAACTTTTGAAAATAATTTCATTCAGTTAGCAATAAAATATAAAAAAATTTGAATATGAATTATTAGCAAGTTTGATAGATGAAACATTGAAACTAAGCGTTTGATCAGCAAATATTTGTGATTTTATTAATAAAAAACGATTATTCGTAATTAACATAATTAATAATAACTGATATAAAAGTGATTTTTTCCAGAAAATATTACATGCCATTTAACATCCTATACAAATATAGAACTACGTTATAATGAAAATAAATTTCATTATAATTAACAATGTATTTGTTAATTAATTCGATGCTTGCTGCAGGAGATTAAAAGCTGAATAAGACGTTTTAAAAATCTAGAGAAACAGAATTAAGACAACAAAAATTGTAAAGTAAAAATTTTTTTTAATCGTGTTCTTTTATGTACTCCATTTTGAGCACTTAGAAATTGCAAACAATAAATTTAAAATGCTTTTTAATTATTAAAAATAAATACTACGAAAATAAATTTTGCGATATACATGTATATATTTACTTCTGAGTTTACTTACCCAGGTAAAAGTGTCCAAAGATAACGCAAACATTCTATTATTGGAAAACGTTAATCCTCTCTGACTATTTATCATAATAAGTATTAGGGATCTGCGCTCATGTGACGTGGTTAATGTCCAATTGCTAAAATAAATGCTATTCCCGATATTTTTGCTCTGTAAAAGAAATTGTCAATTATTTCGCTGCCATACAATCAGATCTAATTTTATAGATTCTTTTATAGAATACTAATATTATGCATGTTGCAAGCCTAAAATTTTATTGAAATACTATATTTATTGAAATATTATATAATTATTTACCTTTAATTCAAGTTCATTCCCATACCAACAATAAAAAAATATCTGCAGCATTATACTGCTAAAATATAGTATCAAAGAAAGAAATTCGATGCTGAAGAGTTTTGTCTGCAAAATTTATTTATTTTATGATTTACAAACAGTGTGAAATAAATGCATATTAAATGAATTTTTCTCATATCTAAAATTTTTTTAAATAATAAAGGTATTATTTAAATGTTATAATATTTTAATAATATAATATAGTATTAATTTCTTATATTATTGAAATATTAATATAAGATACTTCAGAAATACAAAATTTATATGTATCTTATTTTTACGTTATTAAAATAGGGATTTTATAATTATATAATAATTCTCAAAAGATAATCTAATCTAAGTAAATTAAAATAATTTGTTTAATTATTTATGGAATTAATTAAAAGAAACAATCGACAAAAAAACACAGTCCCAACCTTTGATATCAGAAAAATGCTGGTGCAGAGAATAATCAGACTGAAAAAAAAGAGGACCATGACTGTCCAGATGAATAGTTCTCCTATTTTTTTCACTAAAGTGTGTACAAGTATATGATGTCTGACGCATTCTTCAATCGACGCAGTTACATCCGAATTCTTTCCGAAATTTACCGATGCCCTTATATTATTTGTCAAACGGCAACAAATCAGCTCAATTTGACCGCAGGCGTGAATTGTGAAACCATAAACAAGGGAATCAAATGAAACATTCAGCATAACTGCATAAAACAGCGCTGCAGTTTGCTGTAGATATGTTGCCGCATATGGAAGTATTTTCGAAACGGAATAAGGAACGTACGATTTCGTGGGCAGAATCCATTCATCCTTGCCGAATCCCAGAATTGGCGCAATCACGAAACCCACAGTAGTGGCTTGACACATAATTAAGAAGGAAAGATTGCTCCACTTAGCTGCCATGAATATTTTGATTTATTTTTGATTAATTTACCAAAATTCGAAGCGATTTTGAAAAACAGTGCGTTAAAAAAAATTTTTATTGAGATTTACTAATGATAATTAAATTATTTCTAATGATAATTAAATTTTTCAAATTGAATATATCTTACTTTTAATAATTATTCTAATACCTTTTCGACTATGTGTTTCTATTATCATTTTTTCCGTCAAGTTTCTCGGTTGACACATTTTTACGCGTAAATAATCCAACAACTCTGACACATCGTTTTTTCGTAGCAAAAAATTTGCATATTTAAGGCATAATGTTATATAAGTTGATGCCAAAAAGAGTCCTTCCGTTAACTCATTGATTCGATCACGCATGCGAATCAGTTCTATCACCTCGAATATCGTAAACTCATATATTAGGAAGAAGATTGCGTACCTGTCAGTATAAAATGTGTAATTAATAGTTTCAAATAATAAACCAAAAATAATTTCTTTAATTTGATAACTTGTGAACAAGTTAATATAAAATAAGTTAATATAAAATTAAAAGTAATTATCATTATTTTAATTTTTAATATAGTCATGTTATTTTATATTTTATGAGTTTAAATACTTATAACAGAAATGTAAAGAACCAAGAATGATGTTATCGTTCTTTTGTTCTCTCCACGCTCCACAAAACCATAAAACCTTAAAGTTCACCGGTAGAATGTCCATAACTGCGCGTCATTTGATGTGTTTCTATTTCAAGACGATAGAAATTCTTCGTTTCTCAATAATGCATAATAAATTAAAATTCGATCACAATAAGAAAAAATGCGCGGTAACATTTTATTATTGTAAGCTACATTAATAATATAATTGTAGCATACGTATAATATCATCGAACATATTTAAATTTTAAAGACGATCAATTTGTGACATAGCCAACTATGCAACCTTCCTCCATGCTATATATATATATACATCACTGTGATAGAAAAAAATAATATAAAAAAATTGTTTTGGCTTTAGATTGTCATCGCGAAAGAAATTTATTCAAATAACAACTTTCTGATGAAATATTAAATAGTATTGTCTGTTTTGTGAAAAATATAGTCATAAATAAAATATAATTGCATACATGTAGAATCATTAAGGAAAGTCCACGGATATTGAAGACATGAACATAATTTCCTTATTTCTACATTTAGATGTACAATAAGTTAATTTTTTTATAATGTTCGATATAATATTATTATATAGAAGAAATAAATATATATCTAAAAACGTAGAAAAATAATTCTACGAAATATTACTTGTTAGAGTATTAATATGTTTAAAAATATAATTATTGTAAAAAGAAAATTCTATTTCAAAAAATTTTTATAAACATTTGAAATATATGAATAGAAAAGAGAAATATGTAATTTTACATATACATAATACTTTTATAATTTAAATTTAATTATATTGATAGTTGAAGAATATTTAAAATTATATTGCTGTTATATGATTGTTGGAATATTAAAAGTAGAGTAGAATTTTTTTTAAATCTGTATAAAAAACAACCATTAACAATTATTGTTATGTCTTCTCATTGAATCCATTTGGAAAATACTGTTGCATAAAATGATCGTGCTGAAAATGAAAGCATCATTCTATCAATCCCTATATACATAAGTAATTATTTTATTTTGTGTACGATGTTATATACACGTGAGTAATGTCTTATGCACTCGCTAATCATCGGTTTTATTTGAATTGATTATCATTGAAGATTTTCTGATAAGATAACAATTCGATCTATCCATAAATGTGAAGATTAAAGCCATAAATGAAGAAATCAAACAAGACTTTGAACAGAATTTCGTAAAATATGGCACTTCTATATTAAAGATATGTAATCATATATGGATATAAGCCAATTATCAAGTATAGCAGGTACGTTTTTTATTTTGAGTTTGAATTAGCAAACTTAATATAAACGAGACGTATGAAACTAAATTTTTGAGAATACTTAAAGTTTTATTAATAGGCAATGAATTATTATTGGTAAAAATGATATATAATTAATAATAAATTATATAAGAAAGAATTTTTGCAAAAAATATTACATGTCATTTTAACATCTTATATAAATATAGAACTACGCAATATTGAAAATAAATTTTATTATGATTAACGATAAACATATCTATTAATTAATTCGATGCTTGCTGCAGGAGATTAAAGGCTGAGTAAGATGTTTTAAAAATCTAGGGAAACATAGAATTAAGTTGATAATTAAAAATTTCTTTCATGTATATCAATTTAAACATATAAAAAATTACAGTAATAACGATAAGTTTATGCTTTTTAATTAAAATTAAAAGTAAAATGTATAAATGAGAGAAATGAAAAATTATACGATATGCATGCATATATTTATTTCTGAGTTTCCTTACCCAGGTAAAAGTGTCTAGAGATAATGCAAATATTTTGTTATTGGAAAATGTTAATCCTTTTTGACTGTTTATCATAATAAGTATCAAAGATCTACGCTCATACGATGTGGTCAATGTCCAATTGCTAAAGTAAATACTATTCGCAATACTTTTGCTCTATAAAAAAGATTGCTGATTATTTGATGTTATTTATATAATTAGATCTGATATTTTCTTACAACAATATTAGCATTTTGCGATTCTAAAATTTTATTGACATATTATATAATTGTTTACCTTCAACTCAAGCTCATTTCCATACCAACAGTAAAAAAATATCTGCAGCATCATACTGCTAAAATATAGTGTTAAAGAAAGAAACTCGATGCTAAAGAGTTTTGTCTATAAAATTAAATTAATTTATGAACTACGAACAGTGCAAAAGATTCACATAAATAAATTTTTATTATATCTACGGTTTAAAAAAATACAAAATTGCTATTATTGAAATAATAAAATTAATTTCTTATATTATTGAAAAATTAATGCTAAATATTAATATTAAATTCAGCTATACAAAGTTTATATGTATCTTATTCTTTATGTTATTGAACTGTAGATGTTATAATTATATTGTAATTTTGAAAATATTATCTTAGCAAATTAAAATTATTTGTTTAGTTATTTAACTATAGAATTAATTAAAAGGAAGAACTGACAAAAAAGCATATTAATCCGACCTTTGATATCAAGAAAATGCTGGTGCAGAGAATAATCAGACTGAAAAAGAAGAGAACCATGACTGTCCAGATGAATAGCGCTCCTACTTTCTTCACTAAAGTATGCACTAGTATATGATGCCTCACGCATTCTTCAATCGATGCAGTTGAATCTGAATCTTTTTGGAAATTTACCGAGCCTCTAATATTATTTGTCAATCGACAACATATTAACTCGATCTGTCCACAAGCATGAATTGTAAAACCGTAAACGAGAGAGTCGAATGAAACGTTGAGCATAATTGCATAAAACAACGATGCAATTTGTTGTAAATACGTCGCCACATATGGTAACGTTTCCGAAGTAGAGTAGGGGACGTACGATTTTGTGGGCAAGATCCATTCATTCTTGCTCAATCCCAGAATAATCGGCGCGATCACGAAGCCCATAGCAGTGGTATACGACATGATTAAGAAGGAAAGTGTGCTCCATTTTGCTGTCATGAATATTTCGATTTATTTCACTAAAAGACTCATTCGTCAGAATTCGGACTGATCGTGAAAGGCGATCAGTGCATTGAAATAAATTTTGATCGTATTTTACTAATAATAATTAAATTAATATAACATTAAATAATTAAATTGTTTATATAGTGCTTAATTATAAATTACAAAAAAAGTTTTTAATTGCATATGTTACTTTTAATAATTATTTTAATACCTTTTCGAATATGCATTTTTATTATCATCTTTTCTGTCGAATTCTTTGGTTGGCACACTTTTACACGCAGACAATCTAATAATTCTGACACATCTTTCTTTCGTAACAAAAAATTTGTGTATTTTAGACACAATGTTATATGAGTCGATGCTAAGAAGAGTCCTTCGGTTAACTCATCAATTTGATCACGCGTGCGAATCACTTCTATTATCTCGAATATTGTAAATACATATATCAGGAAGAAGATTGCGTACCTATGGGTAGAAAAGTTACTCAATAATTTCAAACAACCAAAAAAAATTATCTTCTTATTTGATAACTTGAACAATTTAATATAAAATTAAGAAAAAAAGAGAGAGAAAGAGAGAGAAATTTTCATTATTTATCATTATTTTAATAGTAAATAAACACACTGCACATATATTTTATGCGCTTAAATACTTGTAACAAAAATGTAGACAACCAAGAACGAAGTTATCGTTCTTCCGCTCTTTCCATGCGCCACAAAACCATAAGACTTTGAAATTCACCGGCAAAATGTCCATATCTGCGAGTTATATCCGTATCATTTGATGTATTTCTATCTCAAAATGATAGAAATTCTTCTCTTAATAGTGCATAATAAATTGAAGTTCAATCACAATAAGAAAAACTTTCTCGTAACATTGTAAACTACATTAATAATATAATAGTAGCATATGTGTACAATAACGTCGAGCTTATTTAAATTTTAAAGACGGTCGATTTATGACATCGCCAACTGTGCAACTTTCCTATAATAATATGTATATATTATACATAGATATGTATATATTATATATAGATATAGCTCTGATAAAAAAAAATATGAAAAAAGGTATTATGTTTTAACCCTGGATTGTCATCGCGGAAGAAATTATCCAAAAGATAATTTTTAAAATATTAAATAATGTTGCATCTGCTTTTTGAAAAATATAGTCATATAAGTAAAATATAATTGTATACACATAAAATATAAAATGCTATTGTGGGAAGTGCAGCAATTGATCAAGTACACGGATATAACATTTTATCTTTTAATCTTCTTATTTCTACACTCAACAAAGTTAAGCTTTTAACGATAATATTAATACATAGATAAAATAAATAAATATTTAAAAAAAATTAAAAAAAAGTTTTTATAGAAAGTTGTTACATGAAATATTATTTAGTATATTAAAGTGCATAAAAATATAAATTATATGTAAAGATAAGATTCTATTTTAAAAGACTTTTATATTTTATGCTTGAAAGAAATACAAAGAGACAAAGAAGAAATATAGAATTTTGCATATACATAATCAGTTTTTTTTTAATAAATCAGGTCTTGTTATATTGATGTTTGTTGTAAAACATTAAAAGCAGAGTACGATGTTTTTAAAATCTGAAAAAATAATTAACAATTATTGCATCATTATTATCGTTGAATCAGGTATATGAATACAGCACTGGCATAAACTTACCCAGGTGAAAGTGCCAAGAGCCAAGCTAAAAATGCCATAATAAGAGAGTTTCAATCCTTTCTGACTGATGGACATCATAAACAGTAAACTTCTGCGATCTTGTATTGTGGCAGTCGTCCAATTACTCGAATAAATAGCATCGCCAATGCTCTTGCTCTGCACACGCGACAAAAGAATTTCTTGTCATTCACGATAAATTTTTAAATCCTTTTCTTGAGATCTACAATTCGGCAATAAAATTATAAGTAAACATTATGTGACTAGAATTATATAATTTTATATTTCGAGTTTTCAGTCGTGAATTATAGATCAATTAAAATAGGCTTTAAAATAAATTATCATTTTTGATTGCACCTTCAATTGTAACTCGTTTCCATACCAACAATAGAAGAACACTTGAAATAACATGCTTCCGAGATATAAAATCAATGAGAGAAATCCGACGCTGAGAATTTTCTTCTGCAAAACAAATTAGTTCAGTATATTCACTCAATATGCGAATTAGACGATAAGAAGTAATAGTATTTTTTTTATCGACAATTTATGTTATTTGCTATATAACAAAGAAATTTAATATAATGTTACAAAAATGTTTACAAAATTGATTAAATTGTAAGAAATTAAGATTTGATAGTAAGAATCTGAAGAGTTTACGCAACCTTGGACATTTGGAAAATACTAGTGCATAAAGTGACCATACTGAACATGAATAAAAGCATCACGGTCCACACAAATAACGATTGTATTCTGCGTACGATCTCGTGTACGCATAAATGATGTCTCACGCATTGGCTAATCACTCCGCCTTTATTCGAATTTAATCGATATTGTGCCATATCAGGATAATCCTTGAAGATTTCTGACAGACGATAACATAACAATTCGATCTGTCCGCAAACATGAAGAGTAAAGCCATAGACGAGGGAATCGAATGAGACGTTGAGCAAAACTCCGTAAAATATGGCACCTATGTGTTGAAGATATGTAGCCAAATACGGATATAAACCAACTATCGAGTACGGCAAGTACGTCTTGAATGGCAGAGGTCTGTCGGTATCTTGAGGTCCCACAATAGGAGCAAGTACGAGAGCTATACAAGTAGCTTGAGATATACTCATAAAAGCTCGAACACACCATTTAGCTACGATAGACATACACATGTATTATTTTTATATTTTTAAAAATTTATACTACATACTTAAATAGAATAACTTTGATGTATTGAAAAATATTAAAAAAAAAATATTATAATTAAATTATTAAAAAATCTTAATATAATAGGAGGGTATAACATTACATAAATATATTATATTCAAAAAATTTATTATTATATAATATTATTATTATTATATATTAATACTAATTGTATTAATATTACTATATTAATTTTTATTTTTAATATTAAAATTCATTATTTGCAATAATTTCATGAAAATGACAATTACTAATTAAGTACCTTTGCGATCATACTTAATTAGGATCATCTTTTCTTCGAAATTTTTTGGCTGACACGTTTCGCCACGAAAACAATCAAGTAATGTGTACACTTCATCTTGTCTCGCTAAGAAATTTCCGTATTTAATGCATAAAGCTACATAAGTTAATGCTAGGAAGAGTCCTTCTGTTAGATCTTCGATATGATCGTGAGTTCTTATAAGTTCGATTACTTCAGATATCGTGAATTCGTATATTAAAATTACTATGGAATATCTATAAATTTAATTATATCTTAATAAAGAGAAATACTTAAGTATATGTTTGATTATCATGTCATCATATATTATATGAGCAAAAAACAAGTTAAAGTTTAATTAGAAATTAAGTAAATATAGATTCACTCTTGTAATATAAACAAATAAAAATTTTTCTTACTAAATTCTACAATTAGATCCGTACAGATAAATATATATATATATATATATATATATATATATATACATATATATATATATATATATATATATATATATATATATATATATACATAACGAGCCTAATTCCTTTCGATTTTATATATATATATATAGATATATATATATCTGTAGTAATGAAAATATGATCAATAAATTAACTTTTTAAATATTTAAATCAGAGGGATAAAAAATACAATAATCAAAAGTTATCTATAAATGGTAGACTCATCGCGAAATTAATATATGTATATACATTTAAATCCGTGACATACAAAAACAAGATATGATTCAAACAAGATATGATTCACGAGTATATCACATTTTCATTATTATACCTGTAGCAGAAACTTATAAAACGAACGAAAAGACCATTATTGCTTTCTTCTCTCCATGCACCGCAGAACCATAAAACTCGGAAATTCAATGGCAATATGTCCATTATTTTCGTAATGAAATCGTTTCGATATTGTTTCACTTGGGTCACCCTCTTATCTTCGCTATGTCTCAAAAATATGCAACTTATAGAAAAAACGCATATAACTGTAATGTATCATACATTGTCAATGTCCGTTCTCATGAATTAGTAATAAAGTCGCTAGAACGTTCTTCATTAATATCTCTTAACATTTTATGTCGTCTAATAGAGGGAGATTTTCTTCGTTGATTTTTCTTACTATTATATTTTTTCTTACTATTATATCTTTTCTGCATTCTTATCTCCGTATCTTATTTCCAATACGTTATCAAATATCTGGGACGATGTATGTACATTATTTTTATAAATTATGAACTTTTGAACTTGCAATTTATTGCACATTATTGTATAATAAGAATATTGAAATAAAAAGCATATTATTGAAATATTACATACTGATATTATTAATTGTGAAAAATTTATCTGCAAACTTTGGTTGTTTATCAGAAAAGTTGACAATTAGATAAAAAATTTGCAAAACAAGATAATAAATTATAAGTTTATAAAAGCATAAAAGTGTAGAATAAACTGTGATAAAGGAGATACATTCCTTTGCATTTGTATCTTTTGAAATTATTTGCAACAATATTTAGCTCAATAAAATTTTATTTTATTTTATATTTTATTTTGCGAATAGATGCAATATGCCCATTTTGGGAAGTAATCTACAGAAAATAAGTTTCTATAAAAATATCTAAAAATTAATATCTCTACTAGTCTAATCTCTACTAATAAATATACAATAGTATGAAAATATTATGTTAATTAAAGCAGTAGTATTACATTTGTTAAAGAATAAGTAGAAAGTACTAAATCGAAGCTTGCTGTAGCAAATTAAAAGCAGAGTAGGACGTTTTTATAATCTGCATAAATGAAGAATACATATGTAATTTACAGAATATATATTTTTCGGATTGAATTAGCATTATGTTTTATATGTATTTAAATATTATTTGTTACGTATGTCAAATATATACTCACCCATGTGAAACTGCTAAGAATTAGCGTGCAAACTCCATAGAAAGAAAGTATCTTTCCTTTTTGGCTCATCATTATTACAAGCAACAAACTTTTACGTTGTTTTGTTGATATTGTCATCCAGTTGCTTGTATAAATAGCGGATGAGATATTTTTATTCTAAATAAAAAATATATTTCAGACATATATTTATTTGATATATATACATATGCATATACAAAAAATCTAGAATATCAAAAAGAAATTATATACAATATATGCAAAAAATACAAAATATGAAAACTAAGAAAAAAATCTAGTATTGATAACCTTCAAGTCAAGCTCATTGCCATACCAGCAAAATGTAAATATTTGGAACATCAATGATCCTAAATACATGTTAAAATAAAAGAATTCCAGGCTAACGACCTTTTTCTGAAATAACAGTGTGAATTGCAATATTATATTTACATTTTAAATTTCACTTTTATCCAATCAAATTTATTTTACAAATGTTAATGTTATTGATTTATGTTTTATATATTAATCTTTATATTTATGAAAAATATGTAAGAGAGAATTTTTTACTTTCGACATCTGATAGATGTTGGTACAAAGATTGATGAGGCTGAAGAAGAATAAAGCAGCAACATTCCACATAAATAATGATTGTATCTTGTACATAATGTTATAAACTAAAATATGATGTCTCACGCATTCTGCGATAGCGAAACTTTCAATGGCAATTGCATTTTTTTCATTATTATTTTGAAGAAATTGAAATATTTGTCTCAATCGATGGCACAACAGTTCAATTTGTCCGCAAGTATGAATAATGAAACCATACACAATTGAGTCCAAAGAGACATTTAATAATATTCTATAAATTAAACCTATGCTTTGATGAAGATAAGTCAATACGTAAGGAAGTAACGTTGTGGTAGAATACGGTATGTATGTCTTGAATGGTAAAGATCTTTTGTCTTGAATCAGTAGAGGCATTATGAGGAACAATAAACCCGTTATTTGACACATAAACATGTAGACACAGCTGATTTCTTTAGCTTTGTTCCCAGTACATCATATAACGAAATAGAATTTATAAAATAATTAAGAATAATAATAATTTAGAGTTATAAAATAATTAATTATATGCAAACGTATAGAGATTATAACTATTTATTTATAATTATTAAGTTTTTACTATTAGATGTTATAAAACTTATCTCCAGAAAGAGAGAGAAAGAGACATCATATAAATGATTAATTAAATTTTTAGTTCTATATCATATAAATAATTAATTAGATTTTTTATTCTATTTCATATAAATGATTAATTAGATTTTTGGCAAAAGCTTTGCACTTAGCTAAACGTTTATAATTTATATACTCATCTATAAATATATATTATATAAAGTTATATATTATTTCTTTTTAACACAAAAATGTAATATTTAAAATTTTGCGAATTTTAGAAAGAGTTTTATTATTAACTCTCTTATTAATTTTCTAAAAAACTTTTACTTAATTTAAACGTATACTTAATTCAATTAATGTTCTAGAGAATTACAATATAATATAAAAGTACCTTTGCGATTGTATTGTTTTAATATCGATTTTTCGGCAAAATCTTTCGGTTGACAAATTTTGGTACGAAAGCAATCTAATAAGGCACGCAATTCGCACTGTCGCACCGAAAAATTTAGATATTTTAGGCACAATGACATGAAAGTTAAAACAACAAATAAGCTCTCCGTTACAGATTCCACATCGTTTCTTATACGTATGAGCTCGATTATTTCAACTATCGTTAAGTGATATATTAAAATTGCAATGATGTATCTATCAATATTATGAATGTGAAAGGTAAAATAAATATGTATATCATGTGTTTATTTATATATGTATATATGCGTATATGTATTAAATAATATTATATATTAATATACAAAATATACAAAAATTTTCTTATCTCTCTTAATTGTGATGAATATTATATCTTTAAAGACAATTTCGATTTTAATATATCAATAAAATATTCTTAACAAAATTTTAATTCACTTTTGTTTAATATATATCTTATAATTACCTGTAGCAAAATATTGCAAAACGTATTATCAAGTTACTATCTTTATGTTCTTTCCATATTCCGCAGAAACGAAAAACAAAGAAATTTACCGGCAATAAATCCATATTTTTATCGTCGCATTTAACGTAATAGCAAATCTTTCCCCAACAATGATAAAATATAATATGTCGTCAGAATTCTGAGTCTCTGACTACAATGTTCTTGCATTAATAACGACGATGTATAGCTATAGCATTATGTTAGGGTGCATTATTTTTTAATATTGTCTGCAGGAATAAAACATCCACGTTTTTTCCATTATTGTTCTTATTGTAATGTACTCGATATTCTTGTTAGAGAGATAACTAACACAAGTCAGTAATAATATGTAAGTCTTCAGTATATCAGTAAATTAGTTTTTATTTTTAATACATTTTTTTATATAAACGTATTTTTATTAAACGTATTAGTGATAATGTTGCATGACGAGAAGAAAAGTATGTCGCAAAAATTAAAATTTTTAGTGTTTTGATGTATCTTTTTAAAGCGATAGATAGTGATGTGAAGCATCGCGCGCTGATAAATACAATAATAAAAAAGTAGAATGTAGGAATATAGAATAAACATAGAAACTTTATTATTTTCACAACGTTTTGTTAGATTACTTCTTTTCACAATAAATTTAATTACAACCGGTAAATATATATTTATGTGCGTATATATGTATATATATAAAATATTATATTAGCAAAATATATATTAAGAAAAGTATATAACACATTTCAAGCACACATATACATGTATACACACAAATTACATATAAAATTTAATATTCATGCAAAAAAATAGAGAGCAATACAAATTTATTTTAAATAAAAAATTTCTTTATACTCTATTGAGTGAAGTGCTAAGAGAGATGGACATATTGCTAAGAATATGGAGGTATTCCGGTAGATTGAATAGTAAGCTCCGTAATCTGGAATTAAACAACATGTGAAACAATGTTTTTTTTTTAGAAAAAAGTTCGTTAGCAAAAATTAACCTGAACTCTCGGTTTTAGTTTAAGAGCATAAATGATCGCATCCGCTACATCCTTTGGCATCAAACTTAAATTAAACTCATTCAAACTTGAATTAAACTCATTTATTATATCCGTTTTCAGATCACCGGGACTAATGCTCTGAAAAGAACAAATGATTAAGAATCATAGAAATAAAATTTATATTGATGAAAATACATTTAATATAATTATACACAGAATTATACATCTGGCATTATTCATTGTTTTTGATTTTATATATATTATTATAATATTCTATGAAATACTTATTTGTGTAATACTTATGTAATAATTATTTTTATATAAAAATTCTCTTTTGCCCTTATTTTCTTGTTGCAGCATAATTTTTCATTATATTTTATTATATTATTGATATCACACATAATAATTAAAAAACGTATGTGTTTTTATTATTACAATTTTATATTATATATACTTTTAATTACAGTGATATTTTTATATAACAGAAGAAAAGAGATAGAAACTTAAAATGTGAATTTATTTGATCGCAACTTACCGTGACTCGAATAGGAGGTTCAACGTCCACTACTTGACGTCGTATCAGATGGGTCAAAGTGATACTTGCATGCTGAGAAACGATAATCCCATTAAAAAGAAATGTATCTTTTTTATCCGATGTATCAGAATAAGGAGTTGGAAGAAAATGACCGTAAACACTATAAATATCAAAATTATTTATATTATTTAAATTGCTAATAATAAAAGTTAACAATAAGAAAAAATCATTGTATTTTTTTCAAGATTTTCCACATTTTTGTTTTACTATAGGAAACTAAAAATAAATGCTTGACTTATTTATATTAAAAGTAGATCCAAATTTATTCTCAAATTTTTCGTAATTAATAAATAAATTAAATAATAATACCTGTTGATATTGAAAATGTGCCCTTCGACTTTTCGCCTGCGCATAGATTTTATCGCTTCATTCATAAACTTATGATATATCGATAAATGAATACCTAAAATTAATAAGATTTTCAAATCAATATCTGGAAGTATAACTTAGAGAATATATATATATATATATATATATATATATATATATATATATTTGGTGTCCCAAAACTCATAATCAATCTTTCAAAGACAGATTCCTGGGATTATTTCATTATATATTATTGCACATTCTAAAATTCTATGAATATTATATGAATTATATGAATTATATATATATATATATATATATATATATATATATATATATTTGGTGTCCCAAAACTCATAATCAATCTTTCAAAGACAGATTCCTGGGATTATTTGATTATATATTATTGCATATTCTAAAATTCTATGAATATTATATGAATTATATGAATTATATATATATATATATATATATATATGTATGTATATGTATATATAATCAAAATCTTCTAATGTCAATAAAAGTCTTACAATTAATTCGCCATTGCGAATTGTACGTGATATGTGTAGAAGTGTGAGATTTTCTTTTTCAGGAATAACATCTTTCACGTAAGAAGTTATATTTTTGAGCAAACTTAATTATATTTCATGATCAAAATTAAATTTTCAAATGAGACCCAAAGTTTCCTCAGTACAAAAAGTAAAAATAATAAGTGCACAGAAATAGGCGCGTGGTTCTTCAAGTATATTATTAGTAATGTGCAGCGTTTTTTGATAGAGATTAATAACGAAGTCTAATATAAATAATAAATTTAGAAAAGTGCTCAATCTATACAAAATACTTAATTGTAATAATAAAAGCCTATTCGAATATCTAAATTAATAAATATAATGAATACGTTGATAAAAATATTTAATAAACAAATAGTCATGAAATGTTTCTACAATGTGCTACTTATGTGCTACTTATGTGCGTTTTTTTAACCACATTGAATTACATAAACAAATGTATAAAAAATATGTAAGATGAAAAGATGTATAAAGTGAAAAAACTATATTTTGTTACGATATTGCCAATATTGTTGTTCTTATATTTATCTTAACACGCATTTTGACCTACCGCAAATCGCTCTCAATTTAAACACATTAATCTATATGAAACGAAATGTCATCCTCAACGTTTTCTTAAATTGATTACTTATTACAAATTGTCCACACTGCATAAATGTATCAAATTTTATTCTGTTAAAATTTTGTAATCAAATTTGCAATATGTAATCTGTCTTATATCAGAAAAACATAAATAAAGTAATAAAGAAATTGGATAAATATCAAAATATAAATATCAAAATATAAAAAATATGAAGAAAACATTGATCTTGTATGTTGTAAGAGAATAAGTCAAACAAACAAAAAAGGCTTTAACTGACATATTACAATATACATATGTATAAAATCAGTATTTTGCTTATATTTCTTACATTTTGATATTTATCAAATTTTTGTATCAAATATGAATTTTATTTCAAATGTAAATAGAGATTTCACATAAATTTGAAATAAGATTTTAACAGAATAAAATTTAACAAAGATTTATGCAACCTGGACAACTTTTAACCAATCCAAGGAAACGTTGAGAATATAATTTCGTCTCATATTTAATTGAAAATAATTTGTGGTTGGTCAAAACACATGATAATATGTAAAGACTATAATATTGAATTCTCATATAGACAATATTATATAGTTTCCTTACATTACATAAATTTTTTAGCGGATTATGCTTTCATTTAGGAAATTTATTTTGTGGCTGAAGAAACACAAATAATGTAGAAATATTGCAAGATTTGCTTATTAATCATTCATCACATTTATTAATTTACATGCTCAAGTAGACTTTTATTATTGAGATTATCAATTATAATATATTGCTTATGTTAATGTTATGTAAATGTTATGCATAAATATATGTAATACATATATTAGTTCGCTGTTTGTCATAAATATATGTAATACATATATTAGTTCGCTGTGTGAAATTAATCAATTACATAACATTAAGATAAAATGTATAAAGGGAAATCTGATACAGCAAATCTCGGAAAATCTCTTCCATCCATGTTACACGCACGTGATTTATGAAAAGATTCTAATATATTATATTTTCATAGTTTGTTATAAAAAAATATTAATTACTGGTTTGTCATAAATAGATAATTTCCCTCTCTCTCTCTCTCTCTCTCTCTCTCTCTCTCTCTCTTCCGCTCCTTCTCTACCTCTCCTTTCTCTATTTTCTCTCTCTTTTCCCTCATCTCTCTTTGTAATATTCTATATAAGTAATGTCACAACAACGCACGAATACTTACAAAAAGTATCAATTTTATTGATCAGAATATTCACATCCTTCTTCAATGTTTCTTCGATATTATCCGTTATATTATATATAAGTTCTAATTTACTCGTAAGTATATTTTTATTCATCTTTTCGTATTCCGCTTTAATTTTGTCTCTGTCTCTCTTCGTATCTACAACGTAATACACGTGTATTCCATTTTTTAAAAGAGCGACTGTAATTGCTTGGCCAACATCGGATCCAGCACCAATAACCATTGCGGCTTTATTTGCCCAGCGATTCATAATTGCCTATCTGCAAGTACGATATATCTTACGATTGACATGTTACTAATAACTATCGAGCCGAAAATAGTTTCAAGTACGTAAGAAACGCAATTATCATCTACAGTCACAGTGATATTAAATTCAATCATAAATTTGCGAAAACGGCATTTCGATTAACATCAACAATGTTAATTCATAAATTTACCTATATATCTTTTATTCCCAACTATCAGCGAAACTAATTTATGAAATTTGCTGCAGAAAATGTAAATTCGAACGATCACTATCTTAAATACGTGACAGGTAAACTAATCACATTAAGGATCGACAAGAAACTGGCAAAGTCCAAACTGATATTGGAGCCTTTATACGAAACATGATAATGCAAAATTTCGGTTTCAGAGTTACCAATCTGAAAAATAAATTCTTAGTCTCTATGCCCAAATTCATAATCGTTTCTCAAATCTTAGATCTCTCCAATCTCAAATTTCAGTTTTCAGATTTCGAATCTCTAATCTAAAATTTCAATGCTAGTGACTAATCATCAAAAATTCGCTCTGTGGCAGACGGTCCTGATTACGAATATAATTTTAATATGATTCTTTCTGTATTTTGGTCAAAATAATTGATTTACGAATTGGTAGCTCCTGAGTCTTCATCGGGAGGTTTTCATCGTGCCTCCTATCGAGGCCTACCGTTAACGATACTTTAGTACGAACTAGGTGTAGCAAAAAGAGATTATAAGAGAATATTATGAAATTCTACTCGTAGAGAACAAAGCTAATTTATTTCTTCGTGTATAAAATGAAAATAGTAACCTCAGAAAGCACATCTCATTATAATATAAATATGTATGATAGATTTCTTATAGACTAATTATATGATAATATAATACAAAAATAATATAATAGACACTCATAATTTTTAAATTTTTGAATTTTCATATTTAATATAAAATAAAAATGTAAAATATAGGAATCTAAAACAAAACAATTTAAGACATTTTTTTTATAATGTTTTTAGTAAGATTATTATATTGTTTCTTCATACACAAGGGAGCAAATATTTATATAATTTATATTTATATTTATATTTTTATTAAATGCCAAATTAGTAAGCAATATTTATTAACCAGTTCACCAGTTCACTGGTAATGGCCCATATATGTCCGCTATGAATAACTTTGCCAATTGTCAACGGATTTGCATGAAACTTGATACACCCACATTTTTCGGGTCGCTGATGACAAATTTTGGGATCGAAATTTTAAAATGTAAAATGGCGGATTTAGTATGGTAAATTAATTTTGTTATTGTATTTGTTATTATATTGTTATCTATTGTTATTATATTTGTTATTCCATTAGAGAAGATTCAAATTCGATGTTCAAGTTTGAACGAAGTCTTGAACTAATTCGTTATCTACGACCAAAAGACGAACCGAGTGTGATATATTTCCATAATGGAATATCAAAGTTAATCACTAGAAATCGCCATATTAGATGACAGTTTAAATTTTGCAATTTTGTCTATAGATTCATTATAAGAGATTCGAAAAACGCGAACATATCAAATTTGATCTTTTCCATAATGAAATAAAATTAGTCTGTCATATTGGATTCGCCATTTTAAATTTTGAAATTTCGACTTTTGATTCGTCACTAGCGACGCAAAAAACCCCTTATAGATAAACTTTCATGTAAACTACGAATTTATTTGCTCTCACTAGTTTTGGCACAAAACGTTGATTTTGGGTGTATTAGTGAACTGGTTAAAAGATTTCCTCTTACAATATTTTATAAATATGAAAACTGTCAATATAAGATAAAGATATAAAATAAGGATTTGTAAAAATTAAAAGTTTATCGTGGGATATATTTTTTTGATTACTAAAATCTATACGTTTGAATGGTCTTATTAAAAAATAGATATATTAATAGTAATTAGCACATTTTTATAGCTATAGAAAAATTTTTTTACAATAGGCGAATGATAGTTCATAGATAATAACATCGATTTAACAAAAAATATATAAAAAGATGTACATGGATGTTTTAATTTTACAAGCATTCTTACATTAACTCATTACGATTAATATATTTGCTACCATGACATTCTTAAATCAAAACTATGTATTAAGGAAGAGAAACATGGATTTATATAAAATATTATTTTATTTAATATAGTAATAAAATATATAAGTTCCATATAATCAATTCCATGTATCACAAATTAAGATATAATAATTAAGATATAATAATTAAGATATAATAATTTAAAAAGACTAATCTAATATATATATATATATATATATATATATATGTATATATATAAATGCTTATATATATAATGCAATAGATAATAATTTTTATCATTCTTTTTCTCCTTCTGTCTATGTGAATATTCTTCAAATAGTGGTTACTACATTAAAAAAGCCATGTTAAAAAATATATTATTCTTTTATAAAAATACCATATTATATATTTTCTATTTATAAAAAGTTAATAAGAACAATCTTTCTAAAGTTCATATTAAAAATAATAAAATATAATTCATTTTATAACTCTAATATTTGTACTGTCCCTGATATCAACTAGAGATTTTTTCTCCTTTTCGTCATAGATTCGTTATAGCATCTTTAATATCTACTAAAATTATATAAATTAAAATTTACTGTTATACTTTTTTCATAAATATGAATAATTCTAATTGTTCAAACATTTAAAATAAAGTTTGATAGATTGCATACAAGTAGATATTCTTAAGATGTTAATACGCACATCGTATGTGTATGTATGTGCATATTAAAGCTGTATAATTTTATCGGAAAAAATTGTATAATATTGCATATATCCTCTCTTGTATAAAATAATATCTACTCGCAAAAAATCACACCTTCATTTATTTACATATATATATTATTACACGAAATATTATTGATTTATATTAATTAATTCTATAAACAGTTTTTTTATTCAAAACTCTCTCTCTCTCTCTCTCTCTCTGTCTCTCTCTCTCTCTATCTCTCTTTCTCTCTCTCTCTCTCTCTCTTTATTTAGGACTAATAATCATTTTTTAATTTTAATCTTAAAATTTTTCCAGCAGCGTTCTTCGGAATCTCGTCAAGAAATACAACTCCGCCTAAGAAAAGAAAAATATATAGTCCCCCAGCCTTTATGTTAAAGATTTTAATTATCTTATTCTTTTCCATATCTGTGTAAATTTTAATTATGTATTAGATTTTGAAACTTATCATATTATGTAAAAATTAGAGACTTTTCTTGGTATTTGTGAGTAAATCTTTTGAGTAAATCTATTTTTTGAGTAAATCTTTAGATAATAATTATTTTAAATAACTATTTTAAAAATCATAATACTTTACTCAATTTAGTAATTAAATGGTATAAAATAGTTAAAAATTGCACATATATATTATAGTTGCCGGAAATTGAGTTATACCTTTGAGTTGCTTGTAGTGGGAGACCTTTTCTTTCATAAAGTTTTTAATATCATCTTCGGTAAGTTTCTTATCTTTGCTCATCACTATAAATGCTTTCGGTACTTCGCCATATTTTGCGTGCGGAATCCCAATTACTGCTGCGTCGTCTACATCTGGATGTGCTCGTAACAATGCTTCCAATTCCGCTGGCGGTACCTTTAGTTGGGCAAAAATAACGTTTTAAATTGGACATGAAAGATAAACACTTGAAATGCTGTGAAATAAGATATTGTCAAACTACAGAACTTTGGACTCATTGTGTAAGTCTAAAGTATATTATGTGTGTATATATATTATATATATATCTTATGAGAACAAACTCTTACCTGGAATCCTTTGACTTTAATAAGCTCTTTCATTCTGCCAGTAATAAAAAAATCATAATCTTCATCGAAATAAGCAATATCGCCTGTTTTCAACCATTTATCTTCGGTTAATACTTCTTTCGTTGAGGCTTCATCATTCAAATATCCTTTCATAATGTGAGGTCCCTTAATCCATAATTCACCGTTTTCACCAGGAGTGACGATATCTTGCTGAGTCTCTATATTTACTAAGCGTGCTAAGCAACCGTCTAAATTTTTTCCGATGCTGGAAAATTTCTTTCCGTCTTCAACGAATGCTACTGATGAACATTCTGTCAACCCGTAACCTTGAAAAATTATCACATCTTTTCTAATTGTAAGTGGAAGCTTAGAATATTATGACTGATAAGTGATTTCAATTATAAATATGGCAGTGCAAACAATGTAATCTCACTGAAAAGAATCAATTACTGATAATGACGTTTCAGTGAAACCGCCACACTCAATGAAACATAGAACGCAAAGCAACAACATGTAAGTATGTTTACTAAAATCAGTGAAACATTTATTGATCTTTAGTAAAATCTTGTCACTTTGTTTTAATCAATAGTATTTTTACTAACTTAATTTAACAGAGAGAAGAATTTCAATAAGATAGTCATTCGAGGTAGGTATTTTATGATATTCTATTGATTTCTTTTGTTTTTTCTTTCATATTTGAGTTATTAGAACGTATTTATAATCAAATAAAAATCTTCATAATAATATAAAATAAATAAAATAATATAAAATTTAGAGTTAAATATAGTTTTCAATAAATGCAAGATTCATTATAATTAATTTAATTACAATTAAAGATTCGATATAGAATATCATGTATGTATAAATAAAATTGCAAAAAACGTTTTACAAATTTGACATCAATGATACGTTATTGAGTTGCAAATATTAAGCAAGTTCTTAGTAATTTTGTTAGATAAAAATACAAAAACAGTTTTGTTAAATAAAAATTGTTATGCTGGGATTTATATGTAAAAATCATTTAAAGAAAGTTAATTAAATAAATTCTATTAATTAATTATATTTTTTTCGATATTTTTTGCTAAATTAAAACAATTAAATTTCTCAAAAATTTCGCGAATTGAAATATTACATATTAAAACACAATAAGAATTAATTGAAGCAGCATTAAAATTTAATACGACGTCTTGATAAATTTGTTGAATTTTGTTAAAAATTAAACTTGTACATCTTTCATCTAACCTTTATTCTAACAGCTAACATAAATATATAACTTGCTTCTTTTCTTTTCTTGATTTCTTTTGTTTCTATTCTCGTTGAAAAAGATATATATATATATATATATATATATATATATATATATATTCTTTTGTTTATATATATATATATATATATATATATATATAGAAACAAAAGAAATCAAGAAAAGAAAGAAGCAAGTTATGACTAGGTATATATATATATATATATATATATATATATATATATATATATATGTATTTTTTTTTTTTCATTGAAACTTCTAATTTAGATTCGTGAAATTCAATAAACGTTTTGTAAATGAGTCGAAAATTTCTTATTTTTACTATTTAATTGCATAAATACCTTGACGAAACTTTATTATATTAGGGTCAATATTGAATTTGTTGAATAATTTGTCAACGTCTGATTTGGCGAGCGGCGCAGCGCCACTCACTATAGTGTGAATGTATTCAAGATGTTGCATTTTCACAAGAGAAGAAGATGACAAAAATAATACAATTGGTGGTACGCAATATAAAAAAGTTGCCTAAAAAGGGATTAATCGTGTTATTATGAATTTGGAAAATTTAATTCCTTAATGGGTTTTTTAAAAAGAATTTGAGAAATTATATATACTATATATTTTATGATGGTTTAAAATAAAGTTATAGAAATTTGTTTTTTATTTTTGATTATATACATTCTTAAATCTAACATTTAATCTAGCATTCTGTTAATTGAAATTTTAAATAATTTGTGGAAATATATTACTGAATAAATTTATATGCATATAATTATATTACCGATAATTCACCTTGCTTTTCTGCAAGACATCGAGGAATGTCTCCGGTACGAATTTTGGAATAAAGACCATTTTTGCGCCGAAAGCAAGACGCGAAAGTACTACACCATTCAAACCGTAAATGTGAAAAAATGGCAATATTGTGGGAATTACTTCTTGATGTGTACCTACAAAAAACAAATAAAAATAAATTGAAAAATAATAAAAAAGAATGTTGTATGATAAATAATCAATAGTAGGGCAGGAGCATTTCAAAAATAGTATTTTATAAATAATTATAATATATAATTTTTTAATTTGTTACTCGGATAACTTAATAAAAACAAAAATTAAATTAAATAAGAACACATATAACATTAAAAATTAATGGCTTATTAAATAATATCAAGATACTTGTAGTAGGAATATATGAGTCGTCTAAACAGGATTGACACATCATGATATTAGACACCAGATTGCGATGTGTCAACATAACACCTTTTGGTAATCCAGTCGTACCGCTTGAGAAGGGTACAGTTGCTATATCATCAAAAATTCTACTCGTACTTATAGGTGGTAAGGATTTACCTCGCTTTATGAGATCCTGAAAGATTTTGAGCAAAAGATTTTTCCTTATTTAAAAAATATTACCATTCCAAGTTAATAATATTTAAATATTACCAATATATATATGAATATAAATTTATTTTAATACTGACATCAAAAGGTATCGAACCTTCTGGTATAGAACCAGTTTTATCGTCAATCACAATAAAAGGTGTTTCAGGTGAAAGACAAGCTCTTGTTGCAGCTAACGTTGTGGATGCAACTGAAGCTGACGTGATAATTGCTTTTGCATTAGCTCTTAACAGCTGCTTTGACATCTCGTCTGAAAATTTTCATTACGTCTGCCTATAGCGTAAGGACATACTTAAGCGTAAACTAATTTGTTCTGTTTTTTGGCTTCCGTTTTATACTAAATTGCATGCATATATATATGAATTTTAAATCGGAATATTTAAAATAATATCATAAAGCAACTTACCAACTGTATAATACGGATTCATTGGAGTAACAATAAAACCACCTGACAAACTTCCGAGGAAACCTAACACTGTGTCCGGAAAATTAGGTGCCACTAATGCTAGTACATCTCCCTCTTTGAGACCTATATTTCGTAAACTTCTGCCAATATAATTTGTTGCATCTTTGGCTTGTGCGAACGTATACTTCTTGCCACTTATGCCACATTCCTGCACAAAATATATTATAAAAAATCGATTAATATCATATTAATTCTTTACATATTACGTTTGCGGTTTATAAATAATTTCGACAGTTTGATTGCGCTTACATTTGATACTTTCCGTTTTTGTAAACATTTTTTCTTCATTTTTTATTTTCCCACAATTAATTTCGTTAAATAACTTATTTAATAATCTGCTTGAAAGAGATGACGCGATTGATTAGAATCAACCCACGTAAATAAATATCTTATCTATTATATGAAATAATAATGTATTAAATTATCAGAATTACCAAAGCAACATGGTCAGGATAATTTTCAATGTTGTTCCAAATAAATTCGTGAACTAAGGTTTCCGGATAAGAAATATCATTAGATAGAAAAAATTTCTCTCCATTTGAACCTTTCACAATTTTGGTTTGCAATGACGCTGTACATTTTAGTGTGGAATTAAACGCCCTTATGCTAGCATCTAGTACTCGGTTCAGCCTTTGGATACCACGGAATACATGAGTGGCCATACTTGGACAATGACTCTACTGATTTAATTGTATCAACAGACACAATAGACGATTCAAAATCTGCAAACGCGCGATAAATAATTGTTATATAATATAAATATATATGTATTATATAAATGTTGTATAATATAAATATATATTCTTGAAAATCATAAAATAAAGACAACAATTACATTAACAATATGCAATCCTCTAATAAAGATTGTAATGTTGTGCATAATTTTTAAAAAAGAAATAATTTTAATATTTATAAGATTTTTTTTTAACATTTTGAATTAAATATTTTTATAGTATAAGACAAAAATAATTGATATTATATTATATTACTTTTTTTGTAACTTATTGCTATAAATATATGCAAAATTGAAATAAGATAATTTTTATAGATAATTTTTACTACATAAGAAAATATTAAAACTAAATATAATAGATATGAAATAATGTTGTTTTTAAAACATTTAAATATTTACAAATAGAACATAATTTATCTATATTCAAATGATTGACTTGCGTCACAAATCTGACTCATTGCTGTCTGTTATCGTGTAATTAATATGTCTTGAGAAATATTTTAATAATTCTGCAATTTTTTAACCCACGATATTAAATCATGGTATTTTTTTCTTGCATCTTGATCATTTTAATAAATTTTTACATATTCATAAAGGCAAATATTGAAACCTGTTTTTTACATATATGTAAAAAGAATAAGTTGAATGACTTTATTCATCAAAATAAATTAATATAATGCAATGATTGATTATATTGTTATGTTGATTATATAATTATAAAAAATTACTAATATAAAAAATATATATATTATTATATAATTATAAAAAATTCAATAAATTTTTTCTGCCTTATTACGCGCAATAAATAAAAGAAAAAAACTGAATTTTTTGTTTTTTAATATAAGAAAAATGTGTAGAGAAACTACAAGGACTCCTAAATATCACGAAATAAATCTTTTTTTTTTTCAAATCCAATCTCTTCGAGAGAAGTTCTTGTACGTTCTCTATACGTAGGTATGGTAAAAATTCTTGTACTTTTTCTACACGTAGTAAAGTTATATTAGAAATAGTAATAGCATGATCTAATTATTTAATAATTCAATAATTATTCCGAAATATTTGTCGATATTTTTTTCAATTCTATTCGCAATATTTTTACTATTTGAATATCAATTCACTATTCATCCGAATACCGAATATTTTTAAATGCCCAAATTAAAGAAAATAGTAAAATTATAAAGTTACACCGAATAGTATATTCGGCACTTAACCGCATATCGAATATTAGATCATGCTATTAATATTTATTTTTTCTTTCAATTTGGACATTTAAAAATATTCGATATTCGGGCGAATACGAAATAGCGAAAATAGATAAAATATGCCGAAAATATATAGAATACCGAAATATTCGGTTATATATTCGTTGCAACTCCAGTAGGTACGTTTTGTTTTTTAACACTTTCGCGTTGAAACAAAGAATTCAGTTTAGTCTATCTCAGCAAAAAAAAGTCAGATCATAGCAATCGAATATGCATTGGAAAGGATAAGAATAGCACTTTAATAAGACATCCATTTGGATGCTAAAAAAATTGTTAGAAATTTTATAGATCATTAAAAATACTTCATTTTTTGCATTTTTTAAGTTAGACTGTCTCAAAAACTTGACGTGACGACAATTTCCGGTCCAGCTTTGTATCAAAATCTATCAGAAATAATTTCCTTTACTTTAAGGCCAAAAAAAGTTGTATTTTTCTCGACCAGTATAATTATATATTAATAGATAGAACAAAAAACTGATTCGTGAATTAAACTAAAATTTATAATTTTTAAAATAATAATATTAAAAATATTTATAAATATAAAAAATATTTTTTTTCTTTGCAATATATATATATATATATACACATATATCATTGCACAAGAATTTTTTGTCCTTTGTTTTTTAAAAAGGAAATCTAGAATATTTAAATTTATTTGTTTGTACAGATTCTGATATATTAAAGTGTCAAAATAGAATTTTACTGCAATTGTTAATCTTTTAAATTATTAGTTTTCTAAAAAATGGTATATAAGCGAATTAATGAAACATAATTTATATATATAGAATAATGACTAATGACTAATGAATAAATTATAGAATAATGAAACAGAATTATATATAAAGACAAAAGAATTGATTATATTATTTATTCATTGCTCTCTAGATTGTTTTAGAGAAAATAATATATAATAATATATAGTAAATTTGACAATTATTTCTAAGGCATGTAATTATCAAAATATTTTTAAATACAGTGACAAAAGCAATATACGGTCCAGATGATAACAATACGCAATAAAAAATAAAAGGCTAAAAGACTGTGGCGCAAGATGTTAGAGCATAAAAATAAAAGTAATAATAAAAGACTCTAAGTAAGAGACATAATATATTAATAATTAGTTAGATATAAAAAATACATACGTACGTTTCGATCTTTTCAAGATTCTTTCAATGTTCAAGAAATCGTTAGAAAATAAACAAAATTAAATTTTTAATAATAAATAGAACGCGATTAAACAAGGACAAACGCGATGGGAAACAAATAGACATTGTACAATAATAACGGTTGCAAAATTTAAAAACGCTAACAATAGATGTGACGAAAGCGCGTAGACAGTTAGCGAATTACAAAACTAATAATGTCTGACCGTAAGCTAGATTTTCCGAAAGAAGACCAACGCTCATTTCTCCATAACAAAAAGACGCAATGAAACCGCATACGTGAAGAATATTTTTTCACAAATTTGTGTTGTGCGACAATCCCCCGATAAAAAAAGTCTCAAAAATTTTTTCTCCAAATAAGTCATGAAATCGTAAAAATAAAATTGAGCTTGGTCAAAAGATTCTTAAAAAGGTCCAGAAATCCCTCTAGATGGAAGATCCATATTTTCTATTTTCTACTTCATATTTTTTGACTTCTTGAATTAAAAAGGATCTTGAAAAGATCGAAACATACATATGTATTTTTTATATCTATAACTGATTATTAATATATTATGTCTTTTACTTAGAGTCTTTTATTGTTACTTTTATTTTTTACGTTCTAACATCTTGCGCCACGATCTTTTAGCTTTTCATTTTTTAAAGTATTTTTAATTTGCAATAGTTAATGTATTTGTATTCGAATGTTTTAAGATAAAGACTTTTTTTATGAAATATAATAATTTTATAAAAAGAATATGAAACGTTAAAATCGCGTTTAAAACAAATAAAATATTCAATAAAATCGTTAATTATTATTCATATGTTGTAGTACAATGATTTTCTACAATAAAACCGGTATGTTTTTCGAATTTATCGTATTCCGACATATATGACCGTTTTAAAATCAAGTTAATATTGGTATTAAACGATATAGGTATCGATGTCAAGGACATTATCGCGAGGCCGAGTATGACTTAGAAGTATAAAGCAGAACAATTAAAGTGAATAGCGCGCAGAAGATGGGAATTCTTTCAATGTGATCAGCAATACAGAAAAGTTAAAAGCTCAAAGTATAAAGTTCAGGGAATATTTATTTGTGTTCATTATTGCTTTATCATTGCTCTAGATGATCTGTATGTTATTGACTGATATAAGCAGATAAATCCTTTTAATATCATAAAATAATTACATAATGAATAAATACAAATAATGTTTAGAAGAAAAATTTACTTATATTTTTTCATAACTAGTACAATGTGATTTTAATAATGAATCTTGTAAAATATAGAAAAATTTTGAAGATAAGTGCAAATAATCTTTTAAACAACACACACACATGTATAAACACATACGTGGTATACATATCTGTATATTTATAGAAGTTTCTTAACTAAATCAAAGTAATGCTGAACTTTTTGTTTATTATCTTTATTTATTTTTTGATAAATAATAAAATTATAGAAAATTATAGAAAATTATGAATATCTCTATCTGTATATATAAATATTTTTGAATTGACTAAAATATTTTGTATTAAGATAATTCTATTATCTTTTTAAATGGTGACAAATTTGATTATATTATAATTAAATATAATAAAAATTTGTTCTTTATAATGATAAGATTATTAAACAATTAATTTGAAAAGTTTTGCGAAACAATTGCCCAATATCAAATCAACAAACAATTGTTTTAGGAAACGCGTGTTTTGATTTTAAGTTTTAAGATTTTAAGTTTAAATAGAAAAATTTTTATTTCTAAAACATAATTCTATATTTTCATTCTATATTTTTATTTTCATTTTGTTAAAACTATAAACTCGCGTTATCTTTATGAATTTTCTACATTTGCTTGACAACTATGTAAACGATAAAAAATAATTAATAACAAAATTATTATATAATTATTGTATTTATTTTTAGTGCGAGATATTAACGCGTCTCTTTTATTTATATCTAATATATATCTAATATAGATTATGTAAAATAAATGCATATGTAACCATCAGGAAATTAATTCTTTTGCTCATAAACAGTTATGCAACAATAATTCAATAGAGTTGTTCTTATGTCTTTTTTCGAAAGGCATTATCTCATATCGCACTATAATTTATTGTACACATTCCATAAAACAATTGTAATTACATTCTTTCTTACTTACTACTTTATTTAACGATATATAACGATATGCGTTGCAGAATGCAGAAATGTAGCGTTTATTTTTAGCGATGTCAAGACACTATTTCCGTAATGCACTAACACGCAACAGTTGATAAAAATGCAATGTTGTAGGATTCATCAAAGTGTTGCAACGCGAGATTTGCACTATCCAAGATGCAAAATTTCGATGTAAAAATACAATTTTTCCGATGCGAGAAAACTCACGAACGTTTCGCCTCCGTGGCCGATGTGGTACTGATGCCTGTGCGTGACCGTTTTCACTGGTGAACTGAAGAGTTCCATAACAAACTGTAACCGATGGAAGTATCGTTTGAATCCCCACCATTGTGACATGTTATGTTGCGAGAGCACATAGGAATGCAAGTAAGGAACAAAACAGGTTTGAGAGAACGTCGATCAAGAACAGCTGTTTTGTTTTGTCACGAATTTAATATTATTAATATTAACATTAATATTAAGTTAAGAATTCTTTTCACTATCTTTTATTTTTATATTTCAAGGTTCTTTATATTATATTTGACTCTCTTTTTTATAACTTTTAATCTTAGCTTTCTAATTGATATCACGAGGAATGACATCATTCAATTGATAAAGAAATTTTCCAAGTAAAGAAAAATATCTTATAAAAAAATATCCGATGTGATGAAAATACCTTGAAAAATACAATAAGGAAAATATAATAAGGAAAAAAGATTTATTCTTTTTAATTCTTAGGAAAATTTTTTTCCTAAGAATTTTCTAAAACAGTTTTGAGAAAAAAATTGTATTGCAAGAAATATTATAGATATAAATAAAGTATTCTAAAATACAAGAATAAAACTTTATATATAAACATGCATTTTATACATTTGCTACATATGCAGAAAAAATTAGTGACAATTATTGAATTTTAAAGGAGATATAATAAAGAAAGATTATATTTTGTTTTCAAACTTAATTTTAAATATTTTAAATATTAATTTAATAGAAATTAAACAGATATATAAACAGATATAAGAAAATATTTATATTAAACTATGAGAATTACGTAAGATTTTCTTATCAGATCTTGTTAAATTTTGATTAATAGAATGTATAAATCTTTACATACATATATCTCAATATGTAAGTTATATGTGAAATTTCAATGTGATTACAATACGACATACTTCCTTGCATATCTTCTAGTATTATGATGATTTATTGCGATAAACTTCATTTTTTAAAATGTTCTTACAAAAAAAGTTAAGAAGTATAAGACTTGGTGATCAAGTCGACCAATAAATTTTTTGTAGTAAAAAAAATACAATAAATACAGTTTCTTTCATTAAATGTGATTTTTGTGTTTTGAAGTCGTTTCAACATACAATATTTTGTTGTAATATGGTGGTTGAAGTTATTCTTTTATAAACTATATTATTGTGCGTTAATAAAAATATTTTTCTAATGTTACATTTATAAAAATATATTTTAGAATAATATATTTCTATCACAATGCTTATGTATTATGTATTAATTAATTCATTAATTAGTGTATATAGATTTGCATAACAAAATAAGATATTAAATATACATATATATTTTTCTAATATGAGTGAATGTATTATATTTTATTATTCAAATTTTCTACTGTTTAATATTAGACTGATTTTCGAATAGTTGTTCTTGAAGACACAAGATATTGCATTCTCTTGCCATCTAGCGTTGCACTTGGAACAGTGCATTAATGCTTATCATTGTTGACGTGATTCTATTTTTATCTTATTAACACAAAATAGTTGATACACTCTCACATGCGCGTATTACGATAACAATTTAAAAGCTCTCAGATATTTTATATATAAATTATACTCTATTCATTGCTTTTTTATTTTAATTATATCCTATGCGTAATTTTTTCTGGACTTTAATCGTTTCTTTTCTTTGATTGTTTCTATCAATTTCTTTAGTCTCTATAATATATTACAATAGGTGTTATTTATTTAACGACACAAGCCGACACTTATCTTTGTTATTCATTGATGTCGAAAAAAGACAGAATGATGCTTGTGTCGACTTGTGTCGCTAAATGAAAAACATGCATTGTACGCTATAATAGAGCTTATCTTTTTATTTGACTTTTCTTTTATCGAGACTATTTTTCTTCTCTCACTCGTTTATAAAGAAGCACTAATTTGCGCACTTTCTACCTGATTCTTGTATTGGTTTGCTGATTTTGAATTAAAATCTCTTTCTTGATAAGAAAATAAGTTTGGAATGATTTATTTTTTTTACTTGATAAAATTTTGCAGAAAATCAATAATAAGATTAAGATAAGATCTATGATAAGATTATTATTTCTTTTCTTTTTAATCTAATATTTTTCCTCCTTTTTTAAAATTATGTTTCTTTACTCATACACACTACAGATGTATATTTCGTTAACTATTTTAATTTTGATTTGTTGTAATTTCTATTTGTCATTTTGAAAATATTTCTCAAACATTTTAAACGGTTCATTATTGAAAAAAATAAAAATAAAAATGTACACATTTTGTCACATTTGAAATATCGACAATAATTTATGACTTATTATAAGAATATATAATTTTGCTTCTTAAATTTTTAATCATTCATTCGCTTAAATAAAATTTAAACGAAATTTGTTTTTAATTTGTAATAAAGTGCATCATTATCTGAAACAATCACTTCACAGATTTTACTATATAGAATAATACTAAATTCTTTATAAAATCGCTAATCTTATGATTTTTATACATTTTACCTAATTTAAACACTAATGCGCCGACGCATCTTCATTGACGCCGACGCCGATGACGCTTGCCGAGACAGGATCGTCTCACAAAAAATGCCATTCCATATTGAAAAAACAATTAAAATATAATATAAAATTTATTTCTAGAGAGAGAAAAAAAGATTAACAATAAAAGGATATATTATAATTATATATTATATTTTTTTAAATTACAAAATTATAAACTTTATAATAACAAAATAAATTTAAAAAAGAATTTAAAAAATATATACATTTATACTTTATTATGAATATAATGCTATTCTTTTCCATTTTAATCTAATTGTAACAGTCGCGCTTAAATGGTATTTAAGTTAAAGAAAAATAGTATCATAAAATTACTACACAAAATTGTTAAAATGCCACGCAAATTATTTATCTTTAAAACATTTTAATAGATATGGTGTGTATGTATGCATATTGTATTTACACATATTATGTAAAATTATTTCATATAATTATTCAAAAGATATTTATAATATTTTAATTTTTTCATAAAAAGTGCTGATATGCAGACGCATCAGATTAAGCTTTATCTTTATATCTGCTTATGTATTTATCCCCCTAAGGCAACAAACACCAGCACTGCGACATCCCTGCATACGCTTGAAACATGCGCCTAAGGGTGACCGCCATGTCGACGTGTACCCTGCAGTGCTCTCCCGTTGCAACCCACATACACCCTCGGCTGGCGACTATTCGCACGAAGAAACAATCTCTTTCAGGAAACGGACGCTGAACAGAAAGTCTCGAAGCAGAAATCTGGATCATACTGGATCACTCTTGCACGTAGCATTTGGGATATGAATGAAGACCCAACCCTTTCACCTCGAGGTAAATAACATTCGCTTATATATCTAACAGTGCTCATTCTATGTGTCGAGGTATATATCGAACGAATCTGAAATCGTTTCACAAAAGAATGAAGGTCATAGCTTTCGTATATGATAGAGTAACATACGTCTTCTTGTGTCATGACTAGACATAGTTTAACAAATATTAATGTGCATGAGCGAGTGGTGACGTTTTTATCGATTGCATTATTTATGCATGTGTGCTCGAGAAAAAACACTCTTCGATTCTATATCTTTAGGGAGTGTGTAACGATTCCTCGTACGTTCTTTAATGTTTAGCATTTAATAGTCGATCATATAACATATGACTTTAATTAAAATAGCATTAATATTATATATTAAAATATGCATGTATGTAAGCAAATTTACTATTATGTAAAAAAGATTATTAATGGATAATGTATCTTTTAAAAAAATTATACGCATATAAATGTAAAAACTCGTCAACTCAACTATTTATTATTCTATGATAGATAATCGAACATTTGCAAATCTTTAGCAAAAAAAGATATTTTCTGATTATTTATATAACATCGAGAAGAAACATATTTATGATTAAATATATATTGTTAGGTTCTAGCAGTGCTACTTCTATCTGTGATTCCATGGCCTGGTCCCAGCGTCTTTAAAATATCATGCCCCCGCGATCGAGCGTCCGTAGTAAGGAGGATAGTTCACAAAGTAAGAAAGAATCTATTGATTTATTAAAATTGCCTAGTGAATATTATATATATTTTATAATATTATTAATTAAGATATTTCAAATAATTTGATGCAAAAATTATGGTTTCATTTGCAAAATTAAATATAATATTATCCTCCATATCGATATCGGTCTTTCTTTCTATAAAACTTTCTAAAAAAACTTTCTTTAAAACTTTCTAAAAAAACTTTCTAAAAAAACTTTCTATAAAACTTTCTAAAAAACAATTATGTCAACGATAATTTTATAAAAATAACGAGGCGAGATTCTGGCACAACGTTCTGAGCTTCGTCGAGATTTCAGAGATGGATGCCAATATTGAAGAAGTATCAGGTAGAATTGCCATTGGAATGTCCATTTCACGAGAGTCGAGATATCTTTCGACCGCAACAAAAGGCAAAGCATCAGCACAGACCCTCGCAATGGACCTGCGGCCTTTGCGGCAAATCTTTCTATGCCGAAAAACACTTGGATGTCCATTTCGATAACAGACATAAAAGCAACGTTAATACGGTAAGCATTACAAAAATATATAAAAATCATTATACATAATTTTTTTAATGCTTACCGTTAATACGGTAAGCATTAAAAAATATATAAAAATTATAAAAATATATAAAAACCATTATCAAATAAATAAACAATGACTTAATGTTTAGAAAAAAATACAGTATGCAATTATATAAATTTTTTGGTAAACTTTTAAATTCTTTTTTTAAATTAAAAATAATTGCATAATTTTTGTAGACTCTTTATCTTGACAAATTAAATTTTTCAATTATTAACGAGCTAAAAATTTCGATAAAAATTCAGATTATTTCAGAAATATGTTGAAATCTAAAGCGACCATGTATGCAGGATTAAATATGTTTTTTTCAGGCGGAAGATGCGGTATGCCTGGCGGACTATTGCGATATCATGCGCTGCGATGTGCTGGGCAACCGCGACTTCGAGAATTTGGTGGACGACGATGGCAGCCACTTGAATACCGATATCCAAGTGTGGCGCGAAAATACCGAACAACAGCAAAAACAGCGTAGCGTTTCCATCATGCCATGCGAATCGCGTAGCCTTGCCAGGATGTATCCTGCGGGCAAGTCCTGCACCATCGCTGGCGGCGGCGCGGTGACGAATCTGCAACGTTACTGTCATCGTGATGACGGTGGCGATATGCACAATCACAGAGTAGCGAGATCGTCCTACCATAACGAGATCGTTGACTCGGATAATAAGAACAACGGTTGCGACGAAGAGGAAGACGAGGACGAGGACGACGAAGAGGATGCGGAGGATGAGGAAAATTTGGTGGAGGCGTCACTACCTGCCGTTGAGAAGAAGCAGAAACGACGAGGACTGCATCTGAGAAAAGTCAAATCCCATTGCAAGCCGGAAGAACTGCAAAAATTGAAGACCCAATGTGAAGTGAGCATTATATGTTATTTTATTAAAAATATCTGTATAATATTTTTTTTTTTTAACAATAGTCCGCTGATAAAAAGTTCTCTTTTAATTGTTGATTTTCTTATTTTGATATTCATATATAATTACTAATAAAATTTTTAATTGAATATTTTTAATTGAATTTTCTTCGCCCCGATATTTTTCTCGTCTACGTCTCTTCAGGGGGGTAAAGAGGGTTTTATAGAATTTCTCAAAAATGAGAATTTATATCTTGGTTAAATGCACCAAGTAAAATATATGCATATGCCGTGTTTTTCGTTTAAAAATTTCGCGTACAATTAAAAAGAATTTTTCAGGCATTTACCATCCGCTGTGGCTCGTAGACGCTAGTTTTCTTATCATGTTATTGAATAGTTATTAGTTATAATTAAGTCGATATTGAAATCTATGATTCAGGAAATAATATGCAACCTTTGATCACGATTAATGATGCGAGACAAACAAGTGTCCGAACAAGCTTGCAAACACTCCTATCTATGAATATTAATAATATGCAATGATTTATGACGTGATTTTCAACAGATACTCGTGCGTGATTGCATTGCCGGGTTGCTTGCCAATCTTTCTGTGCGGGATTTCCAAGAGATCGAAGGTACGCAATCGATTGTACACACAAAGATGACTGATGTGGTTATAATTTTATCAATTGCAATTTGTGTCAATAGGAGAGCTAAATCGAGCGATTTGCTGGTATCTCAGTTGTGACAGATACTGGGAGGACACGAAGAGGCCGCAACGTCATACACCCTGGTATCTGCTGACCATTTTTATGTTGATCCTGTTCTCGTCCATCTACGCGTGTTACTACATCATTTGGGTCTGCTTCAAGTACGTCGTGCCGAAAAAAAAATTCCTTTCGCCAGAAACTCCGACTAGATCGTGTAGAAAAATCACCTTGCATCATTAAGAAAAATTGTGACATGACTTTTTAGTTAGCGTAAACTTATACGGAAGATAAGGAATACATGGTTTATATATTCAATAAAAAAGTTCGGCTATAAATAGTTCTAATATCGTACTTAATAAATCATATATAAAATGCGCGGATTTTTTTAAGTAATTCTGTAGACAATATTATGTCATTTTATATATAATATTTCATTCACATTATTGTTGTTATATGGAATAAATATTAAATAAACGATTAAAAGAGCTACGTTAAAAAATATTTTAGATATGCGCTGATTCTCGAATGGAAAAGAATTAATATTCTTTTTATTGTGGAAACTTCTAAGAAATTGGGAATAAAAATAATCATATTAATTATAAGTCTTATCATTAGAACACTCCATATATATTTTACTTAATTTATTATGATGAAAAAAATGATTCTTTTTTACTCTTTCATTGTAGTACCGCGGACGAAGACAAATTGGACGGTACCGGAAGCATGGATTACAATGGGAGTACAGATCGCTCGAGTACTTCACCGTTACACGACCCTACTGTTCACGAAGGCAGATTGGAAAGACGAAAGGGCGATCACGGGGAAGAGAATTTACCCTTGTCGAGCGAGGACATGCCCGATCATTATATCTACGTCTCATATCCGCCCGAGTTAAAGCGGCGATTATTGGAGAGGTAAATTCGACTCGCGTCCGAAAGTATATAAATGCAATCGCATGCAGTGATTCTTCTGCTTACAGCTGCTACAACAGGACCACTCGACTGTAAGTCGGTTTAGGAGGGAGGGATATACCGGAAAACACGACGGCAAGATTTTATCCCGACCCCTGCACAAATAAAAGGCATCCGAGGTTAAACTCCTCATTTTCATCTTTCTCGTTATCTTCGTGTTTTGTATACCGAATGTGAATAAACTGCAACGTGGATACGACACATCGGTCCCTTGCTCCATTTCTCTTTTATTTGTATTAATTATTTATTTCGTAAAGATTTTACTACAGATGTGTTACGTAATTATGCGTAATTTGAGAGAAAAAAGATGTAGATATTCACTACGTTATGATTGACATCTCTCATTGCACTTTTGTCTCTGATAATGACATTTACATATATCAAAAAAATATCACATATGCTACATATTTATATTTTGTATATTATTTAGATTTTATTACATTCACAATATTAAAAAAAAGATATTAATTAGAGCAATAATAGAGAGAGCGATATAATTTTTTTCTGTCAAGTGCGATTTTTACTAAAATAACATTTATTTAAATTAAAATTACTTCTTTATATATATGTACTTATAATTGTATATAATTCAATGATTTTATAAATCAATAAGATAAAAGAGAAAATGAAGTAATTTTTTAGTTAGCATTGGAACATATTTAATTCACAAATGCGAGAAAGAAGGATAAAAAGATTTTAGTAGTTTTTCTTTTTGATTAGATTCAAAATTAAAACCAATAGGTCATCTTTATGGTCCCATCGGAATCGCGTTGGGTATCCATCATGCTAGATTGGCGAACTAAACGGCGAACATTCGTCGTGCTTGGCCGTTGTTGTTCCTCCAAGATGGACGAGGCAAATGGCACTTCAGGTACTTCGTGCATCTCTACTGTTTCTCGCATCGACAAGTCTTCGTAAGAAGTTGCAATCGATGATGGTCTGTGGGAAACACATATTTTAATAAAGTTTAAATATAAATAAAAATAAAAAAAATCATTATAGATCTAAAAAAATACTTGTACATTATTAAAATGTAATTTTAAATTTAATTTTTTTATACAAAACATTATTTGTTTTATTTATTATGTTTTGACTTTATTTACATTCTTAATAAATTAGAATTGAAGAGATTTTTTTTGGGAAGAATAAATCAAAATAGCAGCCTAATGTTTTACGAACTAAAAATTCCATAATTAATAATCTATTATCAGTGTACTTTGTCGGGATGCAACGGATGCAATCCGCGCACGTCCAATTCTTGCCAAATAATTCTCCTTCTTCAATAGTTTGCGGTAGACGATGGTGTAATGTTTCTGGTAACCGCAATCCGGACACGCCACCAATAACTGAGATGGCACCCAAAATGACTAAAGGCAAGACAAGATTCTCTTTCCCCTGAAAAAATCGTAAATATTCTATTTATTGCCAAAATATAACTCGTAATGATAAATAAATGCATACATTTCGTTTCTAATAAAATCAATAAGATATTAAATTATAATAAGTCAACAAATTAATTTTTTAATAACTTAATAAATATTGTAAAGAGATACTTTTTATAATTATTACTAAAATAGAATTTAAACAGTAATGCAAACTCACAAGATATGTTACGAAGGGTATAATGATGAGCCCAAGACCGCTGATATATGTAGAGAAACCAATGGCAATTCCGCGTAATTGCGTGGGATAGAGTTCTCCGGCAAAAGGATAAATAATTAAAAAGGATGCCGATATTGCAGACTTTGATATGAGAAATAATACCAAGGTCTCCATGACAGCATCTTGAATAAATTAAAAATATTAATTAAAATTTAGAGAGAGAAGGAGAGAGAGATATTAAGTTCTCTTTTCTAATATATCAATTAACTATTATAACTTCAGCTTTCAACAATATTACTACATTGCACCAACCAACTAATTACGTTGCTGTTCTCGTTAATTAATTAAGTCATTAACTGATTGATTAACGATGCGTACCAGGTGACAACAGCACCGTGGCGATACACGACACTCCAGCTACAACCATGCACAGGCAAAGAGGCCACCGGCGGCCCCATCGATCCATTAGAATCCAACAAGCGATATAACTGGGAATCTCAGCGAGGGAAGAAAAGAGAAAACTCAGATGTTCCTCATTTCCTAATGCTGGTCCATAATAAGAAAGGCCAACATACACCATATTGTTAGCAAACCTAATAATAAGATAAAGATCCATTTACTCATATCAAATAATCGCCAGGGGAAATAACTATTATAAATTATTGTTAACGTTATATATATATATATATATATATATATATATATAACGTTAACAATGTGTATATATATATATATATATATACAATTCTAGAAATCGAATCAATTTAAAAATAAATAATTACTAATATAATATATAATATATAAAATCAATGGATTTTAATCTATTGATTTTTTAAATTGACCATAGAAGGAATTAATGTTTGTGAAGAATCGTATATTAGAAAATTACGAATAATTATGCGAATCTTTCCTTTAATAAATAGATTATGATATTATGAATTTGAAATGGATGTAGAAAAAGAAAAGAACGATCATCGCTATATAACTTATCGTGCTTTTTTGCTACTTTTAAAAAATTAATAGGCGTGTTTCTATGCTTCAAATTACCAGTTTAAAGTAATAAGACATGTCTTGAGACGCATATTCGGTGTTTTAAAGAGCGAAAGGACACCAGGTCCGGTTCGCAATCTTTCCTCTTCGCTCTTTGATCTCGACATTGTCATGCGTTGACGAAGTTTTTGCGTGAATGATGCCGGGAGTTCTTTGCCATTTACCCGGGCTAGAGTTTCGAGAATATCATTAGCTTCGCTTAAGCGACCTTTTGCTAATAGCCATCTCGGTGATTCCGGTAAAAACCTGTAATAATTTTTGCTATTCTCATGTGTTGACAAAGAATAAATTAACATTCTCATGTGCTGAGAAAAGATAAATTAACATGTCATGAGAAAGGATAAATAATAATAAGATAAAAATGTTTGTTATATCACTCATTGTCAGAATTATTTCAAAATTAAAAATACATGTTATCGATGACTTGAGTGAAAATCGTAAAGTTAAATTAAATGTACAAATATAGATTATTTTAAAATAAGCAGTTAATTTTATAGTATTCAAAAAACAAATGTTTCATTATGTAAATAATAATTCTTATATATTATATACAATCATGTAATTTATGTAATTTATGTAATCTGTGCCATTAGATATTTTAATTTATCATTAAAATTATATTAACTATTCACTCACCACCAGTAAAAGAAATAGATCAAGAATGGTGCACTCGTGGTTATAGCAAGCGTTCGCCAATCGCGTATTAAATAAGTAACACCTGCTAGCATGCAGAGACCCATCGTATAAAAAGTACAAGTCATAACTGTTACGAATGAACGATAATTTGGGCCAACCAGTTCTAAGGCTACAGTAATAAATTTATTAATAAATAAAATTATCAAGATCAACTATGAGTATTGGATTTAGAGATCTGATTAAATATTTTGATTACATTGATTAGCAGTATTTACCAGTGGCAAATGTTAATTGAATGTAAAATGTTAATTGCTTACAGATAATAAAAGGTATTTGATAAATGGCTGGTATCGTCAAACCGACGACGAAGCGTGTGAAAGCCCAAGTCCAAAAATCGTTTGTTATTGCTGTTAAAAAGCCGCCGATTATTAAAGTTGCTAGACACGCGAAGAAGGATAATTTTCGACCGATTCTGTCCAATAAAATAATAACATTTAAATATGATATTAAAATTAAACAGGATAAATAAATCTTTAAATTTAAATCTTTAAAATAAGCAATTATGTTCTAATTAATACAGAAAATATAAGTAAAATAAAGTAAAATTTCGATAAAAAAAAAGAAACTAAATTTTAATGAAAATCAAACTGTCAACTGAGTTTTTACCTATCATTTAATGTACCGAACAAGTATACTCCTATAGGGCCTCCTACATTAAGAGCAACCAAGCCAATCGTTGGATAAATCGCACGATCGCAAACGAGATCAAACTGTAACACGGTCGAATTTCTAATGTTAGCGTACGGTTATTAGTTCATTCTTTTACTTTTTTCATAAATTTAATCCTATATTTTAGAATTTCTTCAAATGAGATATTTCTAATTATCTATTTTTATAAAAAGAAACTGTAAATTATTTGTAATGTAATTAAATTTATATATCTTAATGCATTAAAAACGGACGAAAATATCTCAAATATAAAATTGTAAAACTCGATGCTTTTTGATGAAAATTTATTAAATATATTATTCGCGAAAATATTTAACTACGAATTTATAAAATTCAGAGAAAAATTGTACAACTTCTCTTGTATAATTAAACGCAAGACGTACATCAATAACGATGGACGATGTCACCTCCGAGGTCTCATATTCCCAACCATAGTCGCAGGGTACGATGGACCACGACATATTGGAGTATGTCCAAACAACGGAGTTGTTCTCCGTTGTCGTCGTCGTCCAGTCGATATCATATCGTGTGCATTGACTATAGGTCCCATTGTCGTCCTGCATTCATATTACATCTTTACAGTATCGCATCATGAGACATTATATGAATAATACATTCACTATGCTCGAGCCGTAAGAAGAATCGATGCGGGCGATCACACGTGACACAAATGGCAGGTTTTATTCGTCCCAATTTAAATTCTATTAGACTTGTAGGAGATTGCATACAGGTACAACGTTGCATTTATAGGGAATAATCCTTAAACGCTTCTAGCCTTGCTGAAGGAATGGCAAACTACAAAAGAAATTCAGAATAATTTATGCTGTTTAGCATGTTATCAAGCGCTAACTAGACACAATTGTAATTAAATTAAATATAGTGATTAATTAAATCTTAATCGAATTGATCGAATTTATATACAGAAAACAAATTGCGAGGAAGATGCACAATATTAAGTAGAAGAGGGATACATCAACAAGATAACTACTATCACATATAACGTTGAATATACATGGAAGATACTGATCAATCGCAACTGAAAAAGTAGATATAATACATCAGGAGATATATAATCAACTCGTTAATTCCTACAAGTCGATAATTGGAACGATGCCGCATTTATAAATATTGATGAGCTCTCTCTACTGACATCTGACTCACAGGAATAGCGAGATGCTTTCTGCGTGCAGCATCCATATGCTCCAGATCCGGTATTTTGCACCAATGCGGCGGTGTATTCGCCATGAATAACTGATTGAAAGCGCAAAAACCACAGGGCAGACATGCCGGCAGACATACCAACCATAACAACTGCTTTTGATAACGACCAAATTCGCCGACGATCGGCAGAAGATCATCGAGATCGAATCTATCCTACGAGATATCCCATGCGAATTGCGATTACTAAGAAGGATTACTCTATTGCTGTTGCATCTGTATTGGCGAATGAGTTATGAATTTTCAAACTAGAAGATTGGCAACTTTTTAATTTTCAATATTAATTTTTTAAATATTATGTGTGTTGAAAATTATTGAAATATAATTTACTAAATTGAGTTCATCATAGTTTACTAAACTAAGTTTAGTAAAACAAAATTAATTGAAGAATATTTATAATATATTTCAATTTTATTTATAAAATTTTATAAATGCTTAATTTTCGAAAAATTTTGAATCGCTTATAAAAATTATTTTCTGATATTTTGGAGAATAATCAACATTAGATTTATTCCCTTCAGAATCTATGATTCAACAAAGGGGCAGAGATGTAGAGTAACAAGCAACACTGCTATTGGAAATTTTCTCTTTCAATGTAGTTTTTTCAATGTCAACTTAGAAACTGTAAAATTTCCATTTTCACAAAATGGTTCAATTATTGTTCAATTAAGAGAGATTACGAAAGTATACGAAGAACTAATGCCATTTCTACCGTTAAATTTCGCTTCCATATATTCGATGCAGAATAATATGCATAATAATATAAAATAATCAAAAATTGAAATAAAGATAAGATAGTTTTGTAAAAATAACAATAAATTTTTTAATACTTACGTTATCTTCCACGACTTTGGTATCATCGACTCGTGTGGAGCTGTTATCATTTTGTCTATCCATTTCGATGAACTTCGACTTAGTCCCACATTATCGAAAGCCTCGATGATACCTTATAAAGGCGTCACGTGTCGTGCATTAGCCTCCATCCGTGGATGAATGTAATCGATGTGACGCGCGTTGCATCGTCTTGTCCGTCTTCTTCCGTAATAAAAATTCGAGAGAATGATGTCTCTCGTAGATTTGTAAAAAAATGCACCATGCACCTTCAACGATTTCGGCGACGATTCGCCGCACTGCGTCTTCTATTAACAGGACACGCGTCCAAAACACGTTAATAAGTTCAAATATCCTTTCAACTGCCGACTCTGATGTTTGCGTATTTTTGCAATATTTTTGCATCGGAATTATTTTAAAATATAAAGAATGTAAATTTGTAATCTACCTATAATCTATTGTTCAAAAAATACAAAAATATATGGAATATAAATAAAATTTTCTTTCAGAATTTAAAAAAGAAAATATCAAAGATCTTTACATGATTAAAAATTTTCAATAATCACGGAAAGATCAATGCAAAAACAAACACAATTAAATATCAATCATTATATTATACATATAATACATAATTAAATTAAACCACGTACATCTCTTTTATTTAAAAATATGTGTAAAAAATATATTTATAACTGTAAATAATGACACTTTTAAACTTGAAATTACAATCAGCTGTACGCGCACTCTTGCACCGGATGAAAGAATGTATTGGAAATACGATAGACGGATAGTTAGTCTGTGACGCGTGTGTCGCGGGGTGTGCCCTTCTAATTCAATTGGGTTAAGGGTGCTTAAGAGAGATTAAGAATGCTGTGACACACACCGTGTTACGCACACACGATCTGACGACGATCCGATATCATCTTCATTCTCATTCCCTCCGGATGCGATTTTTGTTTTCACGTTATAAATTTTTAATTTCATTAGAAAATAATAATTTTTAAATTATATACTTGTCTTAATAATATCAAATTATCACGCGAGAATAAAAATTTAATGTAAATAATATACTAAGGACATATACTCAAAAATAAAATTAAGAAATAAAATTTTTGAATGCTTCAAATCTTAATGTTTCAAGAATGTTTTTTACACAAAATTTGATAAATATACAAAACAAATTTTCGAAAAAGTGGCGTAACAATTATGTTTGATATATTTGAACGGCGACTGGTAATAATGGCATCACTGCGTGCATACAGATTTCAAATGGAATTTATTTTCGGGCCATCGTATTCTGTGAGAAAAAAGAAAATCATGAGATAAAAACAGGAAGCAATTTTCGCATTTTTCGCCGATTTTTGAATCTTATTTTATCTCTCATACGCATTCCTGTACGAGATCGCGAGCGCTTTTGTCGCATTTTAAAACTCGCGTCTCCGAAGAAAGACAAATCAAACGATGAAGAAATAGCGGTCAAAATGACTCGATATTATATGGCACTGTCGCTTGGCGATTCGTATAATCTTGTCTCTCGCATTCACCGGTACAGTCAGCCACATTAATGTCTTAATTGATATGCAATCGAATTGATTCTGTACAATGTAACGTGCACAACATATCGTGCGTCGAGCGAGCGCCCAAGAAAATGTCTTCGCGATTTTGCGAAAACTTTCGACCGATTGCGCTGCGTTTTTTTCTCCGTGTGTCGTAGGGGCCTTGAGAGGTCTATCGAGCGATCATTAATGTGACCGATTATACGCTAGACACACTTCCCGAAGACTCGTCCTTCAGTCATTCCACGATCGCTCTGGCACTCACATAAGCGATGTAGCCGAAGTCACATTATCGTTGTCAATTATAAATCTCCACAGGAAACACAGTCTTCGCAAGCACCACATGACTGATTCAAACCGATTCGAATAGGAATAAAATGATAACGCAATGCGATACACGCACCACGTGAATATGCCGCACCCTCTCCTGAAGTCTAATCAGTTCCTTGCGATTGTCTCGAAAACGGAACTTACAATTAAAGAAAAGCGAAAGAAGAAATATTATATTTTTAAAGAAATCGGATTATAATTGGTGCAATTTAGGTCATTCACTTTCCTAATTTTTTAATACAACATATAAATAAATGCTAAGATATCGATAATCACATACACCCACACATATGTAAGATATAGATTTTGACATTTATTCAGATAAAAGACCTATTTTTTAAATAAACAGAAAATAATTATTTGCACAAATTCAAACAAATAGATAAAGTAATAATTCTGATACATTATCAATTTCGAAATTTTATATAAGACACACATAAATATATTTATCCTTAAAACGCCTTAATTTTTGCGTATTGCTTTCACTTGGCTCTTTCGAAACTTCTGATTAATGGGATTAAATAAAATAACCGAGCAAATGTTCCGTACAGTTCAAGATTTTTGATGGATTTTCGTTAGAAGATATATACTTCGTATCCATTTTATCCAAATTTGAATCGCACATCTAAATATCTAACTGTATTAAAATCTTTTACATTTGATTGCCACACTATGTTATCGCCAAAAATGTTTTGCGATAACACACAAAACGTTTCTTAACGAATAATTTTATTTTATCTGATATGGCAGCCGGTCTCTTTTTTTCAATTGTAAAAAATGCATTATATTACATTTGACATATTTATGTTCCCTTTATAAAAATTCCCTTAAATATACAAAATAAAATATCTCTTCTGTGACATCACATTTCTCAAAATAGCGTAATTTGTTTTTTTTTTTCTTTTTAATTTGATCATACATTAAAATTGATAGCGCGATCGCGGACAAATTTAGTGCATTTCCCTTAGCTCGATTCCGATCGTAGGCGCAAAAAGGACATTGAATTGAGCAAATATTGATGATTACATCCGATCTGCGAAGGTTACGTCACTCGAAAATCGGCGATTCGATTATCTCTCACGTCGCGAGAGTAGGCCGTGATTTCTGCTCGTCGCGAAGCACCAATAAAGATTTATCAATGTTCTTATCACGCCACAAAAAGGGCTTTATCCTACAGAGATCGGCGGATCGAGTGCCAGGAAATTGCTTGAAGGAGAGGGTGGAGCAACGACGACAGGCGGACGTCCACATTCAGCATCGTCCTCTTTATTTCTCTTTTTTTTTCGCTTCACCCACGCATATATAGGTCGCCTAGAGACACATTTTTTCTTTCCACCATGCGTCAATTATAATTATCTTGGTCCGATCGCCTCTCGATCGGCAGCAGCACTCGGCATCCTCTCATGCGCAGCGCATCAAACGTCATCCACGCACGCAGCTGTTTTTTTGTGCTTTTCTTTTTTATTTTTTTTTATTTTAATTATTTCGCCCACTTCGTCACGGTGGTGGCGTCGCTCTCTTTCAGTATCTCGAGAAATATTATAGATCGCAAGGTATCTTGAACATTTTAACGCGGCGGATTTTCGTATCGTGGCAATTTCACGAAAGCGAGAGAGATCTACAACGAATTTCAGCTACGGAACAAATGTTTTCTTTGGAGCTATCGTGCTATTGGAATTTTCGTTCGATACAATATGTAACAATTAATTACTATGGAACACGCGATTTTTAATTGACGGATCCCAATATCGATAATTCTCTTCAGAAAGCGTGTGATGTGCGAAGAAAAGACCTATCGTTTCGATTGCAATTTCTGCGATTTATAGTGTTCGAGGTAGAAGTCTCTCTTTTGATCATCATGAATTAAGAATAAAGGAAAGAAAAAGAAACTTTACACTTATACACTTATATTTCGTCGCCACCGCCGTGCGATATCAAGCGCATCGAACAACAGATTTACGTTGGGCTCGTGTTTCGCGACTCGATCGTTAAAAAATATTATCGAAAATATTGTCTCGTACATACAAGGACACCGCAGGCGGGCAGCAAGTCGCGAGGACGCTTGCGAGCCCGCAGGATCACGTGAAAAATTCAAAAGACAACCACAATTACTATTTATTTACTGTATTATTTGACTATTATTTAGTGATGTAAAAAGTATTTAATATGCCTAAAAATTTCATAAAAATATACTCTATATCTCTCATTAATAATTATAATTAATCACAAAAAATAAATACTATTAATCTTTCTCTTTTTTGCATTGTTTTCAATATCCGATTATATAACTTTTGGCGCCACAAAAATACATTTACATGAATAATATGTATTATTTATGCAGAGTTAGTTTTAATAATGTAAAAATGACATTTTCAGAAAATTTTTCATTGATCTTGTAGGCTGACAAGCGGCGCGATCCGGCCCGCCCCGCGATACAAAATTTATATTTACTTTTACACGTTTGCTTCTTGCCTCCGTTTCTTCAACATCGACGATCCATTCTCCTTTCTCGAACATGACGCCGCGATTCACGACGAATCACGAGCCAACCATATTATCATCATCAACATTCTCATCATTATACCATCATCCTCAACAGCAACATCAACACCAATATCATCAGCATCACTAACATCTCTCCCCGATCCGCTCCTTCAATCATCGATGCATCCTTGATAAATTTCGCTTCTCACTTACTTCACAGCGCACATCATCACTGATACAGCGTAATGCACACGACTTTTTTAAATATACTACGTAAAATACGCTCATCACGTACGTTCGCTCTAGTAAGCATCGCACGCACTCTAGGAGTCTCGACGATGAAAAGGTTAAACAACTAATTAGTCGACAAGAGTCAATAAGTTGCTTTGTCGTGCTATTATGGGTTTTAGGCTGGCTTCGCGAACAAGAAATCCCCATCGCTGCGCATCAAACACCTTTCGCCGCAAGGAAGGACATTTCACGTAGTTTCCTCGAGATCATTATAAGAACTTTTACGGGGCGGAAATTATATTCCAAAGAATGTATTTTGTAAATTTTTTTGCGCGAGGAAAATTTTTCCCGATGACTTACAGTGAAAATCTACAGAGCGTCAGAGCCTGATAATTTTTACAGTTAATTAATACCTCCCTTCTGTTATTCTTCTATCTTTGAAAAGAATCTTTGGCATGCAATTGTTTGGAATATATAGACTCATCTCTTTTATCGCGGATCTCCCGAAGCTCTGTTAAAAGAAGTTTTAAAATTCTTGATTACAGAATCGATCGAGGAATTTTTAATTTACAGAACAAGAATTAATCGTCCGATGAAGATCTCCACAAGTTGCGAAGCCAGCCTTACGGAGCACGGTACTCGCAAGCGGGCTTTTCTTTGCCGACGATCCCGATGTGTGCGTTTCAGGCTCGATCAGGTTGTCGAGA